AATTGTTTAAATTAAGAAAATGAATAAATAAGAAACAAGAATGCTTGTTATTATCTTTTCAACAATATAAGAAAATTATTGTTATTATTATTATTTTATTATTATTATTATTATTGTTGTTGTTATTATTGTTATTGTTATTATTATTATTATTGTTATTATTATTATTATTATTATTATTATTATTATTATTATTATTATTATTATTATTATTATTATTATTATTATTATTATTATTATTATTATTATTATTATTATTATTATTATTATTATTATTATTATTATTATTATTATTATTATTATTATTATTATTATTATTATTATTATTATTATTATTATTATTATTATTATTATTATTATTATTATTATTATTATTATTATTATTGTATGGCCAAGTGCAAATAACTAATAATGTAAGTTGACGCTAAATGTCATCAGAATATTATTAGAAGGAAATATGGAGGAATAGAGAAAAAGAAAATTATAATTTTAATTGACGATTAAAAGATTATTAACTAAAACAAAATGACAAATCATTTGAATTTGAATATATTTCAAATAGTTGATAATTTTCAAAAAAATGAATAAGAAGTTAATTTTTAAGTTATCTTTCTAAATTTTGAAATTAATACTAGATTCTTTCAAATTCTTCAAATCTCAAAAATATTACTACTTTATCAGAGATTATAAAAGTTTTATTTATTATCTTTATTTGTTAAGTATAAAAAAGAAAACAAAAAATAATAATCTAATTTTTATAGCAATAATGATGTTACCTGCATGCATTGACAACTTTTCACAGTTCGATCAATTTTTAGTCTGCTATCCCAAAATCGAACATATCGTCCTTCACAGGTACCACGGCATGAGTATGGATTACAATCACCGGGACTATTCGTTTGACATTGTTCGGTATCTAATCCACGTGGCTGCGACTGTTGTAATGGGCCAGAACTGAACTGTGATGTGGCTGAAGCCAGAAGAAGTAAGCTAAGAAGTTCAAGCCAGATTGGTGATAGCACTAGAAGTGAAAGTAGACGAGGAGATGAAGAAATGGAACGATTGGGAGAATTATTGAAGCAGTGATGGAACAGCCGTGCAGTTACTACTGACTTCAACATGGCAAATGGCTAAGAGCCGAAAACTTGCAAACTTGATGTCACTCAATAAAACTACAAAGTAATACTTCTAGATCAATAAAATTAACGAGTAATACTTCTAGACAAATAAAATTACAATTAGTTCTAGATTAGTAGAGCTAAAGAGTAATACTTCTAGACTTATCAGGTCTCTTCATAACACTATAAGTATTATCATATCTGTATCAATTTTGCTAGTTAAAATTGATACAGATACACATTAGAATTGATAATCAAGTTAGAACTGATATCACATTTGTAGTACTATTTAAATTTAAATGTTGTATGATAACCAAACATAAACTTTTACTAAATTTATTATCTTTGATTTGTATTAGACAACATTACTGCAGGCATTGATTTTATGAATTTTAGCTTACTGTAGTTCATCATATATTTATACAAAGATTCAATTACCACAGAAAAGAAATGCAATAGTTAATCATGATATCATTCGAGAGTTATGAACAATTTCAAATCTCATCCACAGTTATAAACAGATGTAATGTAGTTAATTATTATCAACTAGAAACATTATATAAATTTTATACACTAATAAATATTAAATTGCAATGATGAAATATGAAAATCTGAATAATTCAAACGCCAAAACATTTAAGCTTATCAAATTTACTTCATCTCCCTTTTTTTTACTTTGAAGGATTAGCTATTACCAAACAAAAATCCCGATGCGAACGTATATTCCCAACATAATTAGCGAACTCCACCAGATTTTTCAAAATTGGCGCCTACTTTGTGTTTTTATAATTCTTCAAAACAAATAAACATAGCATCATTTCATCCTTCAATTCAGTAAATCATGGTTGAAAATGCTTAACAAAAAACTTCATGCATATATAAGTAGTTCAAAGCAAAAATCAAATAAATTTAAGCAGTACCCATAATAATATGAAGCTAAAAATAACTTTATAATTTAGTTCATCCATAATTATCCTGATATTGCCTATAAATTCGCTACAAATCATTCTTGCGAATTCAAAATCTCTTACTATCGAATATGATAACAATTTATTTGAAAATTCAATGGTACAGGCTCTAACCAAATTAATATTTGACGATGATTAATGGAAATAGATTGTGGAATTAGCTGTAAATAATCATATTCAAGATCTCCAATACTGATCGGTTCATCACTATAAACTTCTGTTCTATAATACTCCACGACTGGATTGTTATTCAACGTCCGAGCAGTCCGAATATGTGAGGAATATTCCTGAATTTAACAGCAAAATGATGCATAGAAATATAAGAAAAAGTGTCCAATAAAATATACAAAGAAATGTTATTAGCATCACTGAAGATTTATTTAGCAGTAGATTTTAATTAGAGAGAAATTACTAAATTATAACCGAGTTCGTTCCAACATTGTGCAAAATATGACCGTAGACTGAATGTATGAATTCCACGCTAAGACACCCTGTAGTGCTAACCTCAAATGGTCACTCACTTTATCTCACTCCTCGGGAATTTTTTAAAAGCTTTTTTAGGATTTCATAATATATAACCTAGATTTGCAGCCGTAAGCAGTCGCCTTCCAATTGAATTATCTAGTCGATCATCAACAAAAATATCATTTTGTACAGATGATATTTGACTGAGATGGCCGATAATATTTTCAGCAAATTCCATCGTTTCGGACTGAGTTTTGTTTGGCAGAATAACGGCCACTTTAAAAGGGATCAATGCATACAGCAAACGAAGAGCTTTTGTACTGGGTGACATTGAGTTAATTATAACTGCTATCAAAAGACCTGAAAATACCAATGTTTATTGACTATGTTATTCATCAGAGTTCCACAATTACGCCAGTATAAAGCAAAAACAGTTATTTCAAATACTGTAAATTACCAATGCCGATTCCGAAACAGTTCATTATCAGTGGTTGATCATTATGCTTGGCCCCAAATTTTTTAGTGAACAAATCCCCCAACTGAAATGTATGAGCTATTTCAATCGTTTCAACAATCGAAATATATTCCTTGCTACAACAACAAGGCTTTTCACCACGTTTCAAGAGATCATGATTCATACCTGAAATAGAAGAAAGGAAAATAATCTTTCACATCGAAAATGGTAAAGTTCAAGAAGCTATGCTACCCTGACTTCTGGAAAAAAGTTGTGAGAAGTACCACATAGTTTTAAAAAGTTACAAACACCTGTGAGTTACATTCCAGACCAATAAAAAGCTTTTCTTTTTTTGCAGCCAAGCACAGAAAAAACCGAATGAAATTTTGAGAAATCCAAGTGATCTCATACAGCTTTTTCAAGTGAAAATTTATTTATCTTTTTTAAAGAAGATAAATTTTAGCACTAATTTAAATTTTAATGAAACTAAAGATATAACAAAAAGTTACCTAAATTACATTTCGAACAGTAAGCAATACTATCGCGGCTTGTCTTACACGGTAAATGATATTCGTGTGACATGTCACCACCGATGTTTCCAGCATCGGCTCGAACAATATAAAAATTAATGTCGAGGCGATCATGAAATATTCGTTGATACGTCTGTAAAAAATACATCCGACCTGCATAGTAATTTGGAAAAAATGATACAAGAAATGCTTCAAATGAAGAAGACATCCAAATATAAAATTAGAACAATAATTTGTGAGATTAATTTGAGAAAAAACTGACACGGATTACTGATCACCTTGATAATAATTTACTCTTAATCCATTCTACAAAGCTGCTATAACATTCATTTATAAGCCTCAAATTTCATATAATAATAAATGCTTACTTTACTAACGATACTGTAAGTATCTGAAGCATTTTACTCTGTCAGATCAAAAGAATATAAATCGTTCATCAAAAATTCTCTACTGCGAAGAAATCCATGTCCAACAACTGTCTCATCACGAAATTTTGGCCCCATTTGATAAAGCATTAACGGATAAACAGCTTCTCTTAATTCACCTGGAATAAGAAATTTCATTAAAATTTTTATGTTTGTAAGGAAACTCCTTCACAAATAAAAAATGAAAGACAAAAAAGAGAATGTCATGGTCTACTGTTGTAAAGCACTTTGGCCGAACAATATTCCGCCCACTTAATTTCACCTTAAATCAATCTTAAATGAAATCCGCTCTTCATAGAATTCGACAAACAGTATGCCAATACACTAATTAATAAGGAAAACCTATCGTAGCAGTCCCGTTATTAAGAAGATAGAAGTACAAAACAAAATGTTTCTTAGTCACCAATACACTTTTAATTTGATTCCGACTATGCAATATGTAATTGTCAAAGTTTCCATAAAAATGATTAGCTGTCTTAAACAACACCAATTTGCATTGTCAGTATATGTATTTGATCACTATTATGAGCTATATTATGTGAGTAAAAATTAACGTTTTAAAGTACAAAAGTACTAAAATAAAAACTCAATGTCTTTGAAACCTGACATTTTGCAATATCTGATCATATTACTTGTTCGGCAACCAACTTTGTTACCATCTCTTCATGAGTTGGCTGAAGACAATAAACCTGATTCGTTTTGTCACTCAAATGAAACATTTCCGATTTGAAAGCGCTCCATCGACCAGCTTTTTGCCACATTTCTTTCGCACCCAGTATCGGCATACTAATTTTATAAGCACCGATAGCATTCAGTTCCGTTTCAATCACTTTTATTAATTTATCGATGATGCGCTGACCAAAAAAAAAAAAAAATCGATGATACGTTGACCAAAGTGGAAAGTTAAAGACTGTTAAATCCAATGAGTTTTTCAATTCCTATAAAAGTTTTGCCATAGAACATATAGATTCAAGCTAATCATCCTGACTTTGTTTTCCCTTGAAAAAAAACTGTAGACGACCAGCATCAAGTCCCTCGAATCATTGAAAGGGAAGTTTACTGTCCTCAGCATTATAACCATATCCATAACCGACTTCTTTTATTTCCGGGAAACTAACTCTACAACATGGCAAAGAAGCTTTCAAACTTTGTAATGCGTCTGTTTGTTGTGCTACGCATGGTAAAAAGTAAAAATGCGCTCGCTGTAATCCACGTATTCGTTTAATCCCTTTCATGAAATAATCACTGATGTAAGGATTTGCAGCAATTTCCTAAAACAAAATGACAACTCTTAAAAAAAAAAAACTATTCATTAACTCAACGGTGCATATTTTGAATTACAGCTCGGTTGTCTCTTTAGATTAAATTAAATATTAGAAATTTTAGGAAACTTTTGTATTGAAGAAACAAGATCAAAAACAAACAATGTTCCGTAAAGTTCGTGAAGGTCGTCCCGAGACAACATGTTCAATTGCTTTGTCGGTGAAGAAGTCACAAAAATTCAATTTCAACACTTCTATTTGTCGGCATTCATTGAAGTACTGAAAACCAGAATCAATAATAGCTGAATCAGTCCCATCGACCTGAATGAAAAATCCACGTAATTGTAAAATTACATTTTAATAGAAAACATTACAGGCTTCAATTTCATGAATTCGCTTTTTTTTTTTTTTTCATGAATTTTTAATTTGATAATATTTCCTGTAAAAAAACTACGACTGGAATAGAAATCATGATTTACAATGAAGATGAGTAAAACCTACACGATTCAGTTCCATATTTCGCTTGAGATAATCAATACAATTCGGATTTAGGTCATTTGCTAAAACATGATGAACACCATTCCTTATTACCGGTAAAACCAAAGGTCCAATACCAGCACAGCAATCATAAAAAATTGACCGCTTACCAATTTTTCGCACTATCCTCTTATGTTCTGTGCTTAATCTTGGGTTATAAAACACCTATAATCGATTTGAAAAAAAAAAAAATGTATTCTAGTCATTTTTGATGCAAATACTTGTATGAAATGATTAACAAAAAAGAAATAAAAGCAGTAACAAAAACTTTAACTTTCATTATGTAAAAAAAAAAAAGCTGGAAAATAACCCTAAAATCCAGCTGATAACGTAGTTTAACGTAGTTTTTCTTCATGCACCTCAGTCTTATAATTTTCCTCACCAGCAAGCAAATCAAGTTCAAATGTACGATATTTATGTCCAAATTGCATCCAAATTATTAACAACTGTCCTGCAAAGGCAAGAATATTTGAGAGAAAAATTGCTTTTTCAAGTTAGAAAACAAATGAAAACAAATATGGAAAATCCAGAGATATGTATGATATCTTAATTTTGAAAATCTCATAATTTGAATATATCAAAGCCATCCAGTTATCTATCTGTCATGATACAAACTGATATTCTGGACTTCCAGCGTTGAATAAAATAAAAACACGTACTTACAACTGCTGATTTTGTCGAGAAGTATTTTCCCAATAGCTTTTTTATAAAAAAGTAGCTCTTCTCGCAAATTCACATGGACAATATGACCGATTTGAGAGAAACCGCTGAAGATTACAGCAATTATTTTCTAGATTTTAAGGATAATTTAATTTTAGGAAGTTTTTAAATATAATATGAAATTTCAATTAAACAAATTGCTACTAAATAATCAGCATACCCGAATTCGAGTCCTTCCGGTAAAATTGCAGTAATACATGATTTTACAGACCAGTCGTCATAATTCAAGGTTATATTGTAAGAATCAAACTTGGCTGTAAGACCCGTCAAGTTTTCTATAGTGTTCAAAACAACATTTCTTGTATTTTCATCCATCTTTTCGGGATTAAATACAATAGCTTTTTCGCTTTGTCTTGGAATATTTATGACAGGCTGAAATTCTAAAGAATTCAGACCAAATTCCTGACAATCACAGAATATGTAATGAATTACCACATAATCCAAATTGACTGACTTAAACGAGATCCACTTTTATAGTCATGGATGTCAAGTGTTGCAAATTTCAAATGTCACCAATCTCGAAACAAATTATTATACAAGTACCTTAATTTTATTCTACCGTTCTATCTGCTATTTCCTTACACCCAATTAGATGACCGATAACCTTCGGCGGTACAATTACGACCGGTAAAGTGATTTCTTTGCTGAAACAGACAAGAAACTGTAATAAACAGAACCTGGCCTTTATTAAATATTCTATTCCGCAGTGAGAAAATCAGCAAGAAATTCCATATCCATAATTCTTAATAATATAAGTCTTATAAAAAACTGACCAAACTTACTTCTGAACTTGTTATTTTAAATACTTGCTTTTTCAAACTTCTAATAAATTAAATACTTCAGTATTTTTTGCAGAAAATATACTTTATAAATCTGACAAGAATTTGGTGGATCTTGATACTAACGAAGCTTTCTCATTTAGACTATCAAAATAATAGAATAATTTTCAACACGTGACATGTAAGATGATTAAACCAATTCGAGTTTCAGCAGTGATAGGAAATACCTTATCTGTTACTATAAATACAAAGAAATCATCTCGTAACGCACTTCACAAAATATTTAAGAATGAAATGAACCTCAAACTACATTCATTATAAAACTTTCACCAACTTGAATAACTTTTTTTCATTGTCCGTAAGAATAGCAATTCCTCGAACTTTACTGGAAATAGTAAACATCGAAGATAATTTCTTCATATGGAATCTTTCCCAAAAAAATCTTGATTATGGACGGGAAGTATGCTTCAGTTAATGATAGTAATTCAAGATCATAATATATCCAAGCCAGTACATAAAATAAATCTGCAAATTTAATTGTATTTGTATTTTTGCACCCACAAAATCGACGATCTCTCACGCACTTATCACCCTTCCAATCGATCGTTTTTTTTTCTTGTTAGTTATCGTTTTCAAATGACGATCCTTCTGACAAAATTCACAATCAATTACAAAGAACAAAACTTGAAGTACTGCTTAGGTATTAAACATATGACCCTTAACTTTTTCGTTGTTATCAGTAATGCCAAATAAGCTAACAATGATAAATAAATATTGCTAAAGTTGACACAAATATTGGAAATGCAAAAAAAACGAGAAGAAAAAAGTTTGCATTGTGTGACGCAAAATAAATATTTGGTTGAATGAAAGAAAAAAATAAATATTTGGATATTTGGATGAAAGAAAAAAAGAAGCTTTACTGTAGTGAAACAATAAATTAAACATAGCAAAAATGCAATAACTATCTTCAGTTTTCAATTCCTCACCGATTTCGAAACGGAAATACAATGTTAGTTACAACTTCAAGAAGAAAAATGCATAACTACAAAAATGGGAACAATTTTATAGCTTTGCAATAAATCTTGATACTTCAAAATTTAGTATTAAAATAAAATGAGTAAAACGACTCTGTACAATGTAATATCAATAAAGACAGGATATTTAATCTTTCAAGCGCTATTTTTTCTCAAAACTGTTAATATCTGCTTTTATAGACTGAACATCCAAATATATAATTATCAGTAGAACGAATGTTCAGTACTGATAGACATAAATCTCAAAGAAATTTTTCTCTCTTAGATAATCTCTTTTTTTTCCAACTTAAAATCAATACACAAGATAGAAGCTATAATAACATCACCAAATATATACATAAATTTATTTACAGAATTGTAATAATTGTGAATAGTCCAATTCAAAGACAAACTCGTCAGATACCGCAAAACAAACTATGAACATGAAATGCTTTAAAACCCGTGACGTCATCGAATCGTGTTCAACGCTTCTCACAATTGATTTCAGCTGAAAGTGAATCTAAAAACAATTAAAGTTAAAAGGCCAGAGTTTATCTCATTTTTCTACTAAAATGAATGGCACCGAATGAATAAACTGCAGTTATAACTCAAAAAATTATTCATAAAAAAAAAAAAAAAAAAAAAGAATCTGTGAAAAGAACGGTATTTGCTTTAAAAAAAACCACTATAATAGCCAACCTAAAGTTCATTTATCGAACAACAAGTGCAAGACAAGAATTTCTTTTCTGTTCAACAATTCACTTCCTGAACAATGCTTATATAATCTAATAACTGTGTTTATATATGAATAGTTCCAACAAATGTCAACAAAAAATAACCCATCTCTCTATTTAAAAATACTTTCATTTTACCTACATTTTAATAAAACATAAAGTTTACGCATTAACCTTAATAATATGGTTGCCAGTTAGATCCATCCGCAGGTAATAAATTTCCCGTAATCAGAAGAAATATATCAACAATCCACCACAATCCTAAACCACCAAGCGTCATCAATTTACCAACTGCTATAGCTGAATAACCAAGGCAGAAACGATCTACCGCTAAAATCCCCAGAAATAGTGAATATAATAGTGTTGACAGAAAGTAATGACCCGTGTATCTGCAAATGCATACAAATGAATCATCGATGATAATGAAAAGTGTTCGAACTAGCAAAATTTGAAAACTAAAATTAAAATTAACATTACAATAAATAACAAACCAATATTTTCATAAATATATCGTTCTCAAGAAAGAATTTAAAAAATTTTTTTGCGAGAAAACTAAGGCAAAATAATGACCAAAAAAGGACATGAATTAGCTACCTTCGAAAATATGAAGTAAGATAAGGCATACTTAATGCAGGGTACTTGTCTCAAGAATGTCCGTGGACCACGACATTCAATGCATGGCAAAACTCGGCAAGTTACATTTGTTCGCTCCACGTTTTCGTAACGTGTGCCACCCCATGTAACGCATGCACCATCTACCTGAAAAATCTAATATTGAAAATGAATTGTACGTAATAAACATTAAATTTTCGGGAAAATTTTGCAAAACTGAAAAACATACTTTTGTATTATTAGCTCCAGGAATGGATGATACATCCACCGGCGCATCACAATCAACCCATCTACAAAAGAATGTTATTTCATAATATCTATTGCTACTTCAATAATAGTAATCAATTTCCAAAATCAAAATTCTTCTTCGCCTTTCACAAATAATAGCCCACAATTAATCTAACTTTCATAGTGCATAGATAAACCTTTTACTCTACTATGACTTATATACAACAAACCTTTCGTCAAGAAAACTACATGGTACTAATGGACCAGTCGGATTCAAATCGAAACCTTCTAATTCGCAAACACCAAAACCATCATTGTCTGGTAGAAGTGGTGTTGAAATAACAGCAGCAATAACAATATTTCCATGTTTCTGTCCTTTAGGAACTGAAACCGGATTTGTCTGGATTCCAGAAATAGGCAATATACTGGTCAGTAATGTCATCAGAGCCCTACCCAAATGCATCTAAAATTTTACCATTCAATACTAATCATATACTAATACTAATCAAAAAAAAAAAAGTCACATAATTGCGCAGCAAAACAGAAAACATAAATGCATGAACAAGCAAAATAAAACAAATCAGAAAAAGCACTTTGGTTATCGTTACTTTATGAATACATCAAACTTACATTTATTTAAAATGCCATAAGATTTCTGTGATTCAAAAATAAATATGTTTATTTAAGATCAATACCTAATCAAATAAGTTTGAACAAATCAATAACTTGGATGAAATGAATAAATTACGACTTGATTAAATGCTACTACTTGATAAAAGGTAAATTTTAAGATTCTAGAGCATTTTTAATCTTATATCACTATTCCGATAATATCAGATATACATTCCAATAACATACTCTCGAAAAAAATTTGTTTGTAAAAAACAGCACCGAAGAAAACGTTTAGCAGAAAAATTGCAAGTGAAAAAAAGAAAGAAATAAAAAAGTTACAAAATCCTCTATTATCTACAGACTATTTCAAGAAAGAGCGGAAAATGATAATAATCTGCACTCATGAAGATAATATTATGCAACATATCATCACAAGAAATAGGGAGAAAGAAAGACGGATGATTCACACAAAAAACAAAATTGGAAACCAATTCTAAGAAAAATATCATGAAATAAGGATCTTTTTATAGTTATTTTTGCGACTTTGCTTCATCACAAACTTTCTCGACTCTCTTCTTAACAAAATTCACCAGCGACTGAAAAACCTCACAACTTTTCAAATCTTCGGGTAAATCCTTTCTTCCGGACATATAATAGTATAAATCCCATTCCATATATTCACCATTAATAATTTCATCGTAACGCATTAACTGCTGTATGCTCATTTTTTGCAACATTTGATTTGCAAATTCACCCAACAATATATCATTTTCCAGAATACCACGCTTCTTACTTTGATACAATAAACGAGACCGTTTTGTTTCTATATTTTCATTCTCTAATCGCAATTCCGGATTGTAATCATGTGCTGTTTGAGCGATCTTTATAGAAGATTGATCCGAAAATTGAGCCACAGCATTTGAGAACCATTTCTGTGTTCGAAAAAGCTGTCGAACAGTACCAAACAGAACCATTTAATTTGCAGTTATTACTAACTTCTAATAAATTCGCTCAACGCGCTGTATCCTACAAGTATATGTTAGAAAGTAATAAATATCTTGCAAAAATATTTTGAGGAAAAGGATAAGGTCACCGAATCATTAAAAAAAATTCACATGATCCAGGAAATTACTTTAGTTACTTCATTTCTAGATTCATTTTTTGGATTTCATTTCTAGATTTGTTATTTCTAGATTCACAGAAACAATTTCTTATAGTAATTATAAAATATGGACAGAGAAACGACTTCTATGTTAAACATAATTATTATAAATGTATCGATATACATACATCCTTAAAGCAAAAAACGAAATCAGACTGAAAGATTTTTATTACAAAAATAATGGTAATCAATTTCTTTAGTTTGAATTGCATATCACATTTTGAGTTTAGGATTTGCAGATTCATTCAATCATATTCATAGCAGAACCTCAAAATGAGCATGATAAAGTGAAGTATGGCACAGACATAAAATGTTAAGTTGACTTATTCATCTATGACAAAAATAATTATTTCTCTTTTTTCAGTAAAATATTTATATGCAAAAATTTCTGGAGATGTTTTCAATATTTATGAAACAAAACCTTGAATGAACAAAACTGTCGTCAACTACTATCACTTAGTATTACCTCCTAAATGAAAATTAATATTATCTTGATGATAACAACCAGCAATGTTAAAACAATGTCAAACAAAAACAAAGAAAAAAATACAATGAGGCAAATGAAGCAATAATAAAGCACAATAACAAGAAAAAAATTTCCACTGAATTATTTTTTGACAATTTGTACTACATCTTCGTGGTGAAGCTTATGGTGAATGCCCACTCGTTGAGGTGAAAACTTCGCGCTAGTACCCCAAACAATTGCATAACGAAATGATGCAGAAAGATTACGATGTAAGGCATGGCAAGCATGTTCAATTGTTGCTCCACGTCGTAGTATTAAGCCATCGCGTGGTCCTAAAATATATTTAATTGCAAACTTTTGATCATCCATTGATTGTAAGAAAGAAATTTTAATAATTTATTTAAAAATTTATACATATCAACAAAAGGCATATATTAAGAGAAGCGAAAGAATATTTTAGCAGAAGATAAAGTTTCTCAGTTCATGACACAACTTGAAAGCACAACCTAAGTCAGGTGCATTTCCAGGCTTTTTGGTATATATCCTGATAAGTGCCAAATATTCCCAAATTTTTTCGACCATGTAATCCATATTTAGTTTCATTTCGCAACTAATAACAATTGAATGTTCGAGACGAGCTAACCTGTAAAGCAGAAATGGAAGTTTTCATTAACACAAGTTTCATTCTTAATATTCTACTAGAATATTAAAAAGTTTTCTTTTGTACATAGAGAACTGAAATCTGAATACCAACACGGAAACTTCGATTTTGTTCTTCTTCACATATTTTTAATCAACTTTAGATAGAATCAGAAATTGCTTCTAATTAAAACTCAAATAATAGAAATTTTGTTACCTATCCACTTCCTCCATGCTTATTTGGTCGATCTTGTTATATACATAAAGACATGGAAGATAAACACGATTTCCTTGTATAACGTCAATCAATTCATCCACTCTGAGAAAATGAACACTACTATTAATTTTTAATTCTTTGCTCAATAAGTATCACCTTTATTAACTTTGGAAATTTTCATTTTGAGCACTACAATCGTACTTGGTTGAATCTCAGACGCACAGATATTAACTGTGCTTTTTTTTTTTTTTTAAATTATAATAAATTAATAACAGTGAAGCAACAGTTAAATGAACAAAGAAAAATAAAGTTATAGTTCAAGTTCTTTGAAGTTATGACTGATCAAAAAGTAAGAGCATAAAAATCCTTGACCGAAAATATATGATGTTTATTGAAATTATGATTTTTAATCCTATTCGATACTTGTATTTCTCAACAAAGTGAAATTAAAACTTACGTGCAGTCAGCTCTGAAAACGACGTCAGCATTGAAAATTTTATACTCGTGTAATACAGTCATTACTAGCTTCTCATTACAATGTGTTAGTGGAACCATATGCGTAAATTTCACTCCACCAATTTTCTTTTGTTTGAAATAAATTAATGGCGGCTTTTTGTTTAGGCGAATACCCATTGATTCCAGTTCTTTTGAAAGAAGAGCTTTCTGCAGTATTGAGAGGATTGAACAAAATATTAGTTTCTCAGCATTTAATTTCGAAAACTTATTTTACTTATATAACTTCCAATACCTTTCTAACGGTAGAAAGATTGCCAAAAGGAACTTTTGATCGCTAGTCACAAAATAAGGTTAAATATTACAAATTATTATCGCTAATGAGCTGAGTTCTTCTAATAAATAATATTAACATTCCAAGTGCAGATATCTTCACTATGCACCATAAGATGCTTCTTCATTGTTTGTCATCAGTAACACATTTCTTCTACGAAATATTTTTATAACAGAGATTTATGGTATTATAGAGTACATCTAACCTGCATTTCACCTTTTGCGGCATCCAGCATCATCAAAATAATATCAGCTGTTCTTGCCACTGCTATAACTTGTCTTCCTCGACCTATAAGATTAATAGTAGAGCAATTTGCTTAAAATTCTTAGAGTAATCCACTCAAATTCTTTCATCTTATGTCATTTAAATTCGTTCAGTGATAAATCCTTATTTAAATTTTTGTTATACAAAAGCAAGAAATTTAAAAAGACAAAAAGAAAAACACCTTACCTTTACCCTGTGCTGCTCCTTCAATAATACCGGGTAAATCAAGCAACTGTATATTGGCTCCCTCATACTCGATGACACCAGGTATACATGTAAGTGTGGTAAACTCATAAGAAGCTGCAACACTTTCTGTTGTTGTAAGTGATGACAACAATGTCGATTTACCTACTGAAGGAAAACCAACCTGAAATTAAAACTATGCTTAGAACCACTTACTTTTCTTGATGGTTTCCTGATGAATCAGAAATCCGAAAGTAGTGCAGGGAAGAATGCTACCCATTATTTTATCCTGATAGACTATAACTTCAATTAAGCCCCCCCCCCCCAAAAAAAAAGAAAACTTTTAAATTTGTTTGAAACTCATTATCATTTCAAGAGAATCAGAAATCTGTGAGTAATTAATTAACCATTGCAACTCGAGCATCACCACTTTTCATCACATCGAAACCATCACCCTTACTGGTACCACCCTTTGTTGTTGGTTCCAATAACTGCTGTCTATACTTTGCTAATTTTGCTTTCAGAAGACCCAAGTGATATTCGGTGGCCTTGTTCTTTTGTGTCCTGCTAATTTCACGCTCAATTTCTTGGATCTTTTCAACAATACCCATTTCTAACACCTAAAGAACATTCATACACGACATTCATTTATAGTCCTTCCCAAGTTTTCAATCTTGAAAGTAATTTTGATAGAAAACGTACAAAGAAAACCTCTAGCACTATAAAATAGCTTAATTATTTAGAAACCCGTTGCACACAAAAACAATACAAAACCCCAAAGAATCTTTTGATTTAAAATTTTTTTTAGCGGTATCCCAGTATTCTCGTCCTTTTCTCTGTAACCTTTATAAGCAGAAGCATGGCACATTTCTTGGCTAAAACCACAATTCCCGCACCAAACTTATATCAATTTTCACTAACCAAATGAATCGCTATTCCAGATCATAGCTAAAAGTTCATACTACTAAAACTGTGTAGAATGCCATTTGCATTTCCATCCCATCGGCGAATTTTTGTTTCTCTTATAATGTTGCTGAAGGACCGCTATAGGAGCAAAAGAACCATGGCAAACAGTTCACTGTCAGAAATGTTTACGTTTTTATTTCGAGATCAAATACGAAACACAATTTCTATATAATATTACAGCCATAAGTGATAATATCATTTTTATACAAAGAGATTGCTTCTTTTTTTGCTCTTAACTTAATTTAGAGTGTACGAAAGAAGTTTGTGTATAAAGTTTAATGAAACTATGCTATAATTTCATATTTCATAATATTGAAATCCGATAACCTAACTGCTAACAACCATGATTAATTACATTCACCTCAAAGACTGCTCCGTAACTTGAAACACTGGGAAAACAAGCGCAACGGAACTGAACCCACTCATTACACGTCCATATTTACAAGATCCGTAATAAACATACTATAACACGCGATTCAATTTGTGTTCCGATAATATTAAAGTAAATATACTCTCTGGGCTACAAACAATAATAAGAAAAAAAAAAAACAGCCTCGTCATAAACCTGAAAAATTTATTCTTCACGCTTCTCGACTTCCACATTGTCTTCGTTTTCGTTCTTTCCGCTTTTGAACAATTCACCTAGGGAAGGAAGCGGAGGTAGAGCGCTGGAGGGTAAATCAGCTAAGTCAGGCAAAGAATCAAAGTGCTCTTTTACCTGAAAATATTTTCAGCAATTTATTAGGCACGAAAAGGTTTGGTTTTTTCACACCATTTTTGGTGTCTGCAAGAACACGATGAATGATTATTATAGTAAAAAGTAAAAATTTTGAAGTGCTCTTCTGGAAGCCAATATCGTAGAAGTTGAGCTGTGTTTATTGCAAATTACTATATTAAGATTTTATCATCAAATTGTTGCATTAATTCATTTGTTAGGATCAAAATATTCTCTACTTAATCAAGAAATAATAAAAACAAACTGATGTCTTTTCCTGTTCTAATTTTTCGACTTTTTCCCGTACAGAGCGTAGCATTTCATCGTTTCTTACTGCACTGGCTTTTAAGAAACCAAAATATTCCGGCAGTAGCTGTTGCAAAAACCGCCTATCCTCCATTTCTGCCGCGAGCCTACGATAAACAATACAAAAGTTAGTTGCTTATAAAATTACTGCCTGATATTGAATATTCTGAAAAAAAAATCACCTTTTACAATATTCCTTCACCACAGGCTCAGCTTCCTTGATCTTCTTCAATAATTCCATCGCTTGGGACTCATTTCTGATAGGTTTTAAAAGAGCAGGATTTGCTATCGTCTCCGGAAATGAAGCTATCAGTTGACTAAAACAAATTTTAAATCTATAAATGAAAATGTTCCTACCCGAAACTACACACAGCAAATCTGAACAAGTAAACCTGAACCATTTTAGACATCTGGCCACACGAAAAAAATACAACACGAAAGTCTTAAGCAACGTGAAAAAAAAAAAAACTGCAAAAAACCAGTATTTGAAAAAAAAAAAAAAAAAACTGTGTTTACTACAAGAAGTCAGAAAAAAAACTTCAATTTTTAACACATAAATGAATCATTAGAAAAGTTTATAAATGCAGGATTAATTCCTACCGTGTTTCGGCGTCAGCAGATGGTGGGTCTTCCAATTTCTTCAACAACGATATTACATCTTCTGTCACTCGAGTCATGACTTTGATGTCAAAATTCTCACTATCCATTTTGCTCTGCAAGAACAGATATCTAACAAAGAGATCTAACAAGTTCTCAAACTCACTCAAGATAAATATAAAGAAAGATTCTCAAACGCAAAACTAACAATGAAATGCCATAGATTTAAAAAAAGTAAGCTAACCTTTTTCGGTTCCGGAGAATCTGCATCAACGGTAGGAGTTGATAAATGCGGTGAATCTACTGTCTTCGCAACAATTGGGGGTGTGGTCGGTGTCTGACGTGACTTTTGAATGTTTTCAGTACTTAGAATTGTTCCACCTAATTCGATGTTGAACTCAACAAGTCTTATTCCAGTCAACGATGATGTAACGGCATTCATTAATCGATCTACCTTTACATCCGAATATATTTGGCGCTCACGAAAAACTCGCAAAATTTTTTTCATTGCTACTACCGCATCAGCATCTGCATGAAGGCTCACATGTCTGCAATGCAAATTTATCAGGTGAAAAAATTTTTTTGACTTCACTACGCATAAATAAAACACAAGAAATAAAACGTAACCCAATGAAATATTATTTCATTATCTTATTTATCTAGTCAACACACCGAAATGCAATACAGAAAATGTAAAGACCTAACCCTTGCAAGTTCAATTATTGTAACTCAATCATAGCGATTCAAAAGCAATTAAAGGCTCGAAACCTATAAGGAACATACCTAAAGGCTGGTTCTAAATTTTCATAAAACATTCCCATGAAATGTGGGCAATGCTTTCGACTGTTTTGTATAACATCGTTGGCAAGATAGAGCAGATTGATTAAACGAACCGGTTTCGTTTCCTTCTTGATTTCCTGAACATGATCATAGAGAATGCTTTTAACCAAGAGCATTCCTTCTGCATAAAGCTGCATCAGTTGTTTCCATCGTTTAATGGAGAATAAATGCAGCTTGAAGTTCTAATCCCCTTATTCCATCTTCACATTCCAAAGTTCACGTCCTAGTATACTGAAGAATTTCTTTTCGTTCCCACAACAATCAGTAAGACAATTTGCAAATACGGAGATGTGAAAGAATGTGTAACCCATGAAACAAAAGCAATGGTATGCCCCAAAATCATAAAAAGTATACACTAGAATTCGGAACTTATAATCTCAAATTAAATTCACCGCAGAGCATGTCCTCAAGAAAGAAAGTGAGTGACTCGAAAAATAGTTGATAAAAGTGTGATCACTTCACAGGGCGAATCAACCAATCAGCGTTAAATGTATCCGTCGTCAACAACTGATAACAATTACCTGAAGCCAAACTTTAACAATCGTCTCCGCATGACTCTTCTGATGATGCAGCAACCACATGGACATCATCTGTACCGACTGCTGCGTCGTATTCAACGTCTGCAACCGTCTTGACATTGCTGCTTCAGAGAATCCAGCCATAAAGAAGAGTTACCTAGAAACTCAGCAGCTTAACAACACCTCCAACAAAACACATCTACGAATTCTAGTAGTATAGATTATATAATAACATTATAATGGCAGAATAATCTAGCATAATCATATGTTCTAAATTCTCCTTAACTACTCATAATAACAAAATATCATACACATCTACTGTATTCTCTCAAAAACCCTACCTTATATAGTTATCTTCTACCTTTTCAATTATTTCTCTAATTATGCCAATTAGCTTTATTCATATATCAAATATATCCACTATTCTATCATTTTGCAAGTAATCCAAAAATCCTTCCAGCCTTTATTTCTCTTCAGTCCCTCTCATACCATCAAATTATCACTCATCCATCACCCTTAACTCAAGCCCCGCTCTCCCGTCACACCTCAAAACTCTCATAACCCTCCCCACAACACCCCAAAACCCTCATAACCCTCCCCCACGGTTTACATTTTATAAAATCTGCCTTATCCCGTTTTTAACGACCAGAGGACGATGTGACACTGTTTTGTCTCTATTGATAAACAGTAGTGTGCAATTTCCTGTTTATTCGTTGAGGTAAAAAAGAAAATTCAGTTAAGGATATAAGGAAGAGCTGCTTAACATAAAAGGGTTATTGTTATCAGCACTATCTATTTGAGATGAAATTGGAATGCAAATATAATCTTTATAAGTTGGAATAATGTACAACAATTCATTTCTATAATTCTTCATAAAAACGTACGGTTTTGTCCGGACAAAATCCGGTAATGCTCATCTTGTCACTTTGGCCAGCATTGTACATTCAGGTAGTATTTTAGTATTAGTTAACAATCAGTACTTATTCAGCTGGTTCAAATTGTCATTTTTTTTCCATGAAACTTGAATTGAATATTTCACTTCATTAATGATTAGTATTATTAAACGATAATAAATCATCTAAAATAAACAGTTTAGCTTTAAAAAAGACTATACTAGAAAAAAATTCAGTAAAAAAAGTATAGTTTAGTAAAAATAAAAATAAGCGGTAACAGTGTAGTTTTTAAAATTAAATACAAAAATAGTTTGGCAATTAACAGTACGAGTTAAGGCTTCTTCTAGTGAAGTTTTTAATTTCATTACTGAGATATCAGATAGAAATTTAGTATTATTACAGATTTGTTTTATAAATATACTGTATTTAACTATCGGTACATTATTGCTATTCACATATGGCTCAGCAAATTGTTTAAAAGCGAAGAAACTTTCAGTTACAAAAGATGGTACTTTTTGTTGTATTTCTTTATAATATTTGATAATTTTTCTCAATAAATCGAGAAAATGAACACTATTAGGGATCAAAAAATTAAACATAAATGAATTTATAAAAAGTTGTATTTACTGTTAAGATGAGAAATTCTGACATGCTATTTATATGATTAATTAATACAAATTTAGCATCATCTAATCAACCAAAGAAAGCAGTTGTTGAACATTCTATACGTTTAAGTTATCACAACGATTTACCAAAAAGTGAAGGAAGCGATGAAACAACACCCAAAATTGTTAGCAAACATCATCCTGGAACTCTATTTATCAGTCCTGATCAGACACAATCGGGGTAAGTGCAAATTTTCAATAGTGTGAAAGATGTAATTATTAATAGTTTTGTTATTTCCTAGAAATCGGTAATTAAGAATAAGTATTTACCTAGTATACTATTATGAGACTTAATGATAATTAAGTATAAAAATAAGTTAAGCTGCTCGTCTAAATGTTTAAAAAAAAAAGGAAATGGTCCAGAAATCCAATTTTGATACATTATTATTATTATTATTTTGATCAGTTTTCCGTAAATTTTTGAGAAAATCTGCTATTTTACAACAAATTGGTTAACAGTGATATTTTGGTGATTGAATCAGTTATACATTTTATGTTTAAGTAAGTAATACGCTTTCAGAGTAATTGGCTCAAAGAATTTACTTCCATCCAAATATACGTCAAAATTATGTCGTGAAGCAGAAAAAGTTATCAGAAAATCTTTGGTAAATATTTCATTTAATTCTTTAAATTTCATAAAAACTATTTCATAGATCATTTAAATAAATGAATTTTAATTTTTTCCAGAAACTTTCAAATCTTTTAGAAATACTCAGTTTTTATTTTTTGATTGTTTCTCTATTTCATTGTTTCTTTCATTAGATGAAAAACGATAAATTCAAAAATTTTTGACATTTCATTTCATATTTCGGTTTGCTATTGTGTAATTTTTCAAAGTACTTTAATTATTAATACTTTATTTATTTTGCATTTATTTTTTTTTTTTCTGATATTTATTTAACTGATCTAGGTATCTATTTAGAAAAATGCTCACAAAAAACTAAAATACAAATGATATAAATGAATATGTTTTTTTTTTTTTTATTAAGATTGTTGGAAGTGAGAAATTGACAGAGGATAAAACGCAAGTGTCAGTACCATCGATGGATTTTACACAAATGACAGCAGAATCAGAAGAAAATGATAAGCAATCATCAAAAACATTAACAGAATCAACAATGAAAGAAAGCAAAAATATATTGAAACATGATAAAGCATCAGATGAAGCACTTACACAAAATGTTTCATTAAGTCAAACATTAGATGTTAAACAGGTAAAGGTGCAGCAACCTTCGGAAGGAGAGGAATCAGGAAGTAATGGACAAAGTGCTGCTGCTATTTCTACAACCGATGATCGTAAACAAGATAGTATCACAGTCGATACAAGTTGATAACAAAACAAAAAAAAAGAAAATCAGAATGACGATGATCGACAACAATTGAGATTTTCTGAAAAGAAAAAATAAATAAATAAACGTTACGTCAAAAAAAAAAGTCAATACTGTGTTATTGTGATATTTATTCTCTGTCCATTTGCAGATAGCATTTTGCTTTAAATAAACTTGTTACTTCTAAATGATATCGCTGATAATATGAAATATATTTGAAATAAGTAATAAATTTAGCCATTATGATAGTGTGATATCGTGATATTACAATTCTCTTGCTATGTTAATCATTTTAAATAAAACTTATCATTTGGACTATAGCTAATGAAGGGCTAATTGTTGTATCAGTGATGTATTGACAAGATTGAAATACGTATTGTTTTTTCTTTTTTCAGATGACATTATTCAAGAAATCAAAATATATCATTATGAGGGGATCATTATTAATTGATAATAGTGTGATAGATGTGAAATCTTTGCTTATCACTAAGCTTGTCACTGGGAAACATTTCAATTGATGATAATAAATGTCATCAATTGAAATCTGAGGTAGAATTGTTGTCATACAATTAATCATTATTAATAACAATAATTACTCTCGGTAATTATTTTAAAAATATGTTATAAAATAATAAATGCTATCCATGCTAAGGCAACAATAATGACCAATGCCACTTGTCCAAAATACACAAATCGAACTAATTTTTCTCGATCTTGTTCGTGAATTTGTCTAATATTCTTCGATCGATCACAGTAATTATTTGCAAAATGTTCACAATTGTTATTATCAGTTGTACTACTAGATATTGCCATTGATGATGATAATGATGTGATTGATAATGATGTGGTAGGTTGCTCAGTTATTCGTTGTTGTCTAGAAATAAAACTAAAATTATTACTTTATTATATTATTAGTATTTGAAATTAAAAAGAGAAATAAATGCTCAAAATATAATAATGGAAATGGAAAGCAATGAAAGCACAAATAAATTAGAAAATAAAAATTAAAGTAATAATTTACTGATTTCTGATGCAACCAACATCTATGCTTTCCCATCGAGCTAAGGAAGTTTGTTGTTGTTGTTGTTGTTGTTGATTGTATTGAAATGAAGAAGCATTTATGCTTGCTAACTCCATGCTAAGTCATTCTATATGTCGCTATTGTATACCTGTAATTAGCTCTAATTAATAATTTATATTAAATACAAATTCATAAACTAAGTATATACGTTAAATGCATAATTAATACAAAAAGCTTTTTAAATGTATTACTAAAATTAGCAGAGTAACTGATATAAATACAAAGCATTTCAAAAATTAATTCAAGCATTTGAATGAATAAAACATTATTGAAAGAAGAACTGTTCAAAACATTTGACAAAATGGCTCATTAAAATTTTTCTTCCACCCATTAAAAAAATAAATTAATTAAACTTCATTCTTAAAATTAAAATAGATCTTTTAGTCAATAGTTTTCTTTTTTCTTTTCACCCAAAATATTAAGCAATCAATGTTCATCAAATCATCCAAAAAACTCTAAGTGAAATCTCAAATATATTTTTGAGAAAATATTTCATACATTTTCATATTCGCACAATAATCGATGCAAACAAGTTATGAAAGTCGAAACAAAAATCATAAATTTAATCATAAATAACATCATGTTGATTTGTCATTGCTGGCGCTACTGACCGGTTTGTCATCGTATTTATATACTTAAGTATTTTATTATGACTTTAAAAATTGATCATAATTTTGAGCAAATAAATTCACCAAATTAACCCATAAATATAGAAACTTTGAAGAAGAAGGATTTTTGAAAACAAGCGCAATTAAACTACTAACAAACATCATTGAAAATATTTTATACAAAGGACAGAATTAATTAGAAAGTATTTTATACAAAGAGCAGAACTTAATTTATTTATTTCCTTGTGATGTAAACAGTTAAATAGTGCTAAAGCGTAAATATATTTTTAGTTCAAAATAAAATAATTAGTATTAGAAATAATAGCAATAATAGTTTGTAGATTAAAGTTAATGCGCAAATGTTACCAAAGATTTTTTGTTGGTAAAATTAATGCTAAATTTATAATTATTAATAAAATTTTCATTTGCTATAATATACTTGAATGTTTGAATAATCTTTCAAATAAATGCCGAATAGTTGAAATATTTGATTATTACTAAAGTGAATTTCTGATGTGAAACTAAAGCAATCTTTGAATTACAATTTATAGATTATCGATTAAAGTAAGAATAACAAGTTGGATAGAAAAAATTTACTGAATTGAATAAAACATAAAAATATTTAAAAAATAAGTAGTTGTAATATATTTTGTAAATATTTATTTTGATAAAAAAATTTTTGCGAAAAAAATTCTTTGTTTTGATATATTACAATCGAATTTCATATAATTGATAATAATAATAAACAGGTAAAATTAATAAAAATGGATTATATAATAATTTAATCCAAAGGAAAGGATAAAAAATAAATTTGAAAATGAATAGAAAATGATTATAATAAGAAAATTAAGTGCACATTAACTTAAGGGATTTCTATAATAATTTTTATTTTTCATACCGTTGAAAAATTTACCTTTTTATAAGTTAAATTTATTTCCATAATTAATAGATGAATATAAATCGAATAAATTTTTAAAATTTTATTTCTTACTCTTCTGATAGAATAATAATTCATTATTTATTATTTACTTCTTTAAATTTGGGATGCACAAATGATTTTAAACTTTAAAAAACAAAATAATAAACCCTTTTTTTTCATTAATTACGATAAAAACGATTAAAAAATTGTAAAATGTTTTGAAAAATTATATTATATCATAGAAATATGAGAAATGATTTGGTCCAAAGTAAATATCACAATGCGATTTATTTTTTTCATTACTTACTTTTCATTGAAAACAGCATTTGACAGTTGTTTAAACTGTCAATCAATTTATCAAATTTATCGCAAAAGTATGCTGCTGTTCGTTATCTCATTGAACTATTACTTAAGAATTTCTTTTATGCTTTACTCAAATTTTTTTTTTTTTAATTAATATTTTTCTAATTGGAAATTTAATAATATAAAAGCAAGAAGATAATATCAAATCATAATGGTCAAGTTTAGAAATCAAAAAAAAAAAAAAAATAGGAGGTGAAATTAAAATGAAAGATATTGTATGGATGATTTTAATAATTGCAATTTAAATATTTAATAATTATATGCATATGAAATTATATTACAAAGTTCGATCAAAATGTAAAAAATAATTGTTCAAAAAAAAAAAAATTGAACAAAACATACATTTTTAAATTATCTAAGTGACTGATTGTTTTTATTTTTCATAAAGACTTGAATATGTTTTTTTTTCTTTCTTTTTCTAAATTTATTTTCAGTTGAATATTTTTCTTAATTAGCTATTGCATTAATTAGAGTAAATGAGAAATCAGTAAATGAAGTGCAAATTGTTATCTGTGAAAATTTCGAATTGAAAAGAAAATGACTAATAATAATTGATTATACGATAATGAATTTGTGCATTTAAAATTTTTTAAATATTGTATTATCTATAATGGAAAATGTTATGCACTTTATGTGATTAGTTTTTCTTTTTTTCAAAATTAAAACTGAATTTTTCTTTTTTCTTTTTTTTTTTCTTGCATAAAATTTCACAAATATCATTGATGGAAAATAATTTGTGATCGATGAAATGTAAGGGATGAATGGTTGCGAGGCAACGAACTAATTTAAAATGCAGAATGAAATGAAGGAGTAATAATTAAATTTAATATAAATCTAACATTAAAATAGAAATGAAAGAAATCTACATTAATTCAAATTATTAAAAATGAACGACAAATGAAAAAAGAGATAAAAAGAAAAATGTTTCATCTCATTTTTTTTTTTTTTGCCTAATTTAAATTATATAAAATGGAAATTGAAAATTTTAGCATACATATAGTGAAGTGATAAAGGTCAACTGATAATGATAAATATGGGATAAAAGATAAACTATAATTTAAATCAGCTCAAAAGAAAATTGCTTATTATCAACTGATGTGAAAAAGTTTTAAACTTACTTTAATATAATAATAGCAATTGACGGAAGTGTCATTTGGTAATTTCATCGTATTTATTATATTACTTTCGTAATGGAAAAATTGTATATTAAAAAAAAAAAAAAAAACAAGAAGTATTATTGCAACTAAAAAAATAATTTTTTTTTTAAAAAAAATTTTATTTAAGTATTAAATTTTCAAAATTGGTTTTTAGATAATGCAACCAATTTTTGCAAAATGAATGAATGAATAAATCTCAATAAATTATCACTTTCTAGCATTTTTTTAAATTACAATTAATTAATGAAAAAGAAATGATGCATGAAGGAATGCATAATTTCATTGTTATTATTACTATTATTATTATTATTACTATTATTATTATTATTATTATTATTATTATTATTATTATTATTATTATTATTATTATTATTATCACAAGTTTCGATTATCACTATCACTAATTAAGTCATTTTAAACTTTTCCTTTTTTTTCTTAAAAAAAAAAAGGAAGAAAAAGAATTTTATAAAATAAAAAAGAAATGAAAGAGAGAAGAAATGATGCGACTCGTTGACAAATTTTCTATGAGAAAAAAAAAATGTATTTCGAAAAAAAGACGCTGAAAATGATGTCTATTTGCGCTTTTTGTAGTGTTCAACTACAATTATTTAAAGTCAATCGAAAGTGTCATCTATACACTTTCAACCTTCAACTTTCAACCTTCACCTTTCACCTCTTATCTTTTACTGTAGAGCAAACAAAATCAATGATGTAAATTAAATTAAATTTCAGTTAATTTCTCTTTTCTTTCTTAAAAAAAATTGTCATTGTTATCATTGATAACTTTTTATTGCTTTTTCTTTTGTTGTATTCAAAAAATTTTAGCAAAACATTTACTTTTGTGCATCTTGGCTCTTTTTAAAATTAAAATTAAAATTAAAAAAAAAAAAACATGCCAAGCATTCATTACTGCACAATTAACTAATACTTTTACAATCCATTAATTCAATTTTGAAATATAATTTGACAATTTTTTGATAATATATCATTAATTAAAAGACTATTTACTTATAGCAATGATATTTTTCACATTTTATTCTCACTGGTTTTTATCATTTCAAAATGATAACTTATCACTGCAGATTAATAATGATACTCGAAGAAATCTCAAAAATTTTTTGGATATTTTCAAAAAAGAAAAGTCATAGTTTAAATTTATTGTCATTCGAAGAAGTTAAGGTTGCATTAATGGAACAAATTATCCTAGTAACATTGACCTTTTTCTTTTCTTACAATGTCATTTGAGGTGATATCATTGCGACATTACCGCTCAATAAATGACAGTTGCAATTTCTCGTTGCACACATTTCTCTATGCAAATTATCTTCAATTTCATTCATTGCATATAATCAATTTGGTTATTAAATGTGGCAGCAAGTGGTTGTGACTTGCGTATTTCTTCTGTTCAAAGCAAAATTTCATGCAATACAATTGGCCGATCACAGTTATAACGGTCGATTGATCAATCCTTAACTGATATTAACACGGCTAGCTGATTGATCGATTGATTGATTGATTGATTGATTGGAAAAGTTTAAACTTATCATCTAACAGTTTTAGGAAAATTTTTGAAAAACAAATTTTAATAATATAATTTTTATTTTGCAAAACATTTATTATTTTTGCCTTATCGATGAGTAATATCAGGAATTTATGAATGAATAAATATTAATTCTCTTATTGCATATTAGAATCAATTTTCAGGTACTTTTCCTATGATTTTGGAAGCAACCAGCAATGATACCGTGGAGAGAGTAAAACTAAAATCAAATGAATCGGAAAAGTAAGATTAAAGTTAAATGAATCGTGAAGGTAAAAGTAAAATCAAATGGATTAGGAAAATGCAAATAAAATGAGATGAATCAGGAAAATGGTAGAGTAAAATGAAATGAATCAGGAAAATGGTAGAGTAAAATGAAATGAATCAGGAAAATGGTAGAGTAAAATGAGATGAATCAGGAAAATGTGAGTAAAATGCAATGAATCAAATTGCTAACAGTTGATAACGACTAGTATCGTACATAAATTTGTGGTACACCTAGAAGTGATAATATTTCTTCGATTGTATGGCAGAAACTAAATGATAAAAGAAAACGAAATAAGAGAATAATCTCAAGTAAGCATCTGTCTTTAATTCATTGCTATTGTATGATTTTTTTTTTTTTTAATTATTAATTATTATTAAATGATTAATACTCACTGATTTAAAGACAATTATTTATTTGATTTCAAATATTAGTACTTAATTTCCATTCTTCTTATATAAGATTAGTTAGTTAGTATTTTTATTTTTTTCTTGATGATAATTTAACTTATTTATCAGACAAACACATTAATCTTTTAATTACTTCACTTTATCAATAAACTAATACAAAATATAATGATGAAATGAAACTAAGAAAATGCGATTTAATTAAAAATTGAAATATTAGAAAGTTTACACTGTAAATGCATTATTGTTGCAAATTCTAAGTTCCAATCATTCAATATTTCAACTTATTTATTTAAATTTTGTTTTAAAAAAAAAGATTAAAAAAAATGAACAATTATGCAAGCCACTTGCAATATTTATAGAAAAAAAATTGAATTATTTGATTGCTGTCATAATTTTCACATGTGTTTAATATGTTATTTTTTATTTAAATTTTGTTTTTTGTTTTTGTTTTTTTTTTTTTTTTTGTTTTTTAAGTCTTGATGTTAAAATATCTTATTGTATCATTTTAAAAAATGCAATCAATTGAAATTTTAACAAATTTTATATTACTCAAATTGTGCATTATTAAATGAAATGAAATTATTCCAATTTAGAAGTGTAGTTTAAATTAATATAGCAAGCAAATATAGTAGGATCAAATTTAATAGTTTAATAAAAGGATAATTGATTTCTTAAGTTTAAATTGCTATTATTATAATTTTATTTTTTAATTTTATAATAAAATTAATTTATTGTAATGTAAACTATTTTCTTGATAGCATCATTTCATGAATTGATTTTAATTTTTCAGTTCGAAATAGATCAAATTTACTTTTAAAAAATACATTATTTCATGATTTGATTTTAGTTTTTTCTTTTTTTTTTTAACTTTTTGAAATAAATCGAATTAGTATAATTAATGCAAAATGCATTCAGAAAATAAAGAAACATTATCCAATCAGACAAATGGCGCAAATGGTGAATTTTATAGCAATGTCACAGACAGTATGAATACGACAATGATGGCATGCAATTTTTAAATTTCTCATCAATTTTGTTAAAATTTTTTTTTTTAAAAAAAAAATGAGGAAAAAAGATTGAATTAAGGAGAGTCAATTGCGCTTCAAATAACAAAAAAAAAAAAAAAAATGCGATAGAATTGGATTGTCTAGTGAGTAGGATTATAATGAAATGGTGCTATTCCAAATGTTTGATAAAATTGGATTTAATATTTACTTGAATGCCTCTTTAAAATAAATTCAATTTAAAATTCATTAATTATAAATCCAATAATTAATTTCTCATTTATGATTTTTTTTTCGAAAGAAAAGAAGAATATTTTAGATGATATCAGACACAAAAAATTCCTCAATTACTCCAAGTAGGTTAAAATTTTAAATTTACCAAATTGTTTATTAATGAAAATTCATTTTTCACATCAAAATTTTAATTGCAATTTTGCAAGTTTTAATAATACTTTAAATATTGAAAATTAAATGACATCTAATATCATTTAATTAAATAATTTATGATTGTATGAGTTTGATTGATTTAAAATTAACAAAATCAAAAGTAATAAAAAAATTCTATTAAAAAAAAATAGATTATTGTTCGATGTTTTATTGAATCTTAACATTGAACAATACACAGTATAGTTTATGTAATATAAAATTTTTTGTAATTTCAAAAATTGGAAGCAAAGTTTCAATTAATTTACAATTAAATAAATTTATTGTTTTTTTTTTTTTTTTTTTTTTATTGAAATAATATGAAAATTTATAGTGGGAAAAGTGTTAATAGCAATGAGTGTCACAACAATATTAACAATAATTGTCACCTTTGTATTAACCATTTATATCACCGAGAAGAGATTATTCACTGAGCGACAAATAGCTATGCAAATAATTCCAACCGGATAAGTAATTTAATCCGGTTGGAATTATTTTTAACTCATATTTTGTTTTTTCATTTTTTCTTTATAAGCTTTGTAATAAAATACGTTTGTTTACATTTTTCTCAAATCCTACAATATAGCATTTCAAAATAATAAAATTTCAAATACAAATAAAAATAACTGTTTAATTAAAAAAAAAATGAGCGATCAAGAATTTATATTTTGATATTTTTAATCAAAGAATTTCATGAAGCAATTAGATTTTTATTTTGACTTTTGACCTTTATTCATTTTACAAATACTTTTAAGTATAATTTTATCTTTAATAGAAATGGATAAGTAGAACTGATTTAAAATACTCTTCATTGATCATTTAGCTGATCGGTTATTTTCCTATAAATCAGTTAATCGATCGCTTATTATTTTCATATGCATAATTGAGTGCTAATTAAAATGTATTAATTATTCAATAATAGAAATAAAATACTTTTGTTTACATTCTTCGTTTATTTTCCTATAATTCTTTTATCTTTTTTTTAAAATGAAAAAAAAAAAACGAATTTTAACTTTTCACTCAAATATCATTGATTACGGTTTTCTCTTCTTTTTTTTTTTTTTTATTCAAAAAATCTGTCATTAAAATATTTCACTAAAAACTATTTTTTTTTCTCTGTGATAATTGAATATCAATTTCTTATTCACCTTTGACCCAGTCATGGATGTAAACAAATGAATTATTAAACGACCTTATGTTAATTTACTACTATCAATTTACTTAATTACTATTAATCACTTAATTTGCTACCATTTAATTATAACTATTTCATTACTTTTTAACAAATATCTCAAACATTCTAAAATGCTAACAATGTTTTAATAATTAAATTTAATATCATCCAAAAAAAAAAAATGTCAAAAATCTTTAGAACTGCTTAAAATTGTCCTCATTTCATACATATCAGTTCATTAATCGTTTCGTTCAAAAGTCAATGACATAAAACTATGTCAATACTTCTTGCATTTCAAGCTAATTTATTTTTATTTTTTATTTTTTTAAATGAAATATTTCGCATAAGTGCTACCTGTGCAAGGAATTGTTCAATCAGATAGTATTGCAATTCGCGAAATCATTTTGTTACTAATTAATCATAAATATTATTAGGTATTATTATTATTATTATTTAGGCATTAGATATTATTTTAATAGAATAAGTGCAACCTATAAACTAATAGAAATTAGTAGTAGAAATTTAAAGTAATAATTATTAATAATGAATTGCAGAAAAAAATTACATCAATTACAATTACAGAAAAAAATAATGAAGAATAAAAAAGGAATTAAGAATTTCTTAATTATTAATTGAATATTCAATAATAATAGATAAACAATACGCAATTTTTATTAACAATTTTATTATTTATGTATATTAAATATTTGATTGTAATTTGAATTACTTTGAAAAATTAGTTTTCTTTATTGATAAATTTTGATTGTATGTTTCATTTGATGAATTTGCCAATATCAGATGTTTTTCTCATTTGTTGATAAAATTATTGATAATAATTTCGTAAAAGTGAACAAAAATTAGAACAGTGATAACTGTTAACAGTAATAATTGCAAAAATTATTATTTCAAATAGAAATTCATTTAAAAATGCTTTAGATTATGAGAAGATTCTCTTATACAAAATTGATAAGAGGGAAATTAATTGGAATCTGGACTGTAGTGATAATCATTATCATTTCTCTTTTCTGGATTTATCATCATCAAAAATTATGCGATTTTTCCATAAAACAAGAAATTTCAATGTTAAATTCAACTTTCCAACAATCATCACAATCAGAATTTGTGAAAGGATTAGAATTTCGTTATGTATGGCATAAAATTAATCAATACGAAATGATTTTTCAACCATTTTGGTATTTGATCGAACCATCGGTATGTACAAGTATGTGCTACAAACAAACAAACAAACAACAGAAAAAAAAAAGCAAAGCAAAAATCATAATTTGTTTTTTTAATCAAATTGAAGTATTTTTAAACGAATTATCTAAAAACTCAATAATAAGTGAACTTAATTTTTACACTATTATATATATATATATATTTTATAAACAAATATTAAAGTAAATTATTTTATAAAATAATTTTTCTTTTCTTTTTTAAAAAATTTTGAAATACTTTGATATATGCTAAATTTTTCTCTCTGATAAAATATTAATGAGATGAATCATTTATTCAATTGAAAATCTTTCTAAATTCATTTCTGATATTTTTTGTCAGTTTCATTTTTTTTTTCCAATAGAATGATTAAATTTGTGGAATTTAAGAATACTATTTTTGATTACTGTAATTTATCAAAGTGGTTAAATATATTAGCAAAGAATTAAAAAAAAAAATTCTATTAAATTTGATAGTTTATAGAGAAGAATAATAAAAATAGGAAAAAAAAATTTAATTTCAGAAAAAAAATATGCAAAAATACTTGTTTACATTGCAATAACACCGGACGAGAATGGTTTATTAATTAGAAATTTAATTAGAAATACCTGGGCAATTGAAGCTAAAAATAATGAAATTGAGGTATGCAATTGCATTTTTCTTTTCTGTTAACATTACAGTTTGAAATTTGTCAAATGAATAAATTATTTTTGAATAGCAATGATTATATATGAGTATTGTATTTCAATGATAAATGATTACATTTAATGAGAAAAAATTAGGAGGAAAATTCGAAAATAGAAGTTAAATGTAAAAAATATATTTTAACTTTCTTTTTTAATTAAATCATTAATATGAAAGGAAAATTTTAACCTTTTTAAAATTAAATCATTAATATGATAGTAGTATCTTGACATTTTTTTTCGCTTAAATTTAAATTAATTTTGAAGAATTTTAAAATTATTTCAGATAGTCTTTTCAATTGGAATTGGAAATGGTAGAGAATTAAATCAAATGAATAATACCGATGCAATTTTTGAGGAAAACATGCAATTTCATGATATTTTACTCGCAAATTTTGTTGATAGGTATTATTGTTGTTATGTTTGCATAAATTTCAAAAATTTATATTTTTTTTTGAATGATTTAAGTGAATTTTTTGAAAAAAATAGCTTAATTAATCAGTTAAATTGATAAATAATGAGTTAAATAAGCAATTAAGAGAAATAATGCAATTATATATTATCAAAAAATTTTCCAACTATTAAGTATTAATAATTAATTGGGCAATAATTTTATCATTTCATTTATTTTCTTTCATCCGATTCAAATTCAATGTATTTTATTTGTGATTATTGTTTAAGCATTAAAAAAATATAATAATATATGCAACAATGATATTTAATTTATAAACTTTAAAAAAAAAACAATAATATTTAATTTTTTAAATTATTCACAAATATTATTCTTACACATTTATTTAGAAAAAAAAAAATTTTTAGATGGGAAAATTTATTGTTAAAATGGTGGAGCAATAATTATTATCACAGTTCACAATGTTCACATATTTCATTAATGGCTAGCATAGATTCAGATGCTATTTTATTTGGTAAAAATTTCAAAAAATTACTCGATACTAAGAGTAACACATTTGATGGATATTTAGGATGCACGGTAAATTTTCTTTTTTATTAATTATTTTTTTATAAAATATTTCAAAAGAAATAATTTTATTCTTTTTTTTTTAAAATTATTTTAATTAATGTAATATTTTTTTAAAGATACTTTCAAAACAACCAATTATACGTGATAATTTTAATCGTTATTACGTGAATAAATGGCAATGGCCTGGTGATATACTTCCAGTTTATTGTAGTGGAACAATGATTATTGGAAATGTTCAGGTAAAGGAAATTAATAATATATTAATATTATTTATTGCTTTTTCTTTTGATCTATTTGTTTGTTTATTTATTTATTTATCTTTTTTTTTTTTTTTTTTTTTGATTAATATGATATAAATTTAAAGATAAATTAAAAATAGCTTATTATATATATTAATTTGCTATTTGATAAGAAATTTATCAATATAATGAAATTAATGGGAGAAATTTGATAGGCATGCAAAAAAATTTCAAATGTTATACCAGAACTTGGTATTCATTATATTACCGGATTTCGAATTTTTGATGTTCTTACCGGACCAATTGCTCAGGTGTGTTATTATCATTTCGAATTGTTGTTGTTAGATTATTTTTTTTCCTTTTTTCTTTTTTCTATGAACTATGAAAATCTTTAGGCAGCTGGATTACAACTTCGAAATATTCCTGGAATACAACCTTGGTTACCTGTAATTGATATTTGTCAATCGCATATCATTGTCATTCATTCAGTAAAAATGGATGAATTTAACGCTTTCTTCTATTATCGGTTGATAAATTTGATCATTTCAATCAATAAATCTTAATTTTAATTTATTATATAATCTTAAATGCTTAAGTATTTGAATTTAATTTCAATTTATATTTATAATATATAATTCTCCATTACTTAATACAAATTAGAACATTTAACTTTAATTTTTACACTTTATGTTATATATCTTTCACTAATAATTTTCATCTTTTTGTATATAACACATATTTTTTTTGAAAAAAAATTTCATTATCCATAATATTTGTAGTCTTAATTTATTTTAACTTTTTTCTTTTCCTGAAACAGACAACGATGTTGTAGTGGTCATGAGAAGCAGCGCAAATGTCCATTTAATGGGACAATTAATTTCAATTTCGTGTCAACACATTCAGGTCTTTTACAATAATTTCAATTCATATTATTTGATTTTCATTCGAAATTCGTTATGATTGTGAAAAATATTAAATAAAATAAAAAAAGAAAAAAAATGATTATAAATATTTAAAAAAAAAAAAATGAATTTCCTTTATTATTTCTTTATTTACTTCGAAAAAAAGTGCATATATATATAAAGTAAAATAGTGAAAATATTCAATTCTGAATTTAAAAAAAAATGAAATTTTGATAAATTTTTTTCAAGTAAACAAAATAGGAAAGACAAGAATTAAAGTATTTTAGGCAATTTGTTCAAAAGAAAGCAAAAAATAAGTGGAAGAAAATTTTTGTTAGACTAAAAAAAAAATTGACGAATGACAGCTCCCAGATGAAAAGTATTATTTCAGAATAATTCAGTTCATATAAACACATTTATTATGCATTTTTGGTTCGATGTTCAATACCGGAAACAAGAATACCCGAGAGAATCAATTGCCGGAAAAATTTTTTCTTCCAAACATCCATTAAAGATATCCATTTTCTACAATTTTAAAAATAAAAAAGTAATAATCTTTAAAAATATTATATATATATATGTTTTATATAATAATAATCTTTCAGTTACATTCACCAAAAAACAAACAAACAAGCCAAATAAATGAACAAATAAATAAATAAACAAACCACAAATTTATTATGTAATTTGCAACAAACTTTTAATCAGTTATAAATATGATCTAATAATGATTAATTTAAACTTTTCCTGTATCTTTGTTTTTGCATGAAATTAATAAAACACTAAAAGCGCATTCGCTATTTTAATTTATCACTTATAGTATAAATTTTTTTTTTCTTTCGAAGAAAACAAAGATGAAAACTCACATTTTAGTTAACAATTTATTCCATTTTGATGAATTTAATCCATTTTTGATTAGAATTTCTTTCGAAGTATTATTGATAATGAAACGGCGGCCTTTGAAATTAGAAAAAAAAAGTGAAAAAAAAAAAATCATAGAAGCATTAAAGTATGAGATGCAAAATTTATAGCAATGTATCTGTACATAGTAATAATTAGTAAAATGTAATAATTAAATATATTTAAAAATAAATAATTAATAAATAAATAATGCAATAAAATTAATAGCTTATCAGGAACCATTCTTGTTAATGTCATCCATCATCTCATCATACAATTCATTCCATACAACATCCGGTACTTCGACACCATTCACCGGTGTGATAATTTTTACCGTAGTTTGATTGTAGAGCTAAAAATGATAAATGAAAATTTAAATTTTTAAAATAAAATTTGATTTTTTAAAATAAAATAACAATGATCATTTTTTATAATTATAAATATTAAATTATTTATTAAAAATGACAAATATTTCTAAACGATATTTTTGAATTATATTATTTAATACTGTGATTCTGCTGATAAGTATCTTCCGTTAACAGTGGGAATAGCGCTATTTGTTATTGATAATTATTTGAAATATCACAAAAAAAAAAAAAAATGCTAATTCATTGTAGATTATGATAATAGTAGAATATGCGACTTTTGCACTAAATTCATTACTCAGTTATTTTAAGTATTTTGTAGAAACATACTAAAGTAGGTTTCTACAAAAACATACTAATCATTCCTCAACAATGATCAGTATTGTTACTAATAATTTAAAAATCATTATTCTCTGCTTTGTTTATAAAATTTCAATTTTGTAGTTTCAAAAAACAAGAAATCACCTTTTCCTCTAATTCGATCATTTGTTTGAAGAATCCAACATTAGGACAAATAATATTTCGTATATTTTGCACTTCTTTATAAGCATCTCGTAATGTCATCTTTTCCACACACATCAAATATGCAACAACAAAAGTTGCTGACCTATGCAAATTAATTATCGCTATAATTTTATCACTATAATAATTATTTTTCAAATAGAAATGAAAGAAATTAGAAAAACTACAAAAAATTTTTTAATTTACAAAGTCCCAAAAAAAAAAAAAAAAAAACAAGAAAACAAATTCTATTTTTTATTTCGATTTTGTTTTTATAAATTCTCGAAAATTTATTTAATAAAAAATGATGTACCTGGATATGCCCATACCACAAAAGATGAGCACTTTGCCACCATTTCTTTTTTGATCATCAATTTTACGAAATACAATATGCCAATATGGACTTAAATCTGTTCCTTCGTCATCCTCAATTGGTATATGAAGCACAGAAAGATGCGATGGTAGAATTTGTCGTAAACCTGCGACACAATTGATCACACAGGTAAATCTAAATTTAAATCATTGCCGATTTTCAATAATATAAATATTAATTATATATTTAATTTGAGTGAAATTCCATGCATTAGTTATGCATAATTGTAATGAATTTTTTTTCTTACTTTAATATTATCGTAGTATTATTAATTTATAATTTATTGTATTATTATAGGTTGTACAAAGAAGAAATTAAAAAATACGCTTACGGTCTAAGTGATGTTGGCGTAAGTGGTGCTAATCCACTTAGATAGAGAAATGGTCGAATCTTTGATATCATTGATGAATCCTGAGAAATCACTTTAGAAGTTGTCATCGTTGTAAGATGATAGTGATAGAAAAATTTTTAGCTAGGTAATACCAAAACAAAATAATAGCTAAGGTATGAGCTAGAATGAAATGCTATTGTGGTTGCTATGATGCTAATAACCCAACGATTGATGTATTCAAATGAAACGATGAAAGAAAAAAAAAAAATATTGGAAAAGATGAAATTGAACAATAAGAAAATTGGACTAAAATTGGTGATGCAGAGAAAATACTTAAAGCAAGCAATTTCATTTAATGGATTCTTTTTTTCCTTTTTTGCTTTTGCTTTTCTAATTTTTGCCTGCAATGAAAACTAGGCCTTTTCATTCGTCTAATCTAATCCAATCCAAAAACCTTATCAAATATTTATTGCAATTAAATTTGATAAGCAAAAGATAATTGTTAAATGATAATCGATTTTTTTTTTAATTCTATTATCATTTAATTTACACATTTTTCAATGATAACTTATCATCATTTACTGCTATTATTTTCATTGCTCTTTCTTATATTAGTAATTTTTTTTCCAAGCATTATAAATGCTTTAAAGTGTTATTCATGCTCTTATTCAATGCTTGAATTAACACCTGAAAATGATGATTTTTTTTGCGCTAATGAATCATTAATTAAAATTGATCGCGATTTAACGACACGAATTTGCGCACCATGGGAAAAATTTTGCATGGTAAATGATTTGTTTTTTTGTTTAGATTTATTTTTTCTCTTTAATATATACATATATTATATAGTTAATTTCTTTTTAATTCCTTCTTTTTTTTTTTTTCACACTAGCAATTTAGTTGAGAAAAACTACTTTTATTTATATTATTCAGAGATAAAATTTTTCTTCAGAAATTTTTTAGAGAGAAACAAAAGGAGTATTTTTATAAATTAACTTATTATAATTTCAGATTTAAATTAATCAGTAATATTAATTAGCAATCATAATGATGATAAATTCATAAATAAAATAAAATTCATAGATATTTATTCGCCAGGTAAAGTATCAAATGGTACTTACACGTATGGTAAAAGTAAATTTATATTGAATGATACTTACACCTATTGTAAAAGTAAATTTATATTGAATGATACTTACACGTATGGTAAAAGTAAATTTATATTTTGAAAAAAGTTAATAAGATGAAACAAGGAAATATATTACACGAGAATTATTAGCAAAAATTTTTGATGATTTAGACAACTGTGGAGACATCATTGAAGGCATTCAGTGCTGTGATTCGAGCTTGTGGTGACATCTGTCGTGAACCTTGTGAATCAGATGGGTATGGGACAGATATGGTACGATGTGATCACTGCTGCACCGAAGACTTCTGCAACGGAAACTATTCCGTCCGTTACTATATGGAATTGATGAAACAACAGCATACTTCATGGATTAAGCCATTAGTAGGCGAAAAACTTTACAATCGTAATAATAATATTACTTTTCCTTACTAATCTTTGCTTACTTTTATTGTAAATTATTCAAATTACCATCAATTGTTAATTTAATTAAACAATTTTGTTCAGAAAAGAATTAAATGTAATTTTTAGCTTATATAAAAATTTACTAATATAACAATTACTATGTTTAGTAATACTTTTTCTCTGCCTTTTATATCACTTCGCATTACAAAATATTATATCAATTAGTAAAGTGATATTGAGAAATACTTAAATAAGTTATGATTTTATTAATAATCTCAATTAATTATAATTAATTCAACTCTGATTGTTAGTTAAATAAAAATATCTACAATTATTACTTAATCACTGCCTTTATCATATCACACAGGTTAAAAATTGCAAAAAGTACAGAAAAAGTTTTTGAAATCAATTGCTTATCTTTTCTCATTTTATGAGTAAAAAGGAAAATTGTTAACAAAAGCGATGCTAATAACGATAAGGTGATAAGGATTGATAAGAAACATTGCTGTAAATTGGTGATAATTATTTATTAACACGTAAAAGACAGAAAAGCTTTATGAAAGCGCTATCAACGCTTGAGATAAAATTCTGATAACATTTGACGAATTTCCTGGGTGAAAATGAAAATAGAAAGAAGAAAGAGGAGAAAGAGAGGGAGAGAGAGAAAGAGGAAGATAATAGATTAGGAGAAAATATTGAAATTATGTGGATTTGTTGGATATTTCATTATTACACATTACGCATCGATGTGATAAATTTTGCTTTCTGCTTGTTTTACATTACAAGTGATAACAAGTGAGTGCAGCTGATAACAGATAACAGTAAGTATGAATGAATCAAATTAAGATAGGAAAAGTTGTTTATTTGAAAGTTAAATTTGTTGCTCTATAGTTTAAATTACCTGTTTATGTTTCATAACCACAAATAAAGCTGTGAATTATAAACTATAAAATGCTCATAATGAATATAATATATAATAAAACAATTAGTGCAATATAATACAATAGTATAGTATAGTATAATATAATATAACAACATAATGTATAATAATAATAATAATATAATATGTAAAATAATAAAGATGATATGATATAATAATATAGTCCATAATATATAATAGGAATAATATAGAACAAGATATGGTACAGTTATAAGTAATTAAATAGTACAGTATAAGAATAGGAGGAACAGAAATATATATTGTCTTTAAATGAATTCTTAATTTTAAACAAAATGAATCCGAAGTATTTGACAAATTTCACGACCATTGTAGTAGTACTCTAATATTTCATTGAAATAATATTTATTATTAGCAAATGTATTAAATTCATGAAGTTTATTGGATAAGTATTCATTTACAAGGTAAAAATAATTTATGCATCTAAATTATGCAATAAGAATTGATAGAGTAATCGAACCAATAGTATAATTTATTGATTGATCGAAAGTGATCGAAAAAGTTATATAATTTATTGATTAGGTTAGTGAACAAGCATTCTCTAAATACTTTTTATAATCATTAAAGATTATCAGGAAACTATTATACCGAATAGATTATTGTTGTATCAACTTCTTAAAATCAGCTTATCTATTTAATAACTAATTGTTATACAACAAAGACAAGAATTTAGCATGTTTGAAACTTTTGAGATAATATCAGTTATACTTTAACATTATCTTATCTTATCTAATTCTTTATCTATACCGCTTAATTCTATATTTACATTATGATATGATTAGATTGAATTATTTCATTTAAAATTGTTTTATGAAAGTAACATCTTATGATGAATAAACTGAATTATCTAAAATGCATGCAATTGCAACAAGATTTCTCTATGTATCATTAAATTTACAACTTCTATCTTTGTTACCTGAAGCAGGTTAATTAATGAAATATTGACTGATTTTTTCGACTTCAAATGAATTGTTTTAAGTTTATCTAGAAAGATCTTAATTTTATAATTTGCAGAAAAATGCTCCCAAAATATTGTCTAAACTATTCATATTTTTGGCGCAAATTTTCGAGGTGATTTGAAATATTTTATAACAAAATGTAGTGTAGGAACTAATTGTTAGGTAAAAAGTATTTTCACAAGATCAAATGTAGTAATGTTATTGATTGATCATAAATCACAAAATAGGAATTACTTCAAAAAAGAGCAAAAATACGGAACGAATACTTTTATTTCAACAATAGAAACATTATTCCAAAAAAAAAAAGGAAAAAATTGCACTGAAAAAAAAAAAAAATGAAGATTTAGAACAATCAATCAACTTTTATATTCAAAAAAGCATTTAAAAATTTTATTTAAGATAAAATTGCCAGAAGATGGCACAGGATCAGACAGTATAAATCATTTAGTTTTGCTTGAATCCTTTGCAATAGAAGACACTGATAGATATGAAGGCTTTTATGGAAATATTTGAAATGCCACTAAAATTCTCACTACTATCCACCCCCTTTTTTTTTCTGTCAATCTTTTTCTACAATTCCTTATGGAATATAATCGTATTATCATTTCGAATATTTTCTCCTATTTTTGTTGTTTTATATTGACTATAAAAAGAAATTATTGCCCGCTAAATTTCTTTACTAATATAAAGTAATTTTAACTAAATCAGTTTAAGATTATCTCTACAATGCTGTAACTACAAATTATCAAATGATAAAAACTGATAGGAATCACAAAGCCTCTGGCTGATTTTCTATGTAACATCTCTACTACTTCTGTCATGAGTAAAGTGGAAGCAGAAACCAATATGTAAAATAAATAAATAAATAAAAAACTCTAGAGTGATGCACCATTATCACCAGTCTCATTTCCAGTGCCATGTTCTTGATATTTGACAATTTCTCGAAATGCTAGATTGCAATTCTTAGCCAAATCTTCACCAACTTTACGAAAAGAAGCAAATGGGTGACTTTTTATTTTCTTATCTTCCAGCAAATATTATGAAATGAAATAAAGCAAGAAACAAAAATTTATTGCTAAATATTAAGGCAATGAGAAAACATATGAACTGCAAAAATTACTAAAAAATTTTTTCATACAACCAAACACGATCAAAGCAATTTCCAATGGTACAAAGCAATAGCCACTGAGTGTTTCCCTCGGATGGCGGTGGCGGTAATGGAAAACGACAAGCTATCAGAAAGGAACCAATCTTCATTTCCATAATTTTCATGGACAAATCACCCATCTACAAAATTCATTTTATTTATATTGCAACGGTGAAGTTACTCATAACGATACAGCTGTCCGAGATTTGATGAGAAAATTTTGATTAAACAACACTTCCTAACTTAAAGAATTAAAAAAAAAAAAAAGAGCCTATAACTGACAAGAATATTCCCATGATAAGTCTCTAAATCAATTGAAAACACTAAATTTAGAATGTGAACTAAAACTTGTCGTAAAATTCTAACTTACCAAAGTTTCGGTTCCAAATATAATTGCCGTTTTGTATTGCTTTAGATCGGCTTTGAAAATATCTTTGCGATAAAATTTAGTAAGATGTGAAAGGGATTCTTGACGAGCCTTCCACCGTGAATATAGTACCAATGGGATGTTTAATTCTAGGCCAACACTCAAGTAACCTGCTCTGGCACATTGTAAAACCTGAAGAGCTCTGAACAAACTGTATGCAAATAAACAACAAAATTATTAATGACAAGAAACCATGCTAAAATATATCTTTATAATCCTTTCCTTAACAATAAAATTTAAAAAATTCTGATTTCAGAATGTACGAAGAATTTTTCCTCAAGAAAATAAATAGATTTTCCAAACTCAATAGATGGAAATTTGACAAGAATGAAATAGATGAAAGAGTTAATAAAAAACAAAACAAAACAAAAAAATAATAATTAAAGCCAAATTGAAGAAAAAAGGATAGAAAAGTTTTTCTTTTTTGAAAAAAAGGCACTTCCTATGAAGAACTGTCAAAACTAAACGAGATCTCAAGATGAATACACACACAAACACAAAAAAAAAATTCATGTTCGCTTCAAAAAAAAGGAAGATCTTTGAGATTATGGTAATTGTTTAATTCTGTTTCATATATCTATATGATATAGAAAATACGATGTATTGTATCATCTAAGATCAAATTTCAATGATCGAAATAAAAGTTATATTCGTACTCGCACTGATCTAGGTTTATTTAAATTAGAAAACTTTCATAGCTCTTACTTGCAGTAGAGACTTATAAAATCAGATGTCGAAATCCTAATTCCCACCAGAAAAAACAATAAAAATTTAAATCTCTTTTTCTACAACAACTTAATAGCTCAAAAAACATTATTCCAAATATTTCTTGTTTAAAACATATTATAAATTATTGGAAATGTTTTGCTGGCAATTCATCATATAGCAGTCTTTTTAAATAAATTTTGAAAGCTTAAATTGAAAATTTCGCATAAATTTCAATTTGGTAGACTGTTCTAATCTCTATTAATTAAAATAATTGATTATAAATCAGCTTCTAATCAATTATATTATCAAAGAAAACCATCACTGCATTAAATTACAAAAGAAACAAAAGATAAAGATAACAATAAGTTTGTACATGTATATATCGGCGAACAATATGACATGTGTAATCAAAGCGAAATATCGTTAAGTATGAACAGTTAAACTGTATATGGAATGTGATGCATTCATATTTTAAAAATAAAATTTAAAAATATATGAAAAATTAAATTACATGATCAATCAGACATACAATTTTGACCATTATTTGTAATATTTAGATTATACTAAATAATTAATACCATAATTAGACTTCTTGCAATTCTCAATAAATACGGAAAAGATTTACACATTTTCAATTCATTGAAAAGATTTTACACATTTCAAAAATTCATGAAACTTATCAATGACCTTAAATTAAAAAAAGTGCTAGTGCTTTAAATTGCACAGAAATTTAGAAGATTAAAATATCACTATCTTGTGTGTAAACTTGGAAATAATAACAGTCATATCATTAGTTTCAACAAAATTTTGTACCATATGCGAAATTCATTCAAAACAGAAAGCACCCTTAACATTAAGTTACGAAAATAATAAGAAGGAAACCTGATAAATTAATAAGTTGAAATAAACTAAAGCAGTGAAACCCGTCATGAAGTATATCAAACACTATTAACACTTCTCAGTTTTAAATGAATTAACTTGAAAAATGTACAATGAATTCATTTCTTTGACAAAAAAAATCTATGAACTAACCTAAACTTCACTCGGTCAAAAATATAATTCAGATTAACATGCAAATAACTTAAATAGGTTATAGAAGAGAGAAGTAAAATATAATTCGCACCTCTCCCTGAATTTTACATGTCTTTCTCATGGTCTTTTTCTTAACATACTCTTTTCGTTACCGCCTAAAGTTACACAATATAAATTTCGCAAAACTGTGACTCCATATATACTATTATACATTTCACATAAATTATTAAAAACAAGAAAAGACAGAAATTATGAAAGAACGATTATAGGCAATAGCTTTAAATAAAAAAAATTAAATGAAATATATAATCAATGTCTTGTCTCAGCTAGAATAGGTGATGATGAGCTATTAGGATGAAAACCGATGGCAATACGAGCGAATCGTGCACGCCGTAAGATTTGCCTTCGACTTTTCAATGATTTCTTTTGTTTCTTGACACGTATCCTAAGATCATGACCACGATGACTAACACCATTTTCCTCGTCCATTTTTAACAGCAACGATTCCAAGTCACCTTTTTTAATTGGTTTTACTGAAATGTCACGAACAGCTCGAAATTGACCACAGTTGTTAATGTGTTCATTTTCTAACCGAAAATAATTCCACACAAAACGTCGAAACACCTCTAATGGAGCTGTTATACAGGTCAATAAATCAGATTCCATTGTCCAAGCCTCACCAAGTGAAATATTGAGCACCCAGGACAAACGTAATATGAAATCTTCCACAATTGCACCATAATAATACCATTTGCTACCGTAAATCATTTCTTCACGAAGGAATGGTGAATCCTTCGGTGCTAATGGATCAATAAGACCCCAATCCATAAAAACATCCCAGAGAAATGTATAAGCAAAGCTAAAAATGTATGATGCAATCCATAAATAAAAGAATATACTTGTCGCAGTTGGATCAGTTTTTTCAACCCAATGATTGAGAGATTTGAAAAAAACGACGAGGTAGGTGGTGGAATATTTACCAGCATTGATAAGATGAGGATGGGCATGGCCCGTATCGCGGAAACGTCGTAAGCATTGCATAAATCGAACCGTAGCCGGAAAAATAGACACTAAAACGCGGATTCCGGATGAACTAGTACACATATCACGACCCGTACTGATATCAACATAACCCCAAGGAATTGATTCACTAGTCGTCACATTCACCGTTCGAGCCGAAAATGACCAGTCACTGTAGTCAACTTCTGTGGTGTAAAAACATATAAAATATTGAAAATCAAGAAAGCTTGTTACTAGCGAATTCATTTGATCACCAAGCCAGAAATCGATGAATGTAACAAAATGTAACGGAGCGGTGAAACAATTGAAGCAATGTTTTAGAATCCAAAAACGACTATTTCTTTGAAAAATGCTATTCGGTTTCTTCAATGGATTAAATATATAGATGACACAAATAATCATTAAGAGTAAAGGAAAAAGAAAAGGTGGTAAATGAATGAGATGGCAGTACAGATATCCCAATACACCAAGAGACCATAGCATACACATAAATGAGGCAATTTGCATTACCGATTGATAAGTTAAATGATTTCGTGGATCTACTTCAAAGATAAGTACATGATTGACACCAGCTTCTGCCCATCCCCACATATTTAAACCACAAAGCCAAATTGCAACAAAAAGCAATAATGGACCACGAAAAAGTCTAACAGCAACCCATTTTGGTTCAGCAGGTCGTGATTCAGATGCAAACCAGGAAATAATTATTGCTATTCCAAGTACAACAAATGCTCCAAGAAAGAGGCCTAAGGTAAATGTAGTAGTAGCATGTTGCTTCTCACTTAATGGTGGTACTTTAAGTCGTTTCATTCCAGCTTGTCGATTGCCACCCTCTAAATCATTAATTACATCTCGTTCCACATTACTGATTAGCGTCTCCACTTCACGGTTCAGAAAAAAAGATGACTTCTCCACTCGACTAATGCGCCAATCTAAACCTCGTTCATTTCCAATCAATTTGTCATGCTTCTTCAAAATCTTCCGAAATCCTGTTGCATTCAGTTGCTGATAATTTTGTAACAGAACTAATGCCAGATAAAATTCGGAGAAAGCAAGTTTCAATTGTTGTGCTGTTTTTGCATGCTCTCTGGTGATATTTCGTGCAGAAACGCTATGCCGCTTGAACCGTTGTCGTAAAGTAGTAGAATCTGTGACGGATTGTGTTTCTCGATTTTCCAAAGCCTCCTTGAAAGCTAGTAATTCGGCATTTAATTCATGGAATTTTCCTTGAGCTTCAGCTATTTTCTGACTGTAGAATAGGTTAATTTTAGTCAGTTCTCGTTCACATTCCGCAAAAAACTTCTCATCCATTTGAGAGATATATTGTTCGCGATCTTCCGTTTCCGTCGGCAATGCTGTGATCATTTCATATAACATTGATTTCAGCGCCTCATAACGAATATATTGCTTTCGCCATTCCGGAGTTAAATGACTGGACAACTGTTCGCCAAATTTCATCACTGAAACACAAAGAAAGTGACAATACAAGAAAGTGCTTCGACAAATTCGTATTTTGATGTCAATACTAGCAATCCAATAAATTAGGCTCTTTAGAATCATTCTTTTCAGTTTGTTCAGTTTTTGGAGAAGTCGTAAATTTTCAATGTCTCTATAATGAGCATCCGTAACAAAATACTCGTCCCCAATTTTGTATATAAATTGAAAATACTATTTTGTATTTTGGAATGCACTAAAATCAAAGCAGTATAATTCACGACTATAAAATAAATTGAAAACATTTAATTCTTTGTCATTCTAACTGTATGTTCAAATAATAAAAGCAGATGAATATTGCAATACAGTAGAAGCACCTTCTAACACTGAAGATCTGGCCTACGATTCACCTGGACAACAATTATAATAGTAGAGCATTAATGGATTACATAAAATTTAGCAATTATAAATGCTACCCATAGAATCTAAACACCAATCATTTTTAAAAAATTAAAAATAATCGAAAATTTTCATAAAATATCATTCTTTTTTCGCTGTGCCATTCTATTTTTCATCAGTTCTTTCCAATCATTTCCTTAAAAAAATCTCAAAATAAAGGTAGTTCGTAATGCATATGTTTTCTAACATTTTCAATAACAGGTTAATGAAGCATAAAAAAGGATAACATATCAAATCCTGTATGTGAAGCATATAGAAAGAGACATATTGTCCATCAAAAAAATCACACGGAGCATAAGATATATCATTTGATAAAGCAAGAAAAGAGATTTAAGATTCCCAGGAATAAAAAAAAGAAACATGAAAATTGATATAAAAGTGATAAATATATGACTAAGATTACAAGTGTAAGAAGTATAAATTATTTCTCTGACAATCAATCAAACTTGTCTCACTTTTTAGAATAACATCACATTCCTAGAATAATTATAATGAATCCATTCTTTCTTGGATCCTTTACTGTTTCATCTACAGTCTTTTAAATAAAAAACTTCAGCTGGAAGAAGTTCCAAAATTTATTTTGTCTTAGAAATTCAATAAACCCTCATAATTGTAGTTTATTTCTTGAAGAATTGATCTAGTAATATTGAAGCATCAAAATTTGTCATGTCATAACAACAAGCCTATTTCCTAAATAATTCAAACGATCCTATCGTCAGCAAACATGTCAACAAATGATGAGTTAGGAATAAATGTTAGACTAGTTAGAAAGTAATGCAAGCTCATTTTTAATTGCAAGCATAAGCATTTCCCAGCTATGATTTAGTATTTTCTAAATTTGAAAATTTCACAATGAAAACGTCAAATGATGTAGGCAAAGCATAGACAAGCTTTGCTTTATACATTATTTAGATATTGAAAGAGTGATGTACATATGTGCACAACAAATAAGCCATACGCAAAACGTTTAATTCGTTCGTTTATTCATCGCAAACTTATAGTGAAAAAAGCTTTAGTACTTTTTTTTTTTTTTTTTCAGCGAATTGTATCAGCGAAACAATCAGCAAATATAGCAAGAAAACGGCCGTCTAGAAAAAAAAGAGGTGATCGATGCAAAATGAATTATAGCCAGTCCAGTAATACTAAAATCTTGATTATTTAGGGACAAAAATCGAGTGTAAGAAAGAAAAAGTATTATAAAAATATACTCAATTCAAAGATTGATCTTTTTCATTATATAGATCATGAATGACACATATTGTATAGATTTCATTATATAGATCACGAATGACATATAAATACTTTACAATTTGACTTGAATAATAAAATTTTCGTGCAGTACCATTATGTTAAAAAAAAAAAAAAAAACTAGTACCCTAGAACTATTTTAACAGTGTATTTTAATGCCAAAACCAATCCACGATGAATTCAATTTGTTATTTCTTTTGCAAAACTAGTAAAAACATGTAGATAAGAAAAAAAAGACCTATTACAGTATCGAAAAATATATAACTATGTAATAATCGGAGAGGAAAAAAATTTTTTTTCAATATACTAATTATCAAAGACATTTAGCTGCTAACTTATATCACCAAATTATAAAAAAATAAAATCAAAACCTGTATTACCTTAACAATCCATTTTGAAGTTATCTCCTCAAATAAAATTATGTTTCAACTCTCAAAATAATTCATTTGAAAACAAATTTCCAAAAAACAAAACATCAGATATCAGAAACGAGCCTGTTTGGACCATAAAATTTGGGACCGTTAGCAACTAAATATTTAAGCTCAAAAAAAAAAAAAAAAAAAGACATAATAGTAAAATAAAAAACAAAAATAAAACCGAAAGTGAAGTGAAACTAGAATTTATCCTCCAATGAATGGAAAAGTGAATCTTAATAGAACAAATTGCATAAGGGTATAATAATTTATCTTAAGTATAATTTTGTAGGTGGTAAAATAAATTATGTTTGCTTGAAACTTTAAATACTAAGTTTAAAAGCTCAAATTTACAAATTTACATCATTACAGTGCTTGCTTTGACACTTTCTTAGAGAATGTTGGGTTAATAACATCAACTTTCTCACTATAAAACGGCACAATACTCCAAAATGTAATATAACACTCGTCAGGATACAGAAAATTCCCTCACTGAATATGCGCAGGTAATTCTGGGCAGTAAGTCATACCACCGCAGGTATAAAAATATTCGCACTATTTAGAAATGCCACTTCACAGCGAATCAAGATTTAAATTGAAGTGGTTTAGTATTTTAAAATACAAACTCAAAAAGATTCATATTACTTATAAGCTATTAAAATTAAAATCTTATGCGGTATATGTTGCAAAAAGTAAACATTTACATTATGTGCAACATGCGGAAACATGAAAAATGTATGATGTCGAAACAATTAAACTAAAATTTAGTGAATTATAAAAATTTCTTACCAGTTAATCAATCATTTAATAATTATATTCTTAAAGATCTGATATTATAAATATATTGACACTCACCCGTTAAAAAATAATAATAGCTCAGACTAACTATACTGTATTGCATATATGCTATGATAGATACTACTATTATATATTTTAAAATAGAAGTCGAAAAAGTCTAAGAACTATGAATGCTTATTCGGGAATCACACTTCTCCGGAATGTTTTTTCTAATGAAGCTTATTAGATAATTTTTTTTTTTATAATGAACCTTGTTAGCTAATGAAGATAATAAAGCTCACAGCATTAGTTTAATTATACGATGAAACGACCTATTTTAAATTAAATAAAATCAGTATTAAGAGCAGTTTTAAGAACTAGATAAAAAAAAAGAAAGGAAAAGGATAAGATTTTTAACGGACACAACTGATTTACACGAAAAGTATAATCTACGACTATTCAGTTAATATATATTGGTGTAAATCAAGAAGAGATAGTAAATGAGCATACGATCTAATTCTGAAGCGAATAAATTTGCATATTTCAGCATTTGTATGAATATGAAATTGACATTCTATCAATAAGAAATTAAATAATGTAGAGAAAAAACTTTTTCTTATTTAATTTCAGAAATAGAAGAAAAAAACAGCTCACAACACGTCCATCACCGCTACCCAAGTCGACAAGAGGTGAGACTTTAGCTGGACACGTTGACAACGCCATGGCAACATTTTGCAGTTGTTGTGGCGTAGCTGGAACATATGGTATGCAGATTTTACGCAATGCCGGGGTCACAAACGGCACACATACAACCGTTACAGCGACAGCACCAGTAGCCATCGTACCTGCAGCAATCATGCCAGCCAGTCCCATTTTTGGTTCCTGGAACAAAATCCATACTTTGATCTAGGGTAACTAAACCGGGGCTATGGACTCATATCAAGGCATTCTACTTTTTTTGTAACCCATTCTATACAGTGAATGAAATTGACAACACTGACAGAAACCTAAATCGAGGTTTAGAGAAGTCATCCAATATTATTTCATTAAACCTTGAAGATCAATGGAAATATACATTCAGAGAAATTTATAATCACATCTATCTCACAAATGTAATTTTTAAACTTAAATTTATTTCTCAAACATTTGAGAGATTCGAAAACAATAAGAAAAAAAAAGAAAAATAAATACGAGAACACAAAAAGACAGTTATCTAACGCTGTTATCTAACTTATATGATCATCCAAACTCGAAGAGCTAATAATAAATCAGGCAAAAATAAAATCAAATCTAATTCTCTGACAACTTATGAAAGAATTTATAATATAGCCATATATTATGCAGCATGCTATCTCACACCATTATCTATGTCTGCAAAAATCCCATTCAGCTTTATGTGATATTGATCGCACTAGACTTTTACAACAGTATTATTTCTTCATAACTTCCTCAACAAGCAGCAATTTTTCGTTACAACTACATATTTGTTTAATTAATTATGAATTATCTCTTCGACCAAAATTATCCTGAAGAATAGATCTACATGAAAGCAACATCACTACTATCATATAGGATCAATTCCTAACATGTAAGATAACTGAAACAGTACTCCGTATTTATAAATATGCTTAATCGGTATCTTTTACATTTTAAATATTTTACTATTCTACTTAATATTATCCGTTTTCTTCTTTTAACCTTATCACGTTCAATTATAATGATAAAAAAATTATATGATTAAATGATGACAGCTCAAATAAATCAACTGCTAAAACATCATGTTAAACAAGTGATGAGAGAAAATTAATTACCTCAACAAACTGCAATCAGTTACACTGTTACCAATGAAATACTTCAGAAGTGAATAGTCGTAAAGACAAAAGCATATAATACTGAGACTGCTATCTTTAACATTGTCCCATATTTTTCATACCGAATAAAATCTCTACGTTTCGTAACTTCCTTCGTACTGTAAATCTTGCTCTTTTTAACTATCAACATTCAACATATTTCAAGTAAATTTCAAATTTTCGCATTATATCTTAGATAAACATAACAAAATCATTGCCTATAAGTGCTAATTCAAAGTTGGAGGAAATTTCCCTTTATTACTTATGGAAAAGTAAGTATATGGTTTGTTGTGTCTATAAGCAAATACAGTATTATATATGGGAAATAACGATGATAATCAATCCATTTCATTATTACTAATACAACGTACTCATTTCCTTTACATTTGTTAAAGATAATCAGACTAACAAAAATAATGTTTGATCGAACAAACTGACTTGATAAGATCGGCAAACTGATTCGTTAATCATCTCTGTTGATTAAAGATCACATATTATTGATTTTAAAGCACAAACAAAATACTTTAACAGGAAAAACCTTTTCTTCCTCCTAATATATATATATATATATATATATATATATATATATATGCTTCAATTTAATCCTTATCTTAATTAGTTAACTCCTTCCAGTGGTAGTACGATATATAAGAATCACTCGAATTTTTATAATTCAATCGTAGAACAGAAAGTAACAATTTAATTTCAGAAACAAAATTGGATGGACATTATATTTTCCCTAAAGTAGTTCAGGCCCTGTCGAAATAAAAAATCTTCTCGCTTCAAGTTACTAAATGTCATTTACTTATCAATTTTAATCCAATACTAGTATTTTTCCTCATTTCATACTCTTGCAACACAACAGGTAAAATTCGATTGAGTAGTGCACACATACGATTAAAAAGTAACTTAAATTTATTTAATTTCAACCATATTTCAATTATTTTTTTCAACCTTCCATTTTTTTCATTCTTGCTACACTATTGAAATTCTTTCAGTAATCTAATCAGTAGGAAAAATTTACAATATCCTTTATCTAAATAATATTCCTTCTTAGCCATTTGCCTTACCCATTTACTTACCCGCCACCAACTTTTACCCACTCATCCCTCCCATCACATCAACCAAACCAGTAAACAATTTTGTAGCATTTAAGCTGCAGCAGATGTTTGAGTCCTACGGTAATTTCGTTAGTGGCAATTTCTGTAGATTTTTTTTTTTGACAAAATAAGATTAGGCTTGTAGTGAATCAGGTTTGTCCAGTTTTGTCCGGTGTTTTTCCGATTTCTCTCATTCCGGATTTTTTTGAGTTGGTAAGATAGCAATTTCTGGATTTTTCTAATTGAGATATTTTTCCGGAATTCTTTTGCTTCTCATTTTAGGGACATTGTCATTGAAATCTATCTTCAAATCTCACTCAGCAATAATTGCTCTATTGAATGATTTTTTCGATTTCTGCCAATTTAGGAGTCTCAAGTCTAGCAAGTTTACTGTGTTTTCCCATTTTATATAAGATGACTTCTTTGTGATGATTTGTGTTTAAAATTCATAGATTTAGTGCGATATTTTGATGATTAGTAGTGGGTGCTTGCTGATATTCAAAAGAAATGAAACGAAATAGAAGTACTGCTAAAGGCCGGATATCTCGTAATAATAAATTGGTTATTATATTACAAATTAAATGTATTTCTGCCTTATTTACTCTTTAATCTTGTTGATTCCTTATAAAATTTTTTTGTTCGATTTCTTACTCTTGATTTGGTCCAACGTTCATCAATATTGATTTTGAAACCACTGAATTTCAGCGCTGAAAGCTCAATTTTAAGGAGGCTATACTTTGAAGTAGAGAAGTGAAGAAAGAGCAAAGTAACATGCCTCCAAATTTTTTCCAAAAACCGGAAACGGCACTTAAACGTGCTCATGAACTTATATCTGTTGGCAAAGAGATGGATGCATTGGAAACGCTCCACGATACCATAAAAGTAAGTTGCTTTTTCCGCATTATTTTACAGCATATCATCAAGAGTGCTATATCTTTCTTAGCGTCCATAGTTCATGGTTGCAATCCAAACATAATCCGTGTTCATGACAAATTGATCAGATGGATGCATTTTGGAGTGCGATACAAATGAAGAAACTGGTTAATCAAAAATATGGTATCCTTGATTACCATATTTTCAAGCACCAGTTTACAAATATTATTTCATTTCTGTTAATAAATTTTGGCTGGACCAAATATTACGGTGATTAAGGATGTTATTCTACCAAGGAACCAACTTTTAAACCCACAATATAAGTTTGTAGTGCCTTACTGCTTCCAATAGTATTTACCGAGTTATAAACAATAGTCCTATTTGTGATACCTGGAAGTAAAACTTATATTGTTTTGTTAAAATTTTTTTTTTCTGGCTTTTTTTGTTCCAGCAGTCAAGAGTCAACTCTTTCTCCAAAAATGGAGGTAAATAATGCAGTACGCATCCACTCTAATAATTATTTTTTCTTCTAGTCAAAACGCCACAAGCAATGGACAAAGACGCATGAAGCAATTATGCTGAAGCATATGGAACTTTGTGTTTCATTACGACGCCCACATATGGCCAAGGATGCTCTTTTCCAGTACAAAACGCTTACTCAACAGGTCTTTTATGAAGTTTTTAGGACTTTTATTTTCTTTCAGTGAAAATTTTAATGACCATTACTAGCATCTATTCAAGTCTTCCGAGAGATGAGCAAATATTTTTTTCCTATACTAAGGGATTTAAAAGAAGTTATGTTTGTTGGAAATTCTCCAGGTTGCCATTAAATCTCTTGAAACTGTTATACAACGGTTTCTGGAGCTTGCACAGCAGAAAACGGAAGAAGCGCAGAAGACTTCTATTGAGAAAGTTGAAGAAATTGATGATTTGGATCAAGCCGATGCCCCTGAAAAGTCTGTTTTCTTCAGTATTTGGTGTTAGAATGTTTGGAATTTGATTCTTAATTGCAAAAAGTATTTTAGCTTGTTACTGTCAGCTGTATCCGGTGACGCTGCACAAGATCGAATGGATCGAACTGTGTTGAGTCCTTGGCTGCGTTTTCTGTGGGATTCTTATCGAAATTGTCTTGATTTGTTAAGGAATACCGCTGTGGTTTGTACTAATTTATTCGTGCTAAAGAATTCCTTTTCCACTGATCTTGCATAAATGAGATGTAGAATTTGAGCATTAATAAGGTGTGAAAATAAATTAAAGGAATAGCTATAGTAAACAGATAAAAATAGGGTAGTAATAGTTGAACAAATTTTCAGGTTGAGCAGTTGTATCATCGTATTGCGAGGCAGTCATTTGAGTTCTGCGCGAAGTATCAGCGGCGAACAGAGTTTCGTAAATTATGTGATAATCTCCGATTACATTTAACGCAAATTCAGAAACACCAGCATTTGGCTCATGTGTAAGTTTTTGTTAGTATTATTACATCAAGAATTATCGTAACTTCTTTCTTTGTATTTGCAGTCACAACATTTTAATGGTTTTTGGTTGTAAACTTACAGCTTTTAATGCGGTGTAGATATCAGTGCGGTAATATTTTGTTTTAGGGTGAAACTAACAAGTGCAGAGTCATTGACTTTAATGCAAGATACGCGTTTAATACAGTTGGATACAGCAATACAAATGGAATTATGGCAAGAGGCATACAGAAGTGCGGAAGATGTTCATGGTATGATGCAATTAAGCAAAGATAAAGATGAACGCATGGTTAAACCAGCAAGTTATGTCAATTACTACGATAAGGTTCGTTATCACCTATTTAAAAGGTTTTCAGTAAGGTGCCTTTCATCTAATACTCATGTTATATGCATTCAGGGAACTTTTTATTTCAATTCGTTAAGGAATCTTTTATTCAGTTAATCAATAAGGTATTATAGTTCTATTTCCATTTTTGCATTTCATTGTACTGTATTTGATAACCAGTTTATTTATGGTCCAAACAAAGTACTGGCATTCATCTTATTTTTCATTAAGAAAGAACACCTTATTTGTTAAAACTCTTTTAAAAATCTTCTTCAATGTCAGTCTCTGTGAAAGGAAGTCGTGGTGTACTGGTCTGTAGGCTAATCAACATTATGATAGTTGGGTTCGAAATTAGTTGAGGTACTGTTGAATATCAATGCACGTTCTCGTTTCATCTCATTGCTTCACAATGAGGCGATCCATATAAGCGTGCAAAATAGTAACCATTTGACATTACTTGAAGACGCGGATGTTCTTCCACGTATTCTCATCATTAATTGATACATTCTCTCATTACTTTCTTTCGTCAGTAGACAATTATTAATATGAGGAGATGATTTTGTTTTCAACGTTGCTTGTTTTTTCAGCTCGCATTGGTATTTTGGAAAGCTGGTAATAGACTCTTCCATGCAGCTGCTCTCCTTCAGAAATACATTATTTACAAAGATATGAAGAAAACATTTAGTATGGAAGAAGCTATGGATCAAGCAACTCGTGTCCTTCTAGCAACACTTGCAATACCGGATGGTGCTGATAATCCTTCCGATTTAACACGCCATTTGGATATTGAGGAACAACACATTGCAAATATGCGGTAGTTTTTTTTGGCTATCTAACACTGTTCAATATTTTCATTGTATTTCCTACAATCACACATCACAAGCGATAATTCCTGAAAGAAACTAACTTTTGTATATGTAAGATACCAGATTTAGTTTATTGGCTGAATTTTCTGCAGTCCTCTGTAATTCTAGCTGAATTTTTTCTTCCTTCTGAATTTCTCCTTAATTCTAGTTGAAAACGGAAAAAAAAGGAAATTAGAAGCATGCATTAGTTCATTACGATTCAAATTGAGTCGCAATGTTATGCTTGCATGCAAAAGCATGTTTTTTCGAAGGATTGTTCTTGTTGTTTTTTAATGCAAGGATTGTTCACGAAATATACATGAAATGAGATCCATGCTATAGTTTCAATTTTGATGACATATCTATTTTTACCATTGCTTTTAATTTGGTTGGTCCTGTTTAAATTAAATTGACATTGTGTCAGCATCTTGGTTTTGAACTTGTTTTCAACTGAACGAGAGCTGTTTGTTCAAACTCGATTTCTTCACAAGAAAATTAAAGCCTCAAGACAGATTGATAATGCAACCTTTTGTGTTAATTATGAATACTGATTGCAAAGGCAAATGATTTTGTCGAAATTTTTATTCGCGTTCGATATGTTTGGACGAATAATTTGATTGCAGCCTTAGACATAAAGGATCCATTAAATGAGTTTCGTCGCTGTATGCTGTGATTAGAAACTTGTCGCTGATTGTTTCAGATTGTTGTCGAATCTCCTTCGTTTGCCGGTAGCGCCAACAAGGGCTGGAATTTTGAAAGAAATTACTCGTTTGAATTTGCCGGATGTTGCTGTGGAAAGTGCACGTACTCTATATAGGTAAAAAATTTTGCATCCGTTTTTAAAAGAATTAAATTAGATTTATATCCTTTGTTTCACTATGTATTCATCTAATATTGAAGCGTGTAGGATACATTCGCCAGGATGGTAATAACATAGGCTTGTTTAAATTATTGAGATCAATGATGAAATGATTTGGTGACTGCTATCTCAAATTCTTATCGTCAAAGGGCGAAATCTTTGTTGTATCAAGTCTCAAGGAATATAGCACTTCGTATTAATGGTTATGATTCTGTGATTTTTTCTAAATTCATTGCTATAGAGCTAAATTAGAGAGATCAAAGATTGAGTCTCATTTTTCAGATTACTGGAGTGTAATTTTGCGCCTCTGCGTCTTGCAAGTCAGATTCAAGCGGAATTAACAAAGGTAACAGAACTGAACAGAGCTGAATATAATCAGTATGTTGAGGCATTGAAGGGTGTTACAGCTACAAAAATTATAAAGCAAATTTCGGTCATTTATGATACACTTTCAATTGGACGTATCCAGAAAGTAATTCCATTTTATAATGGCGATGAGCTAGAGCGTTTCTTGGTGGATATAGCAAAGCATCGTTATGTCAAAGTAAGTTGTTCATCTAAATTTTGTTCTGGTAGGTGTTAAAGGATGACTTATTTTTAGTTTCAGAAATATTTCAGTAATGCTTATGATTTTTCTTGTAAACAGATACAGATCTAATCTAATTTTTTTCTCTCTCTCTTTATAGGCTCGCATTGATCATCGTGGCGGATCAATTCACTTTGGAGCGGCAGATGCCGCACTTTCTGGGTTTTTCGATTTGGAAGTATCGGATGGTTTTGGTGGTGAGGCAGAGCAGGTTTGGCTTGGTTGTGTTTTTTTTTTTTTTTTTCATGCATAAAGTGCAGTAACATAAAGAGTGAGTGACTGGGCTGTTAATGTGATGCTATCATCAGTGCTCTTCGAATAATTTTAACTTTATTGGGATTGCGGGGTTTGAATGATAACTTGTTATATTTTTGGCGATTCTTATCTTGATTTTATATTCCAATATGCAGCATTTTTTTTTTTTTTTGAACAATCAACTCAACAGAGAAATTACATAATGAGGAGTAATCTTCCAAGGAATCATGTTGGATTTATTATTTAGGTAGCTGTCGAGGATATTCGAAATCATCTTCAGTCAATGTATAATAACCTACGAGACGCTGTTCAAGTTCTTGATTATGAAAAAATTAAGAGAGCCGCTACTGACGACGTAAGTTTTTTGAAACGTTTTTCTGTTAAAATGTTAATTTCGCTTATATGTTTTATTACTTTTCTCCTTTTTAGTTGAAACGTCATGCAGAAATATATTTATATCACAAAGATGCTGATTACGAGCGAATACTATTGCGCAGAAAGAAAATTGAAAGTTATAAGGAAACTAGTGAACGACAAAAATTGGAAAAATGTCAACAAGCTCAGGCGGAAGCTAACAGGAAGGAAGAACAGAGAAGAGCTGAAGAAATGCGTCGTTTGGAACAGGAAAATATCGAAAAAGAAAAACTGCGGAGACTTGCGGAGCAGGAGGAGATCGATCGTAAAGTACGAGCAGAAAAAATGAAAAAAATCCAAGCGACTCCAATATATCAGGCTATTGTAAAAGATCATGGCGAAGAAGCCTTTCAAAATATGGATCCTGATTCAGGTGTGTATTTACCCTTCAAAATGTGTGATCATTTTATTAAAACTAATGTCAGTTGAGTTTTTTTTATTGGTTTTTTAGTACTTCGTGAACAACGTGATCGTTTGGATGAACAGCGTCGTGAACAACAAGCCCGTTTGCAGCAACAAGAAAAGAAATTTGATCATCTGATCCGCGCTTATCATCTACAAGAAATGGTAGCACGTAAGGCTATTTCAGATAATTTTGCGGTGAAAGCTCCACAAAACCATGATTCTTATGAGAAGCGTCGTGTTGAAAATGCAATGTATGTACACATTTATTACTTCTACTTATTTGTTTGAAAGAGAATAATAACTTGTAATGGCCAGTAAGCAACTGTCTCTGTCATTTTATTATAAATAAGTAAATTAAGAGATATTTTGTAACTAAATGAACTTTTCAGTTGTTGCTATTTTATCTAAATTATGCATGTGAAAACAGAGAACTAGCTTTGTCCGATCGCCATAAAAGTATGTTTCATTTTATTTTATCCTATTTTTAAGCAAAGACCACGAAAATGCAGTTGCTGTTTATGAGCGCATGCAGAAAGTACGTAAAGATCCGGATGCAGCTGCATTCTTGGAATCGGTTAAAAAGGCACGTGCTGATGATTTCAATAAGAAAATAGAGGATTGGGAGAAGAAATTGCGTGATGAGAAACGAAAACGTCTTGAAGAACGCCATGAACTTCGAAAGAAGGAGCGGAGGAAAGAATGGCTTCAGGTTTGTATTGCAACTGTATAATGGCATGGAACTTCAAGATTCCTTTCTGAATTCTATTGAACCAAAATTTTATTTTTGTTTATATTCATATTTTCTTAGGAACGTGAAAGAGAATTGGTGAAAGCAAGAGAAGTAGCAGAGCAAACAAGGAGAGACGAACAGGAGAAAGAACGAAGAGCAGTCCGTGAATCACAACGCCCGTCCAAACGGGAAATAGTTGAAAATTCAGAAATGGACTCCGATTGGCGTAAGAGTGCACAACCAACACAACCTCGAACTATTTCTTCAAAGCCCTTTGGAGAACGTTTCGTGGAAGGTGAACGTTATCGTGAAAGTGGTGCAGTTGTAAGTAATTTCTATTTTTGCTGTTATAAGAAATTTTCAATTGCTTGCCATGACTGATTATATCATCTGTTCTAATGGCAAAATCCAGAAATGATTGTTCTCAGACTGCATCCGAAGCTGATAGTGGACCATGGGTACGTGGAAATGTTACTGGATCGCAGAGACAACAAGATGTCCCGATTCGTAATATTGAACGTCCTGCTGTGCCATCACGCTTTTCTAATCGAGAACAAGCACGTGGTGAAGCAGATTCAACGACAAATTGGAGGAAGGGACAAGTAGCACAACGTGATAGAGATCAGTCTGTTGGAAAAGTATCAGATAATCATAATTTAACTTTTATACAAATTTTGATTTTTGCACAAATGCTAGTTTGTAAAACTATTTAATAAAATTTAATGAGTCAGTTTTGCAGCAACCACTCATGGAAAAACGTGGCGAACCCTCCGGTGCTCAGCTACATGACGTGAAAGCTGTAGCCACTCCTTCTCCAGCTGATGCGGGCCCATGGAGACGAGGAATGATTGTAGCACGTGATCAAGCCGATTCATCACAACGGACGTCTGCAGCAAGTAAGAGGCTTTTACGTATTCTGCTAAAGCTTTTCTGAATTGATAAGTTGCGATTACTTTTAGATCTGAAAATAAATCTTATCGCTGTGGTTATTTCTTTTATAGTTATGCAGTTCAACTGATATCGAAACGGTTTTATAATCTGTAAATCATTTAGCTCCCACAACTCAACCGTGGCGCCCTTCGAGGTTACGTCAAGCAGATGGTGCACCTGTAAACGGTGCTCCATCTGGAAGAATATTAGAAGGAAGTGGTAGTAATGAACCAAGTATAGGTAAATGGAATCGATCTATACAACGTACTGGTGATAGCCATGGTGCACAGTCTTGTAAGTTTTTTCTAATTTTAAATGCACTTGAGAACTAAGTTATAGTTCGACTGTTCAGAGTTTAGGTCGAGAACAACTTATTCTATATTTTAAAGATAGCAGATCTGGAAAATATCTGCTTATGCCTTGTGTTATCTGCTTTTCTCATTGGTGTAACTTTCATAATTTCGTAGCGGGAAAGTTTGATATTCTCATTTTCAAGCTCATGCATTATTTTTTTTATTGGATTTCACTTTCAGTTCGTGGTATATCTCAGCATCAGCAGCGTAGAGGAGCAGCTGACGACGATCGTAATTGGCGCCAAAAATGATAGTAATTATAAATTTTAATTTGGTAACCGAATGTTTTTTCTGTTAATTATCTTTCTATGACAGCTCTTTTCCTTCTAATTCTCTATCGGTGGTTGTCTTATTAAAGAGAAAAAGTTTCTTCTTTAAAACTATTCAGTCAATTTTTCATATTATTTTTTCTAGTAAATATGAATATTATTTACTGTTTCCATGGTTAGTCATTAAGAAGCAGTGAAACATCATGTCACTCACCTTTCTCACAAATGACATTTGGAATTTTTTGATATTCCAGAATGAACTATATAAAGAGCTCAAAAATAGCTTACGAAAGTTTTAAGTAAGCGGCTTACTTTTGTCGCTTTAAAAACATTATGAAGAAAAGCAATTCTATAGTACATTGCAAGTATTGTCTCAACCAATTGATGGATTTGAAATGGGACGGAAGCTCAGCTTCGAATTTTTAGACCTTTAACAAGTTGCATGCTACATCCTGTTGCTTATTTCTAATCTTAAAGCCTTGTTTAAGTTAAATGAAATTTTACTATTGATGAAATTCGAAGTCATTTTGGTAGATACATGAAATACATATGTTCGGGTTTTCCCCTTGTTGTTTTATTTGATTTCCGGGGTTGTCCTGCTTTTGTTGTAGGCATATTGCATATGTTGTTTTGTATGATTGTATATTGATTAGTGACATTTTATGATGTCACTTTCGAATTTAAATTAAAATTTGTTGTAATAAAAACAGTGGGTTAATTTTAATGCTTATCTGTGTGTAAAACAATTGTTTTTAAATGGAAACTGTAAACTACAAAGCCACCTAAAAGATTACTGCTTGATAGCAATTAAAAAAAAAAAGACATGCAATAATTATGCGGAAATCCTGTTATCACAGTGAAAAAAAAACTGATATTTCCCGAAATTATAGAATAATAAGGGTATTAAATTTTTACATTATTATTCTCAATAATAGGAGAGGGTTTTCCAAACGATCTGATTGTACTTGTTCCTTCCTATGTGCTTTACTATAATTTGTCCACTTTACAGCATTTGAGAATTTTACAAATTATTTAGCACATATGAGAAGATATAGAGCTCACTTAATATTCAGTATATTTTGTTGTGATCTTCCAAATATAGTGGTATACTTTTTTTTATTCTGCCAAATGCTTGTTAAATTTATTGAAGGCATGTTATTAACTGTTTGTTTTGCTTCTAATACAATGAAATGTAATGGAATTTTCATGGCATAAATCGCAAATTATTTGCTTGTTAGAAGAGTATAGTTGTTTAATCTCTAAGAAAAAACATATACAAGAAATATTGTAAAATAAAAAGTGAATTAGAAATGAGTGAACTCTTCCTGTTTTGGGAAATTTTCATATTAACAGATCTATTTGTTTCCATCTGTTTTTCAATCTAAACAAAACAAAATTTTCAGTGTTATATTTAAAATATTAACACATTCTGTCATGAATATTTGACAACTTATGCAAAAAAGAAAGTTTAATAAATTCACTCTGGAGCAATCTTAGAATGTAAAAATTAATAATATTTGTATTTAGCAATGATTTCAACTAATTTTTTGCCATGAAATTAATAAAAATTACAAATCTAGGTCAATTATAAATGATAAATCGATAACTAAATCATAAAATACAAGTTGATTAACCTAAATCAAGAGAAAAATCGATAGAATAATACATATTTCCAGCAAAAAAATGAATTTGGCCATCAATTTTGTCTTTGAAATGCTTTCAAATTCTCGCTATATGTCATTTTCAACTAGTTTGCATAATGAATTTAATAATTTTAAGGTTCTTGAACAGCAGCAAAATCGAAATTTCGTTGAATTATGGATGAATTATGGATTTTTTATGCATTCTGCTAAAAAAATCGACATGATCTTCTAATTTCTGGAAGGTTTTTACTGCAATATAATTATAAATACCATTAAATATCAATTATAAATAATAAATCGATAACTGAATCATAAAATAAAAAGCTTATTAACTTAAATCAAGCGAAAAATCAATGGAATTATGCACATTTCTAGCTAAAAAAATGAATTAGACTATTAATTTTAACTACGCTAAGCACTGGCATTGTAAATCCTGTAACACCAACTAACCATTTTATTAAATGCCTCTAATTAGCTATAAGCATTTTGAGCGGTATTCGCATCAAGAACCAAAATAACATCATTAGGAGCAATGCCATCGTCGTTCTATATATCTTTGATAAGTCCTCCATAACATTAACATTACTTTGAAGACTGCCTGCTCTATCAATCAATCAGAACAACATCTATGCTATCTTTTATAGCTTGACTTACAGCTCTATACACCACACTTGCAGAATCGTTTACCGTACTCTCCAGTGACAACAAAGCAATCAGAACGTCCTGTCCACATGTTTAACTGTTCACTACCAGCAGCCCTAGATGTGTCATACGTAACGAGCATGACGGATTTTCCCATATTCTTATATTTATATGCAAGCGTTACCTATAGCTGTGGTTTTACCATTACCGTTACCACTACACATACTACCATTATTATATGTGGTTTTTTGTCTAAAATTAGTGGTTGCACAACAGGGTCTTCGTTCATTAGTTGTTGGGTGATGATAATATTATGCTCAACTTCTTTATCAAATTTGATGTTTGCGAGCCTATCAAAATAAACTTGGAAGTTTTATGACCAATACCCATGCTAATGAGCAATTCCTCTAATTCATCCAAAAGCGATTGATCTAACTTTTTTTTGTCAGAAAAAATACTTTTTACTCCACCACTGAAGCGAGAAGTTTTTAACAAGCCTCTATAAAGGTTACTAAACAAACTCATGGGAATACTTCTTTTAGTATTACAATATAAAGAATGATATGCACTACGTATACTTGTAAAGTTAAATACAACTTGTAAAGTTTTACGTGCATTTTTAAAGTAAAATGCATTTAATTTCTAATCTAAAAATGTTATGATACAGGATGGTGATTTATAGGTAATCTTATCAGTTATAGTGAGAAGATTTTGGACCATTATGAAAATCCAAAGAATGTTGGTTCTTTGGACAAAAATGATCCGAGTGTTGGCACTGGTTTGATTGGTGCACCATCATGCGGTAATGTGATAGAGTTGCAAATAAATGTCAATGACAAAGATGTTATTGAAGATGAGAAATTTAAACTGTTGGTTGTGGTTCTGCTAGTGCCTCAAACTCTTTACTAACAGAAATGATTAAAGGCAAAACTATTGAAAATGTAACAAAAATAAAAAAACACCCAAATAATGCAAGAGTTATCTTTGCCTCCAGTGAAGGTACACTGCTCGGTACTTGCTGAAGACTATAAAAGCTATAAAAGCCGCTATTCGTGATTATCAAAGTAAACATAGTAAAAAGTGAAAGCTAAGAAGTTATGAGTGAATATCAAGGAGTAAATACTGTTAAGAAATGTAGTGGAGAAGATAAGATCGATATTTATTGGATGAATAACAGTATACTAACCTTGAGTGATCAGAAAAAGCAGTAGGAATAAAAGCCCTAATTAAACAAAAAGGATAGTCTGGTTTAAAATACGACATTCAATATGCGTGTGATATGCACCCTTTAGAGTCAATAACTGAAGAAAGCTGTAGTGATGGTCAAAAAGTTAAAGTGTTGATCGATCCAAAATCTAGCGTGTTTGTTCTCGGCTCTGAAATAGATTAGAAAAATACTCATCGGGTTTTGTTTACAAAAATCTTAATGAGAAAGGAAAATGTGGTTGTGGGGCGAGTTTTTATGTCTCTTCGCATTGTTTAAAATTGAACCAGCTTTTAACATCAGCTTTGATGAGCTAGAGAGAAAATATATTGAGCTAAGCAAAACTCATATAAATGAATGACAGTTCCAAACATGAGAAATATCAACAAAGCTTATCAGGTGCTATAGTCAAAAAGTGTCTCCAAAAAAATGCGGAGCATTTGCTGAACCTTTTCAGTGTAAGAAGCCAAGAGGATCAACTTAACTTTAAGATATATATATATATAAGGGAGTACTTACTGGATTGCAACAATCTCCAATATGCAAGTGATATGATTGATGAAAAAATAAAAGAATGCATTGAAAATCCAACTAATAATTTTACCGTAAAAAATTTTGATGAAGTGGCAATACGAGTTTTGAGATTGAAATACTTATATAAGTCATTTGAAGAGATAAAAAATGCGACTAAAATTTCTGAACCAAATTCAAATGAAGTAATTTTTGGTATAAACCTTGCTACTACCAACTCTTTAATTCCGTGGTAAATACAGCTGGCAACGTGGTGATATTTAAAAATGAGCAAGAAAAAAAAGCTGCTGCCTTCTAATGTGTTATTTCATATGAAAATAACACATTAAAAACCGTCTGGCCAAAACGCTATCGCAAAAAACGCTGAGGGTAAAAGTGTTGAAGACTTAAATAAAGTATCAATCTTGAAATAGATAATGAAAGTGAAAAAATTATTAGAGTAAAATGCTCGGTGGATAAGTATTTCACTCCTATCGAGATTTTTGCTGAGATATAAAAATCTTTGTGCGAAAGAGTTAAAAGTCCACTGGGATGGAAGTAAGAAAAGCGGTGATTACTGTTCCAGCTTACTTTGATTCAGCACGTAATGCAACAAAATATGCAGCAAAATTAGCTGGCATAGAAGTTCTTGGCCTCATTAACGCAGTAGCACTTTCTTATCCTATTGCAAAGAACAATAACAGTGGAATATACATATTGAAATTACACCAAGAAGGAGTGTTTCAAGTTCTTGCGGTTGGTGGTGATGACTTCTAAGTATGATTATATTGGATAAATGCAGAAAGAAAGTAGGTAAAGATCTCAGTTCTCCTAAGCATTTATTTACAATATCACGATCAATAAAGGAGCACTTATGCAAGAACATTTCTAGCACTTTTAAATTCAACATTATTGCTGAATTGTTTAAATGCAAAATTACAAACGAAGAATTCGGACAGACAATCAGTTCTTTAGTTAATAAGACTATTAATATAGTTAGTCACTCATATTATAAGCAACATAGATTGCATCTCTGCCAAATGTGTACCACCATCCCATTGTTCGTAGTAGGAGTCATTCCACTTCATTCATATTTCTATGCTGATACCAAGATCTTTTGCATCACCCTTCATGCTGGTAAGTTTGGTAACATATGTTTTATTCTTGTCTAAGTACCGCATGAAATTTGCTGTGCCAAAATTATCTTTAGATTGTTTACTATCGTTAAAGTAAGACTCTACATGCAGTTTGTTACGAAAGTCATGCAAAGTGATGTTAATACTTGCATTTAAAAAAGCTAATTCTCTGATACGATTTTCAAGAGTGGAGAAAATCAGTACTAATAAAAGTCTCCGTTGACAGTATAAATGTTACTCTACTCCCTCATTTGTTTGTTTTCTTATTTACTCACCATCTTCAAAGCGCATAAAGCGTTCTTTCTTATTGTGCCATGATAATGCATTTTCAACTGAGATACCAGCACCATGTACCACGTAATCCGTTAGAAACCTTTTAGTTATATTGCTACCACATTTACCACATTCGTGCAGTTGGGTCATTATTATTATCTATGTTGCTGATATTCCTTCTTTGTAAAGGATTATCAGCTGAAATGCCACAACCATTATCAGTTACAGATACTGAGCCATCCCCATCTATGCTAACCTCAATTTTGTCATAATGCCCCAGCATCTATGATAACCTCAATTTTGTCATAATGCCCCTCATCTATACCTTATTATCAACAACCCCATATATGCAAACCAGACCCATCACCAGGTATCCCCCCCATGTACATACCTGGGTGCTTCCTTACAGTACCATGACCTCTTAAGATTTTTATTGCATCAGCGTTATTAGTTACTACTTTCCATACAAACTTTTCCGTTCTATTTATAAATGTTAATACTTTATGTATTAAACAAATAACGTTGACATTAGAGAAGAACCACTTACACTACCACCGTTGATATATGGCTTAGATAGAAGGATTCGAACCCCGACACAGCAACATCGAAAACCGATGCCTTACCACTTGGCTGCACCCACTCCAAAACTGTCCTCATCAATAACATACTATTAACCCAATTAGTATGATTGATTTCTTCTTCAGATATTGTTACAATAGCTGGCTGATCATAAGAATGCATTGCTCAACTTTTTCTACAGTTTTATCAACTTGGTCGCTTCTGCTTTTCATAGTTGCTATTACTTCAAGAGAATTCACTTTATGATATATATTTTCTCTTTCTTCAGAAATATATATTTATATATATAATTAATTTCTTCATTCTTTAATAATTCTTCAGAAGCAGTTTTAGCCTCCTTCACATTCGAAAAAGTTGTGTAAACTAAAACTAAACTGTTCATTAGGATCAACATAAACATATTGCTACTATACATCACTTAGATTGAAAAATCTCTTAAGAAAAAATAGAAGAGACTTTTTTTGAAATTCTGTTGTTTCACTATGTAATAATGAAATTTTGAAATTTTTTATGGTTAAATCTTTACTAGAAATACAAAAAAAGAATGTTACTCGTCAAACAACATCCTTTTGCAGAAACCAACAATTATTCCAACAATTGCAGAAAAGAGTATTAATTAAATCTGTGGAGTTTTAGCTCTTTTTTTATTTTATTTGCCAGTAGCTCACAGACTTGCTCTCCTTGGATTCTCAAAAATCTTTGCGCATTGTGTGTATGTATCACTGTGCAGCCCTGATGACAGTACAAAATGCCCATGCAAAATCGCCTCGAATTCTTTTATTCTAACATCACTTTTAGATTTCATCCTTACATTCTTTATTAATCATTTGGGTATATCGTATAAGTAGTCGTCCCATAATGTACAGAGGAAAGTTCATCGATACGAAACTGATTGACATAATATAGCAGGCAGCGTCCCATCGGTACTGCCAGCATTGCCAGTTGCAGTGCCTATAGCTAAAAAAAATTCATGTGAACATTTGTCTGAGGGAAAATGTACTGCACCCACCCATTCATCTCTGCAACAACCATTACTGTCATTAAAATGAATATGGCACATTCATTCATATTGGTTGTTGTGCGTACGTGCATATTGGTAAAATAAGAGACGACAACTTCTTTGGCGCTTTTAGCTTATTTTGCACGCAGTCTATGGTTGTAGTCAGTGCTGCAATGAATGATTTAGAAAAGAAATGCAAACGTTAATGCTGGTATGACTCACTTTAGTGTTTGAATTGAGAAATAACTAGGAAATAAATCTTAGTGCTGTCAGATTTCATTTTAATTAAATGTTAAAACTTTTAAAGAATAGTAATTCATTTAAAAAAATATGTTTTTTCAACTTAATTGATTATTTTCTATGCATTGTACGTGAACTGGTCATACACGGTGTGGTCATTTGATAGTTCAAAATAGTAAAATAAACTTTAATAATTAAGTTAATATTTCAGTAGCGAAATTAATAAAATCTTCAATTAGTCATAGTTTTAATTCATTTTTACGATGTAAATTAATTTTTATTTCAAATTTAAATACTGATTTTTATGATATTGAAATTAATTTTAATCACAGTTCTAGACACGGATCTTTAGTTCAACAATTCCTAAGAGTTTTTGTAAATTAAACATTAAAAAAATCTTTAATTTTTCTAAATTCTGTTTTAATCAAGTGCCAAAGATGTTAGAAAAATAGAATTCATTTAAAAATAAATATATTTTGAACTTAATTGAATACTTCCATTTGCATTATAATTGAGCTGCTTACATTTTGTCGTGGATATTTGACATTTTATGCAAAAAAAGGTTTTAAAAATTAACTTTGAAGCAAACTTCCAATGTAGAAATTAAATAAATTTGCGATTATAAAATAATTTCAGTTAATTTTTGATGTTGAAATTAATTTTAATCACAGTTCTAGACACTGATCTCTATCGACATTTCTCAAGAGTTTTTGTAAATTTAATATTAAAAACCATCAATGCTAGAAAAATGTAATTCATTTAAAAATAAATATATTTTGAACTTAATTCATCACTTTTATTTGCATTATATCTGATCTACTTACATTTTGTCGCAAATTTTTGACATTTTATGGAAGAAAAAAAATTTTTAAAAATAACTTGGAAGCAAACTTTCAATGTAGATTTCAATGTAATATTAAATTTACAAAAATTCTTAGGAATTGTCGAAATTTCTTAAAGATGCGTATCAAGAATTGTGATTAAAATTAATTCCAATGTCAAAAAATAATTGAAATCATTTATAATTACAAATTTAATTAATTTTTACATTGTATGGCTGCTTCAAGTTGAATTTACTAGACTTTCTTTTTTGCATAAATTGTCAAACATCCATGACAGAATGTAAGCAGATCAAGTACAATGCAAATAAAATAATCAATTAAGTTCAAAATATGTTTATTTTGATATGAATTATATTCCTATAACATTGTTGGCACTTAATTAAAACGGAATTTAGTAAAATTAAACATTTTATCAGTATTAAATTTACAGAAACTCTTAGAAATTGTTGAAATTTCCTGAAGATGTATATCAAATTTGTTATTATAATTAATTTTATGGTCAAAAATTAATTGAAATCATCATTAATTGCAATTAATAAAACTTTTAATTAATCGTAGTCTTAGTTTTTTTTACAATTAAAATTTTGATTTTTATGAAAATCCTATAATTTGTAGGAGTTTTTGTATAAAAAAACAAGGGAATAAATTCTAGCATTATCAGATTTAATTTTATTAAGTTTTAAAACTACTAAACATAACAATTCCATTTTAAAAAATGTATATTTTCACTTAATTAACTGTTTTATCTGCACTATACGGGAACTGGTCGTATACGGCGTGTTCATTTGACAGCTTAAATAATAAAAAAACTTTAATAATTATGTTTTGAACAATATTTCAGTAGCGAAATTAGTAAAACTTTCAATTAATCATAGTTTTAACTCATTTTTACAACTAAAATTAGTTTTTATTCAAATTTAAATTTTGATATTTTTTTTAAATTACTAATCCATTTTTTTAAATGAATTACTATCCCTTAAAAGTTTTAACACTTAATTAAAATGAAATTTGATAATACTAGAAACTGTTTCCCAGTCTAATATACAGAAAATCTTATAAATTGTAAAATTTTCATAAAAATCAAAATTTAAATTTGAAATAAAAATTAATTTTAATTGTAAAAATGATTTGAGACTATGACCAATTAAATGTTTTATTAATTTCGCTACTGGAATATTGTTAAAAACTTAATTATTAAAGTTTTTTTTATTATTTAAGCCGTCAAATATATGATCAGTTCCTGCGCAATGCATACAAAATAGCTAAGTTCTAATATCTACTTTTTTTAAATAGATTGTCATTTTTAATTGTTTTAATACTTAATTAAAATTAAATTTGATAATTCTAGAATTTATTTCCTTGTTTATTTATATTTAATTTGAAATAAAAATTAGTTCTAATTGTAAAAATGAATTATAGTTATAATTAATTATATTAATTACTGAAATATTGTTCAAAACTTAATTATTAAAATTTCAAATCCGTTCAAAGCAGGAATTTCTGTTGACATTCTTTCCCAAATAACTGGCTCATCAACTGACAGAATTACATAACTTGAGGTGTTTAAGTGTAAGGAAACAAAATTTAATATGATCCAATCACAGAATAAAGTAATGAATCTTTTGAATGGTATATAGATTTCAATTTGAGTAAAGAATATGGCAGTTAGGATAGTAAACATAGGAAATTGATTGCATTAACTAGCATTATTCTTGTTATTTTTTTGCTTTTTTTGTCTTGCTACGTAGAATGAATTCAGGCATAGACTTTACAGGTGAAATTTTGATGGAAATAAAATCATCAAGCGAAGGACATGCTGTCCTTAAAATTTTAAAATGGTTTTACGATGCAGAGTTCAAAGGCTGGTGATAGTTTAGTCATGTGTTTTGGAGAGAAAGGAAACGAAGGTAAAATTAAAAAGTCAAAAGTGTACTGGAAGAAAAGCTGGATGGCTCCATAAACTACCATAAAATAGATTATTATGGCCTACGAATAAGTTCAACACAGATGCTTGAAGAAATCTTGTCCATGTTTATTGCAATTGTTGAAATATTATTTTTATGTTTGGTTTAGATTTAATTGACAATGTGGATTTGGTAGAACAATAGAACTATTTCATGACGTGATTTTAACTGTTTGTTTTGTCAGCCTAACTGATATTAAATTTAATATTTTATCGGTTGCAGCCCTCCTTACTATAATTGGTTATTCAATCAATAATTCATTAGTTATATACGATCGGATTCGAGAATAACAAAAGAATCTAAAAATAGGCAGATGAGTGATGTAGTATTTTTCTTTTGCTCTCTTTCTCTTTGTAATTAATCAAAGTTTAATTGAATGATGATGCACGCTACTGATCTAAATTGATTCAGTTTTAAGCATAAGCTTATTTAATGAAAACATTTATACTTATCAAGATTAGTTGTTTTCATCAAATTACTTTCACATTAAATTATTTCGTATCATTTACCGTTTATGAACAATATCCAATTAATAATTATAACATTTCATTCCGCTGTTTTTCATCAAAATAAATGATATATGTAAGAAGGAAGAGAGAAAAAAATTCGACAGTTTTTTCTATTTCAGGAAAATTTATGTCTAAGATTAAATCAATTCAGTTCAATTGAATGCAATATAATTCTATTAAAATTTAATTAATTACAAAAAGAGGAAATGCAAGGAGATTTTCGAAAATATATTTTCACAAAACAAAAGAAAGATTTACAAATTTCTAATTTTTTGTTTCTTCTTGTTTTGCAAACGATCACATAATATAATTCCTTAAATAATTAAAAATTGTTGAATAAATTTGCAAAAAGAAAAAAAAAATTGAAAATGATAAATTCATGTGGCGCATCAACATTGTTATCACATGAAATACGCCAAAAATGCCATGTGAAATGGGATGATATCTTTTAGTGAAAAAGAAATTGTCATATTGAAACAAATTTCAATTGTTATTTACTAGATGAAATCAACCGATCATTTTCCACTTTTTGCTTTTCATTCCCGACAACAACAACAACTTTCTGCAATGTCGCACATTTATCAGCTTATTAATCTTTTTTTTTTCATTTTTTTTTAATAAATTTTTCTCAGATGATGACAATCACAGACAGACAGATAGATCGATATGTCCGTATGTCGGCATCTTTGTAATTTTATTGATATATTGATTCGATGAAAGAAGAACTCAAAATATTTGTGGCAAAAAGTTTTTTTTTTTTTTTTCCACAGATATGAATTTTATAACTGATCATTTCTATGAATTATAAAACATAACGATAATATTATCTAAAAATGATTATGTCAACAAATACAATCATTACTTTAGAATTATTGTATAATTCATCAAATTTGATAATTAATTGTTGAAATAATCATTTCTTAGATAATATAATATTATATTATATTAAAACAATGTTTTTTGGAAAACAAAGAAAGAACAAATTATTGAAATTATTGCAAAAATGATGCAGAAAGAGATGAATTTATTCATTATATGTGATAATAATTGTAGCACAAAATTAAGTTATTATTAATACAAATTATTAAATAGTATAAAATTAAAATATTTTATAATAAGCATAACGAATGGATTAGTGATAATATTAATGTATTTAGGAAAGAAGAAAGATGACCAATGTGATGACCTGATATAGTGTAGTAATATCGTCAGAATCAGATATTTACGACGAAACAACAGAAATTACTAATTTGATGACCACTATGTATCACACTAATTCGTTTATATTTTCTCCTTCCAATATTTCTTATTCCTTTCATTCCCTTTTTATCACAAATATTTTACTATACAAATAATATTATTGGAAAGGAGGATACTTTTACTCTGCAAATAAAAATACCATAATAATAAACTAACATTTTAGAAAGGAAGAAAAAAAAAAAAACATATAAAATAGCACGATGTTATCTACAGGAGAAAAAAGATTTGTTGACAATCACACATATCATTATACTGATAACAATGTTAATGACTAATGATAATAATTAGAATATGAGAGAGTAATTGTGAAACTCATATTCTAATAACAATCAGCTAATGCTTATTTATGTATGAATAATAAATCATAAAACATATAGATATCATATGAACAATGATAATATCACAAATCATTAATACCCACTCTAGACTATTATTATCTAATGAGCAACAAATTATATTTACAGTTAAAGTTATTAATACCATTAATAGTCCCTCTAAGTTTATCAGTTATATATTAACAATATCAATAATTATTAGTCATCAATACTATTATCATTAGTCATTAATATTGTTATCAGTATAATAACATATGTGTGATTGTCAACAAATCTTTTTTTTTCTATGGAAAACACCCACTATTTTACATGTTTTTTTTTCTTTTCCTAAATGTTAGTTTATTATTATGGCATCTTTATTTGCAGAGTAAAAATAATTCTTCCCTCCAATAATATTATTTGCATAGTAAAATATTTGTGATAAAAAGGGAATGAAAGGAATAAGAAATATTCCCTCTGTTTTATAGATATCATTATACTACAAAAAAAGACAAACCTTGTAAATTTCCCTAAAAGACCTTTCATACGACTATTTTCTTTTCTATTTCCTTTTGTTCATTTTTTTTCCTTCATCTTTGATAAATTCAATCTTTTGGTATTTCTCTTCATTTGATCAATTATACGCCATCTTTCTCTTATCATCTGAACAATTATATGCCATTTCCTCTCATTATTTACTGATAACAGTGTAATAATTGATAGATAATCGAGAATGCATTAGCAATACTGAACCCTATTAGATATCCATCATATTTAAAATGTTTTACAAAACTTTGTTACAGAATAAAAATATGTCAGTCACAAATTCGTATTGTACTTTGTTAATGAAAAAAATAAAAATGGAAACGAATGCAAAAGTTTGAAGGCAATAACAATAATGCAGTAATATAACAATTTTTTAATTGTATTTCTAATTTAAATGAAAAACAGAAACAAGAAAAAAAGGAAGGAATTTCGTATTAGTTTAATTCAGTAATCCTTACTTAATCAACTGATAAAATCTTTAAGTACTATTCCCAAAAATCTATTCCCAAATACTTCTATGAAATAAGATTTGCGAATAAATCTTCTTATATAATAAAAACAATAAAATGAATGATTAAATTATCACTATAAATAATCCAAAACGAAAAAACAATCAAATGTTACAGGAATCAGGAATAAAAAAGAAAAATATTACATATCTAAGAGAGAATTTTTGATAAATGAACTGCCAATAACCATAATGAATGAATGATAACTTTCTTCATTTCCTCTCAATATTTACCGATGAACCTCTCATATATTATCAAAAGATAAATAGTTTATATGAAATTATACGCAACAATAATAATTTATAAAGTATGATAATAAACCTATCAACTCGCATATAAGAAAACAGTACATAAATACCTCCAATAATGATGTTATCTTTATTTGCATCATTATCCACTTTTTTTAGTAAGTAAATTTTCTACGAGTATTTATAAGCGAAAAGTACATTAATGAAAGTAATAGATCACTCTGATAGTCATGTAATAGTACGAAGAATATCAGTGAAAAAATTTACTACGATAAATCACTTCAATTAAATAGTAAAAACAGAACAATAACAAAACAAGTACAATAAATAAAAGACAAATGATATAATTATGAAAAGAAAATTTCGATTCGAATCTGAATATCTTGCATAAATTTAATGATTTATCTGTGAGACTCTAGTGACTTGAAATGTATCATAAAAGTGTGCTAAAAAATACCACCTGTTGTAAATATAATTTGCATAAACACTACATAACAATGCATAACAAGTTCTACTCCATACTTCATATGTAATATTATGGCACATTATTAAAGCTGATGATGACAGTGAAACCATCATCAGCTTTAATAAAAATGTCCAATTCATAGAAAAGAAATATACAAAATATGATTCCTACTGAACAAATTTTTTAATCACAAGTTATCATTGCCTAATTAAAAACAGTTTTAGACAATGGGATTCGTTCATATATTGGTGAAAAGAACTTCCCCTCTGTGCCGGGCAAATCTTTATACCAAGGCAGTATTGGGAAAGATAAAATATGAAGATCATGAAGTTCGAACCGTCTTCTTTTTCGTGAATACCAATAACCAAAATTACCGAATATCATGTATGGCACATTGTATGGGTATTCATATGGCATAGCAATCTGATTTTTCGTTAATTTATACTTCCTATCAGCCTAAAATGCATTTGATACATTGAGCTTGAGAAGATAAAAAATTTAAATGCTGAATGAATTAAAAAAAATTAGTTCCATTAATATCTTTAATGGAATGAAAACTTACCACACGATATAGAATGTTTTTCTGATGTAATGCACAACACGTTATTGATAATGAATAAGTACTTGCAAAATAAACTCGGAAGAAATCCTGAATGGCACCTGTAAAAGTGGTATGTTTGAAAATGATTCGCATTCATTTAGATTTGAAAAAAGAAGCGAGTAACTTGAAGACACCTAATTCAAACATCTTCAATATAATTTAAATAGATATTAAATATACTAATACGTATATTAATTAACGAAATTGTTTAAAATTTTCAGAAAGCTATCTCAAGTTCTGGCCTGTTTGAATATAATTTCTCAATGTTATAATAGCAAAATCCCCAGACTGAATCTCTTGGGAAACTGAAATACTCAGATATCAATTTCATTTCTACACCTAAGATAGTCTGATATTTCCGTCTTTGCTATATCATAAGCTCGATATAACGCACAAACTTGATGAGTTTTTTTAATCATAAAAACATGATATCCTTTAAGATATCATTTAAAATCAATTCTGGAAACTGACCATAAAGACCTGGAGCAACAGTGACGATATCTTGTTCAGTGATATTTAGCACTTCACGCTTTTCGGCTTCAAATTGCTCTACTTTATGCATGTGTTCCACAATAGGTTCAGCATTTTCATCACTTTCTATCAGCTTTTTCAAGTTACCCTAAAAATGATGGAATTTCAGAAAAATTATTAGAAAGACAATGCAGGTCAATCTCAACGTATTAAAACTTACAGTGTAATATGTCTGACACACCAATTCGAACAACTTTCGAGTTCTTTTTATCAGAAGATTTTGTTGCATATGATGAGCCATGTCTAACATAAGACCAATTTGTAGATTCGGTAATCTTTTCAACATTTCCAAATATTTTATAGTTAACTGAAAAGCAGTAAATTTCAAATTTACAACGATATACGTTAGCATTTTTCTACCAGTAATCAAAAGAAATTGAAATGCTCACATGAATTCGTGTAACGTCTCGTCTATTCCTGTAGCAATCAAATGCTCGCTCTATACACCACTCATTCTGCAACAGTAAACTTGGAAAGCTAGTTATTTCTCTGAAAATTTTCAAATATTCAGTAAAATATTCTGTTTTTTTCTTCTAGAGAAAAAACATTAGAAGTTCGCAACAATTTACCGGAGCCCAAGGAAGCGAATCTAGATTCCCAATTACCAATACATCCTCTTCAACTTTCTCCTGTGGCGGTGGTTTCAATCTTGCCCTAAAAATAAACGAAAATTAACTTATCGATGAGTTAGAAGAAAAATATTTGACTAGTACTTAAAGGCATAATAATCAGCATCTTTACTACTTATTTCAAACTACAAAAATTTCTCTTCCAAACCAAAAAATAAACTCTAAAATAAAATTATTTCTCTTTACAAAATAATATTGAACACTTTAATATTATTATATTTCTCCACATTTACTAACCATACTGTTTTAACAGCTTTCATCTCTGAATCCCAGGCATAACATTCGCGACAAATTTTATCATATTCGTACTGGAACGACGCATCAAAATAATCATTTTCGATAAGAACCGGTAAGCGTGGTCGGAATACATACTTTGATCGTACCTCCTTTTCTTGCTCATCTTTCTTATTTTCATTTTCAAATCGTAACCGATCATTAATTGCATAGCTTGAACTATATGGACAGCAGTGCAGCATAGATCTCACATGCCTAAGCAAAGAACCTGAAATTGTTTTAATAACATTCTCTTCAAGTCATTTACTAAAGTAACACTGAACACTTCGGTACCATAACATTTGTATTTTACTGATATTATAATTTTATAAAAACTAGATGGACGGATTAATTTGTTTTAAAAACCTAAAATTTTCAAATCAATCCACATTACATAACTCTTTTTCGAAATAATTCACATAAACTATTCCAACAATTTCTAGAAACACACCGAATATTCGAACCCTACTTAATGTCATTTCTTCATCATAGATTGAATTCCACCTGAAGTAACCTGAAACACAAAATAATTAGAAGAAGGAATAACAAATGGTGACCCGCGATTTTGAAAATCCAGATTTCTTGATTCCAAAAAAAAAAAAAAATCTAATAAAACATTATTCGATTAATTCAAATTCCTCAAAAATTTCGGCTTAAAACTGCCTAACAAAGATGCCTGGGCAATAAAGCAATTGAACTTTGTAATAAGAATGAAAGAATTAGTTCACACTTTGTAATAAGAATGAAAGAATTAGTTCACCGTTATATTAATGAGACAAATCTTCAACTATATGTCAATACCAATGAAAAAAACTATGTCTGTGACACATAGAAATTGAAAATTTAAGAAAAAATTTTTCAAATACTGAAACACATATATATATAAAATCATTTGAATAATAAATTAATAATTCAAGATAAAATACAAAATTGGTTGATGTCAACTTCAACAAAAAAGTGCAGGAGTGTTTTTTTTTTTTTATGCTTTAATGAAATACGAAAAATTTAAAACATACTAGGGATATTTTACCATTCCATCAAAAAAAAAACTCAAGAAATGTTCCTTTGCAAATAAACGCTTCGCATCCTGAACAATTACTAAAATATTTTTGAAAAAAAAAAAAAAATGAAATAATCACTATTTAAATTTGATATTTGTAAAAGGAAATGTAAAAATATGTGAGCATTTACACATCTAAAACTACCCAGAAAAATGGAGTGGATATTAATAGCTATAAAGTGTATTTTAAATACATAAGGATCAAACAGGTTAGTTGAAAAAATCCATTGTATCCAAATGCATAGAAAATCACTTCTGTGTAACATAAAGTTAATGTTATAACTACTCCAAAGATATTTAAAGACAATCAGTTCCTCCAGTTTTTTACAAATCATACTGCACTGCTTATTCTAGCCACACGAATACCGGTAAAACTGTAGACCAATTAACAACCTTACCATACTGACACTTTGATATGAAAACCAAATCCAATTTACAAAAGGAAAAATATCATAAAAACAGTTCAAGAAACTGCTTTTTTGCTCTGAAATCTTCTTAATAATTTTGTAAAGCCACTTATTTATTTTTTCAACAAAGGTGAATAATAATCAGAGGTAAATTAACATTTGGATCAGATTTAAGGAGAATTTCACAGGAATAAAAAAATATTTGAATGATAAGGCTTTAGTGAACTATCAAGAAGATATCGTCTTCATCATGAAATAGGCAACAAAGGATAACAGAGCAACAAGTGCTGCAATGAGGAAATAGTAATTTATAGAGGTCATTTCACCAGCTTTAAGTATTGGAGGCAATACAACGGAATTTAAACTTGATGCTGATGAACTGGATCGTTCCACGTGACTAGGCCTATCGTCTTCACTCAACATGTTCAGTAAATCGTTTCCATCCAAGTGACGTTCGCTACTTATATCAATGTCATCTAAATATTTATCACTTAGTCCAGCTTTTGATGATAAATTATTAAACTACCAGCATATGAATCATGGAAGAAATTAAAACTGAAGAACTCGAAACACGTGTCTGCAGTATACATATTTAACGTACTGTCTGCCCTAACAAATCATTATTTTGAATTTAAATAACATAAAATTTTTCATTGAGCTGCCAATTCTAGAAAGAGTTAACTTAAAGTTACAAAAAATAATACATTAAAAGTATTGCTTACCCTCAGAAACTTTGAGACTTAAAAATTCTGCAAAGGACTGTTGTGCATCATTAGCCGTATCACTTTCAAAGAGATAGTCAGTAAAAACGATTGCCCGCTGACTGGGCAAACAAACATAAGCAGCACGAGGTAACTGATGTACCGCTAACCGATCCTTTGGTTCATCTTCGATAACATCAGTACTTTCATAATGTAGCTCTTTGAAATAAATAATAATTTTTTTCACAGATTTATTTAAGGTTTAAAGCATATAGTTATTATTACAAAATCCCACTAGAAATTAATTTTCGATTACGTTCAGAAATTTATTATTTTAAATTTACACCATCATTACCAACTGAAGATATATTTTAATAAATAAGCGCACTGTAATGATACACTAAAGATGCAATTATATGATCATGATTTAATAACAAGCAAATACTTACCAACTCTAATGCAATTATATGATCATGATTTAATAACAAGCAATAACTTACCAGCCCTACTACATAATGATCTTATTAAATGTTCCTTAACAGCATCAATTGCTTGACCAACAGTAGCTTTACTGGGCACTGCTGCCTTCGCAATAGTATCCACAATCAAATCAATAATGCAGGATGAAGATATCTTTTGATTACCGAAATCATGTTTTCCTTCTAGAATTTCGTCCAATCATAATTATTTTGTTTGTTCAAATAAATACATAGTTAGATCTTATGCCGTTAAACAGCTTTTTTGGTTTGGATAGCTATATGTTTGCTAGATTGTAGCTGTCTTCTGAGAAAGATAGTAGATAACTTGCATCATAAACATATCAATCTTTAAATTCAAATGCATCAATCTTTCATTATTTTTATAAAATTCTTGAAGTTTTGTCTAATTTGTTTTAATGTTTTATGAGTGAAAAATTAAAATATCAATGCAAATATTATGACTGACAGGAAAATCATATTATAGTTATTCTCTACAGAGAAATATGCTAGCATAAATTGTTTCAATCATTAATCAAGCGCACCAGCATTTAAAAACATTTCAATATCAAACGCAGTTGGTCCTCGATTTTTCCGATCACGAGGTCTCAGAAACTCGTCTCGTGGTCGTGATAAGCCGTTTATCAATGCTAAATTTGTTTTCAAAAGCTGAAATAAAATTACTTAATTATTTCAATCTTCAAGCTATCATAATAGCGATCAAAACTCAAAGATCAAGACTTAGACGCAGAAAATTCTTTTTTCTTGAACATATAAAAGTTCAGACAAAAAGCGAATCAAACAATGACAAAAATATTTACACATTCAGCCCACTCGCGTATTCCACTTGTAAACTGCTTGTGAAAATCCCAAACACCATCAGTTAGAGGTTCTGACAACCGAAAAGCAACAGATGATTCCAAACGTACCCATTCCAACTGCAGTAACATAACTCGTTATACTATATCTCTAATTACCGTACAGCGCTATAAAAATACACCTAGGATATAAAATCCGAAACATATATTAATTTAACATTAGTCTAGTTCAAGAGCAACATTTTAATAAGGATCACACTACTCCTACCTCACGTCTGGTTTACGTTGCTTACGCTCCAAGTAGCAATTTAGTAATTAAGTATGATCGTGTCAAAAAAGGAATCAATGCAAAAATCATAAACGAAAAGACTTCATCAAAAACCAAATGTGGAGGATACCTGACTGAAGCTCACTTTGGTTTGTGAACCAGCAGCACCTCTTCGACTGCAATCAATAATGCATCCAAACGGCTTCCCCAATGGTGTTTCGATTCCAATTAATATCTGAAATTAAAAAAAAAAAAAGAACCAATCTAAACTTTATAATGTATCTTCTCTCCATCTTTGGAATTCTAAATCTTATAATTGGAAAAGACAAAGAAGAAAAATAAATAGTTGAGGCAAAAAAAAAAGAAAGATGCGGAGAGTTAATCTAACGTGCACTATTCCTTCTTCCAATCTTAGCTGTTAGAAATTGGTAGCTATTACAAATATCCAGAATCTTGTAATCATTGAAAAGCTAAACTTCAAACAACAAGAGATGAACAAACCAACGTATTGTCAATAGGTTTGATGCTCAGAGAACTGAGCGCATTATGACGGATTGCTATCTGGGAAAGTGCTCGAACAAGTATATCACGAACTTGTGCTGACTGCAACGATGCTTTTGAGTCAGCTAACCACAGCAAACCTAAATTATAAAGAATGAAAATCTAGATTTGATTGTGATTATATATCATACTATTTTCAAACCAACACTGAGCAGACATCAAATTCAAAAGAAAAAAAAAAAAAAAAAAACATCACATTATGGTGTAATATTAAGAATCAGCTAGAGGAATAATTACTTAATAAAGAAGTAAGAACAGTTTCAATTAAACTCAGTAATTAACATTGCTAAATATACATTCAAAAACAGTTACCAACTATCATGGTCCCACCAGGTAGAAATCTTAAAACACGTGAACCGGTATCAGCGATCCAATCAGCATCCACTGATTTCGAATGAATATCACCACTCTGCAAAATACACTTCTTTGAAATTGACTAATTCTTACTTCAACAATAAAATAATAACAAAATACATCTTTTCAGTGTATATTTTTCAACTTCATTTCACGATATGATAACTAAATTTCTCTTCAAAATACTCGAGAAACCATTAAAGTCGTGACCGCAATGAGAAGATTAGCGAATGATATATGTCCAACCATGGGTTTGTTTGGAAAAATGATACCTCATCTCGTATAGTGTCAGGATGAGCACACATTGCAATGTGTGCCACATGAAAATCTTCATCTATCTTGGAACCAATCAAAAACCCAGCGCTACCAGTAATTGCATACTTCCTCTGCTTATCACAGTGCTCCCGTATATAAGAATTCAATACAAATTCCAAACACTTATCCAGTAGAATCATTATGATAATTACAACAGCTGTGTATATTTATAGCATTTGTTGATAAGAAGCATCAAAAATTCCTGCAAAAGATATTATAGCAGTTCACAAAGAGGATTCCTATGTATGGCTACAAAAGTATTTGGGAAGCAGTCTGCATAAACATGGTTTTATGTCATTTTCTCTTGGATTTTAATAAACAATGTCATTAATAATTGTACGGTCACTGATTTATACCAAATATTAACTGCTTCAATCAACATCCATAGAAATATTTATTTCAGACAATTAAATGAAAACACGCATCAACGGCAATCTACAGCGGTTAATCATTTCGGTGTTTCAAGTTACAAAATATTGACAGCAATGAATAAACAATCAGTAATCACACTAGTGTAAGAAATACATTGTTAATTTAAATGAAGGATGCGAGAAATGCATTTACCAGTATTTAAACTCGTATAATTTCAAAAGCTATAGGTTTTCAAATCCAATGTACAATTTAAGAAATCACAGGAATAAATACAATACATCAAACCAAGTTTTCGTGCTCGTCGAATTAATTTTTCTGTTTCCTGTAATTAAAAGAATCAAAACAAAACAACAGCTTTTACTGCTACCAAAAAAAGGAGGAAAATTCGAATGTGAACGAGAAACGAGCATTATCTCTGCGACGAAATCTTTGAAATTATTTTGGCAGTATATCTTAATTCCCAAAAAATTTAACATAGCTTCGACAAAACGTGAGCACACAATTACGACAGTGTCGTAAAATATGAGCATCCAACGGTAATGTAGGTAGGTAATTCAGAAAAATGTAGTATCGGAAATGCTCAAAACTTAAAAAAACGGGCAAAAAATAAATCTATAATATAGGACTTAAGAAATATTCAGAAAATTTAGAATACCTTTTTGCTACTTGCTTGCCAAGCATGAATGAACCAACTAAGCCAGCAACAATAGCACTTACTTTGAAAAAATCCCTCCACTTTATAGCTCCAGTCGGTGAATCATCCTTATCATCCTTGAATTATTTTATGCTATTTGATTGATGTTTTAAAGATTCATTAATTACAAAATTTCATTAATATTATAGTGACAAACATGTACACATAAATCTAGAAGTATATCAGCTCCTTCCATTAGCTCACTGCCGAGATAATTTGATTCTCCAACGGTTCCATATTGTACTATTCGGGCAATATAAGTTAGATAAGGTACAGAAATTCTACGCACAAAAACGAACTACTTACGAGATTTTTAAAGCAGCAGAAGCAATAGGATTTTTAAAACAAATACTAAACATTTGTATGTCTTAGAGAACAAAACGCAAAAAAATCATGTTTCTAAATTACCCCTACGAAAAAAAAAAAAATTACTTTGAGATTTAATGCGCGTGCTGAGGGCCTCGGATTTTCACAATACTTCACTAAACCTTTCCCATAAATCGGGATGATCTAAAAAAGAAAAAAAAAATCAATTTTCATTATCATTTTATTCTTAAAATAAAGAATTTCAACAAAATCTGGGAAGCAGGATATATTCCAGGTCGATTTAAAATGACGTGATTTCCAAAGAAATTTCATGTCAATAAAAGCCATGCATATAAAATCCAATGAATGGAAAGTGACCTGAAGATACAGTCACACGCTTAAAAAGACTACAAAATTTAGCCTTCACTTCTCTATAAGATTAGATTATTAATATCTACCAATGCCGTCAGACAAAATATCACTGCATTTTTGTAAGGCACTCTTGCATGATATATTTTTTTACATTTATAAACAAGTATGAAAACATACACCACCATCTCGTACATGCATTTTACAGATAGGACATTGTTTATTTTCATGTGCGTATTTATTCAACCATTCATCAATACACTCCCAGCAATAAAAATGGCCACAGCTAAGAACAACTGGATTCACTGCTTCTTTATAGCAGATGCTGCATTCATACCTAAAATCTTGCAACATCATTGTAAGGAAAAACAAACAATTAATGTGAGATTAACTGAAAATTTCATGAGACAGAAAACTAGCATTTTTAATCAAATAAAGATCACCATCATGCTAACATAATTTCAGAAGCCAACTTAAATAATGATACTATTAATGTCTCAAGGTTTTCAAAATCAAATATTTGAATAAAAGTTTAAAAACTGTGCAAATAAATTCCTTCACTACCAGAATAAATTAGCAAAGTTCATACACATCTACATGGATTGAAATTCGAATACATTGACTTACCTCGAATCGTCCTCGTCGCTAGTGCTGTTTCTAGATTCCCTACGGCACTCACGACGCTTTTCAGATGTGGCCATCGATATATATATATATGGCTTTTCTGCAGTATCTTTTGATAAGTGATATAGATATCACCAAATAAAAAACGTTATTTTCACATCATATTATCCTATAAATCACGCAAAAATACATCAGTGCATAAAGAACATCAAATAAAAGGCGTCAACAAGCAATATTGTTTACTTCACTTTTTTTTGCTGCTTTTCCACTTAATTTTTTATTTTATCTTTTATTTTTCGAAAGAAAAAGTATTAAAAGTACTGCGAATTCGAAATTATATGAAAACAACAGAAAGAAAAAAATTAAGTGTCAACAAACAATATTGTTTATATGAAACAGTTCTTCCGAAAAAATATTTCCATCCCATATTTTCAAAATTAATTACTGCACAACATTAGCAACAAGCGATATCATTGGTCACGTTTATCACGCTTGCAAAATAATCATTCTTCTCCTCGCCAATTACTCTTAAAATTTTACAATTATCATTTCGCAAATAATTACCAACATTCCTTATAACCCGTCCACTTCTCCCAGTCCCTCCCAAATACACCAGCAATCTGTCCAACGCTATGACTTAGTTGATTTCAACTGTTGCAATCAAGTTGCGTCATCGATGCATGCTATTGGTTGTGAAAAAGCTTTGATACGAAATGATTTTAATTGAAGACAATTGTTTTATTGTTAACGATTTGAAATTACTTCTTTTATTGAACAAATTAATTAGTGAAGCAGAAACTTTGGTTATGGTGTTACTTCTGTTACATTCATTATCATTTTATTTGTATGTTATTAAATATCAAACAAATTATGTCAGTTTTTTTTTTTTTTTTTAATTTGTAATTAAATTTCAAAGTTTCCAAATAGTGCAGTATTTGGAAATTCCCCGCATAAAACTTTCTTTTTTCATATTTGAAAGAGCATTATCTCATAAAATAATGATGCAAAGATTATTTGCAGGTATTTGGAATCTTCTGAATTTGAAAAACAATAATCCCAAATAAAAGTGATTTTTTTTCTAACATTAAGAGTATTGCTAAAATAATATATGCTCGCAAGTAAGAGTTTGGAAATTTCCAAATGTTTTCAAATGCTATCTAATTGTATGTGGATAAGATTAAAACTGAACTAGATTAGATGATTTAAAATGTTTTTAGTCTAATTTAGAATAATCCAATTTCTAATTAGAATATAAATAGTATTTCAGTTTCAAATAAATGTATGTGTTATCAATAATAGTCACGAATAAGACAGATGGTATTGTTTATCCGATAGTTACACTATCATACAAATTTCGATTTAAAAACCATATTAAGTCATCCTAGTAAATATACCGAATATGATGCACAATCGTACGAGATTCTAAGTAGTGATCAAAATATGCAATAAAAATTTCTTTCCGCGAGTGGAACTTCAAAGGTTTATCTCTTGATGGAAAAGAAGACGCCATGCGTCAGGGGGGAATCGAACCCCCGTCGATTGCTTGGAAGGCAACCATGCTGACCATTACACCACTGACGCCCGTGATGCCGACCTATTTCGTAATATATGAATTCGAATTTGAATTTGAATTATATTTGTATTCAAAAAGATAACTTCGAAGTTGTATCATTGTAATATTCAAATGTACTTAAAAGTGGAAAATTCACTCAAGCTAAAAGCGGATTATACAATAATTTTGAATAACTGATTATTTCCCTTGTTTTATAACGAGATATTTTCAAACAATTTGTTTTTACAGTGATATTTTTGCAATCAAACTGGCAAAAGAGAAATTTATTTTTTGTCGAATGTCAATCACAACTAATAATGAATGTTATGATAATAATTTTAGCTATACAAAATCAAATAATAATGTTAATATGTGATATTAATTTTGCTATACAAAATATCAGAAATATTTAACGAATTATATTTAACGAAGTATAATATGGGCATTGCTCATTCTGTTAATTATTTATTTTTCAGGCTTATAAATTGCACAAATTAAACTACCAGTGGGATCAATTGGAATTGTCAAAAAGAAAGCGAAATTACAATATAATGTCGAAATAATTTCGTAGACAATGGTTAATAATATATAAAAGTAGTTAAAATTACCATTTGCTCAGTTTTGCGTTTATTAAGCTTCGATTCGGTTCTTTTCGGCATGCATTTCTCAACTCGCTCCAATAAACTGTGATGCAGTAGGAAGTACGACATTTTTGTGAACCTTAGTGAATTATTGATATAATTTAATATTTACTTTTGTTTATTTCTTTATATGATGTCATCAAAGGTTAATAAATTCACTGATAATACTGTGGAATTACGATAGTAACAACATATTTGTTAAAAACTTTACCAACAGAAGTAAATGTGAAATTTATAAGCTGAACTTTCGAAACGATGAGATTTTTAAATCTACTAAGATTTTTATAATTTGTATTAGCATACAATGGATCCACCGTTTTTTGGATTATTAAAATTATCTAAAAGTGATTGATTTATCTGAAAGAAGTTCTTCTTTTAGCATAAACAATATAATCGCTGATCTGAATTTTTTGAATTTGTCAACATTTTTCTTTCTTGTTTACACATAACTGGCATTTTTTAAGAATGAATAAATGTATTAAAATGCATAATATAACAAACTTTTTATTAGTCTTTATGCAATTTACCCGAAACGATGAACAACTTCCCATATTCATAATAGTTTTATTGCAATCTATGTTTTGTATCCTCAAAACTTCCAACCAATCTGATTCAAACACTTCATGTACTTCACAGTTTCTCGGCATAATTGGGTTTTTTGAAATCATGATAATATTTTTTCTATGCTTTTGAATAGTGTTCATACATATATATATATATATTTGAAATTGATCTTAAATAAATTCCAGTGACGTTATCAGTTATACTGCAAGAAACTTTGTTGTTCAAAATTTAACAATAGCGTTGTTGGCATACTATTGCTGCTTTATAGCAAATAAGGTAATTGGTATAGAAAGGTTGACAGGTTAATATTTTCGGAATGTTTCAAAATGTGCAGTGCTTTCTCATTGTGTCCTTCTTTTTTTCTTTTCTCAATTGAGCTAACGACTACTGTGCTATAATGACTTCTTGTCACCACCTTTGTCTGCATAAAATGAATGTCATGACCTTTGCTTGAACAAAATGAACTAACCTTTACTTGGACAAAGTGATGGTTATGTAGAAAGAAAATATATGTTAGGGCGGAGCAGCGATGGCCGAGTGGTTAAGGCGTTGGACTTAAGATCCAATGGACGCTAAGTCCTCGTGGGTTCAAACCCCACTCGCTGCAAGTCAAACCCCACTTTTAGTTTGCTTTGGTATGAAATATTGCAATCTGAGGTTTTTGACAAATACGCATAAAAGATTTGTTCCTTTATTATTAATATTAATAATTCGTTAAAATAATTTATCAAATGAAGAAGGAAATAATTAAAATAACTTTTTGATAAATATTTTAAACTGTTTAACAAAGTATTGGTTTCATATCTTTATATGATTATAGTTTCGTATTACTATTATTTAATGAAATTCTGTAAAGTATTAATTGTTAAAGTAATCCATAATACATTTGTTATTAATATATTTGCTATCACTTGCTAGATTTTTAATAACTGTTTTTGTTAAACTTTAACAAATGTCTATTTACTTTCATAAAAATATCAAATTTAAATTGTTTCATAAAAAATCATGACCTGATTAGTAATTATATTGTGTCAATCTTTTATGATAACAATTTTACTTTTTTCTACATGTTATCATAACATTTATTTAATTATGTAGCATAATATTCCTGATAAAATAATTTTACAATATAAGATGAATAATTTTGGGGGCATTTAACACGTTTGTCAATCCCGAAATAAGTGACAACTAAGAATAACAGTCAGTTCATTCGTGGTTCAATGATATACGGCAATTGAAAGTAACAATTAAGAATTATAATAGTTCTTTTTTTTTTTGAATGAAATAAATTAAATTGAGTTGTCGAGTGTTCAACTTTAATATTATTATAAAAAGTATCGAGAAAACATAATATTAAGGAAATGTGATATATTCCTAAATGTATATCAAAATTGTTTTCAAATTTAGATTGTAATAATTATTTTCAGTAATAAATTAATTATGAAATTTCATCATTGTGATGATTTATTGCATTCCGTTCATTATTAAAGAAGTTTTAAATTGTTCACTGATTCATAAATGCTTACATAATGACGTAATGAAAGTGTATAATGCTACCCATCATAATCAAAGGACAGCTCTAATATTTTAAACTAATATTTGACTAATTTCATGATGAAATTAAGCTATGGATTAAATACTTAACGAAATAAAATTACGTTTGTTGTGTTCCATTATATCTTTGTTGTGATATATTTCCTTCTTTAGCACTCCAAAAAAAAAAAAAAAAAAAAAAAAAAAAAAACAAAAACAAAGAACAAAAATCTTGAAACTAAAACTACTGAATGATATATTACCTATATTCTTCACAGCGATTTTTCTCGGAAGATAAATATTGTTAAGATGAATAACTAAAAAGAAGATATTGAATTAAATTACCTTACCAATTTGTGGTAATTACTGTTATTTGAAATTTTTTTAGTTAGTATTTACTTAATGATTGTATAATGAAATTCATTATTACAGTATTTTCCTGCATGCATTAACCAAATAACCACTACTTTACTTCGAATAATGAAATGCTATATAAGCAAAATCTCTTTATTAATGCAATCTAAAATAAAACAATGTAATAAAACATTTTGTTTTGTAAACAGAAAAAAATTGTTTCAAAAGATTTTTGAAGAATATTTTCTGAATAATGTATTAAACAATGGATGAAAATAAATAAAAAAAATCGATTAAAATATTAGCTCGAATTTTTCTGGTTTTTTTTTTCTTTCAGTCATATGCTTACATTTTATTCGTTCTTTTCCATTTATTTAGCCAATTTAAAATATACTTCTAATGTACAGCCAATTTGAATGCAATAATAACAACAATGTAATAAAAATAGCTAATTTGGATGTAATATTAGCAACAATAATTCCTTTGTCTATTTTATTTCCACTTATTTGTCCTAATTTATAATATATCATTTCCTATCATCAATAATGATACTAATTTATGATATATCATCCATTATAATTGATACTACTAGTAGATGAAATATTGTCAAATATTCGATCTAAATCTGATCTTTCTCATTTTATGATATTCTCCTTTATATGTATCTCACTATAATTTTTTTTTCACCATATTTCTAACAAAATAGCACTATGAATTAACTATTACTTTATTTTTGTTTGGTTTAAACATTTTAAAATTTTTATTTTCATTTATTCATTAGTGTTAATTATAGTATGCAAATTGAATAACTATTAAATGGTAAGGCGCAGAATAAATCGACGTAACAAACGTCAACTTTACGGCGTATTGGGAGAAGATTCATCATTATCAGCTATAATATATTTACCAAAAACTAAGAAACTACGACAATTTCCAACGTATATTTGATAAATTTCCTGAATAATTTTAAATTTAAAAATTGTATAAATTAAATCATAGATAAACAGTTTCAGGATTGCTTCCTTATTATAAACAAAATTTTTGATCATTAGAAAGTTTACTCGAAATTCAATAATGTTTGCGAGAAAAAAATAAGTTTAGAAATTTGTTCTTTGATTACACATTATTTTGGTGCAAACAATGATAATGGAAAAAATCATCAGTTAATTAATAATTAATAAATAATAGCAATTATAATATTCATCTTTAGTTGTCAACGTTTTTGTTTGTTTTCATTTGGTTTATTTATTTCGATCATCTTGGCATTATTATTAAACTATTTAAATGAACCTATCCGATCTATAAAGTACAGGTAAAATTGAAATTTAATTTTTATTAGTTTGTTTTTTAAATTTTCAGATCTTTATCAAGATCTGTTAGAGTAGTTTCAACAAACAAAAAGATTACGGGCAAGAAGAAAAAATGGGTTGCCATTATCAAAAATTATTTTAAAAGGTCATATCTTATATGCACAAATATACGAAAAATTATTTTAAAGAAGTAGTAACTTTCGATTTTTTCAAATTTTAATTAAAAAAAATGCAAACATTCTCATATTTTATCTACCAATATTAATTAGCTAAATTCTGTAGGAAAAATTTTAATTAAAATCTTTTTAGTAAAATATTAAGATATTACTTTTATAATGTTTGCTGTCATAGAATTAAATAGAATACTGATGGTATTTAATAATGTTTATGGATGTAAATTAGAAGTAACTTGATAGATAATACAATTGCTAGTAATTAATTGATTATAAGTATAAAGGATGTAACAAATTTTATTTTTTTTATCTTTTAAAAGTATGTAAAATAATTGATTGACTTTTTTTTTTGCTTTTTTTCTCAAAATAGAGGAATAATATGTTAGAGTAGTTTTTTTGTTCCACTTTTTTCCTTTAATTTATATAAATATTTACATTCTAAACTAATTTCAATTTTAGACTCCCAAAACCACCGGAACTTACTGGTACCTTAAGACCAAATCAGGAGTTAACCCATGCAGAAATATTGTTGCCAAATAGAATCAATGGACCGGAATCGATTGCAATACATGAAAAAAGTAAAACTATATATGTTGGACTTAAAACCGGTTTGATTGCTGGAATTGAAATTGATAGATTTAAAAAGGTAGACACAGTTTAATGCTATTTTTTATGTATTCTAATTTTGATATATAAAATGAGTGTTATGGCATTATAGCATCGAATCAGAAAAATCTCTTTATGAAGCATAAGCTATTAAATTCATATCCAAAATGAACCGGAATTCTTGTCAGAAATAAGTAATTTTGCATAGAAATACATAAGAGTGAGGTATATTTTAATGATTAATTGTTATATAATCAATAGGTGAAGTTGGTGAAAAGTATCAAATTATTTAAAAGACCGGAATACAACAGGCTATGTGATGGAAGTTATCATTCAGTACTGGAATGTGGTCGTCCTTTAGGAATGCGGTTCAACCGGAAAAATCCTGATTTATTACTTATTGCTGATGCTTATTATGGAATTTTCGAAGCAAATGTTCAAAATGGTATAAACATTCTAGAAAAAAACCAAGAGAACATTACCAAAAAATGATCTATTGAGAGGATATCTTAAATATCTTAGTATTTTCATTTATTTGTAGTAGTAAAATTTTCAGGATTACATGAGAAGAAAAAATATTAATTCGTCAAAACTGAAAACATTAATAACACTTCTGATAAATGTAATATAAATGGTGTTAATTTGAAGTTTTCAAATTCTATCGGTTTTTCAAAATTTTCTAAATTTTATTAATTTCAAATTATTACCCTCCAGTAATTTTTCAAATTAGCAAAAATTTAAATACAGTTTTTTAATAGCATATTCAATCCTTTTCTTTTTTTTTTTTTAGTGCTCTAACAATTATTTAATTAACTAGTTATTTATTTTCAAAAAATTATAATATTTATTAAAAAAAAATACATATCAATACTAATAGTAGTGAATTCTTGGAATAATTTTTTATAATTAAAATTCATTTAGGTATATGAAATTTTAGAGACGGTAAGGCAAATTTTAAAGCCTGGAACAAAGATAGCACATAGCTTATCTTGGCCAGTTGTCCATTTTAATGATTTTGATATCAGCCAAGATGGACATCATATTGTTTTCACTGAACCATCTCATCGTTTTGCTGACCGTGATTGCTTTTATGCAATGGTTGAACATAGATCGGATGGAAGGTAAATTTGCTATTTCAACTTAAATTATTCATCTTGAAGAAGTGATTTTCAGAATTTCCTGTAATAAAAGCTCATCAGATATTTTCTTGCAAATTAATTTAGATTCAGGATTTAATAATCTATTTTGGTTGAGTTGAAAATTTGCAAATTGCTAAAATATTAAATATTGATTATTAATAAAAGTCGAAATTAATGTACAAAAATTTATATTTTAATCATAATTCTATTTAGATTATTACATTATAATATGCATACCGGTGTACTTCGTGTACTGATCGATGATTTATATTATCCGAACGGTGTGGAATTTGATAAAACTGGAAAATGTGTATTTTTTTCCGAAATGGGCAATCTTCGAATACTCAAGTCAAATTTTACTGCCAAATTTATCAAAAAATGATTATATTTAACGCCTTAAATGACGATTACTTTTTGAACTCATAATTTTCTAATGTTAATTTAAACTTCAGTATTTTATTAATGTGTAAATAATAACTTCAAATTTTTGATTACTTTTTGTTCTTGCTTTACAATTAAATATTCACTTTGTTTAATTATTTTTTCTCAGCTTTTCAGGTATTGTTTCAATTATAAATCTGGGAAATACATGATCGTAGCAAATAATTTGCCTGGATATCCGGATAATATTCGAACAGCCAATAATGGAATGCTATGGGTACCACTTGGCCAAGTTCGCTTAGAAGATGATTCTTGGATTACTGAAAGACCTTTTCTAAGAGATATCATTGCTATGGTATTTCTTTTTTTTTTTCTATTGTTTTACAAATTTAAAAGAATTATGTCATTATTTACTGATTAGTCAAAAATTGGAAAATTTTCAAAAGTGTTTAAAAAAAAAGTCTTTCTTTCTCTTTTTACCAACCAAATTTCTATTGTCATTAAGCATTTTTTCTTTTATTGATAAAATTTTTAGGAAAAAAAAAAAAAAAAACATTCAAATAGAAAAATATTGTACTGATAATACCTATGGATACTTTATGGGCAATCGTTATCTGTCAGAAAATACCGTACTAATATTTCATACGGATAATTTATGCAAAAAATATAGACCAAAAAATATTACATTATTACAGGTAGTAAAAACTCAAACGTTTATGACAATTCTTGATTATTTCTTACCCAAATATGGCTTGTTATTGCTTATTAATCCAGCTAATGGTACAATTATGCGAAGCTTCCATGATCCTACCGGTTCAACTATAAATTCAATTTCACAAGTAATAATTTTTTTCTTCAGTTAGTTAGTTTTGTTTATTAATTAAGATTTTATCATTATTTTATTTAATATTTTACATAGTTGTATATATTGCATATATATTGTACTTTGTATATATACAATATCAGTGGTAATTATTCTTTTTTTTCTTGTTTAGGCGATCGAACTTAACGATGGTACTATTCTGCTCGGCGGTGATAGTAATACGTTTTTGGCCAGATTTAAACCATCAACAATATTATGATATGATTTTTCGTGGAGCGAAAAAGAAGACCTGTTCTTATTTTGAAATGATTAAATCATTTAAATGATTTCTATTTCATATTTTAATTCATCATGCAATTGAAGCCTTAAATATACAATTTGCTTGAATTCATAATTTAAAATAAATAAAATGGGAAAATTTTATTTGCTCAGGATCGAAAATTAGAAATTATAAAATTGGCTTATTTCAAAATCAATCATTGCTAATAAGTGATAATAATAATAAATTATAATGATGAAATAATGTAGTAATAGTGATAATAATAATCACAATAACAATAATAATAAGATAATAATACAATGACAAAACAGAAAGGAAATTTTATAAAACTACCATAAAAAAGGAATGAAAAGAAAATCACACTTTGTCGTCTTCTTCATTCATCACATCGTCAATATCCACTTCATCTTGTTTACTTGGTCGTACTTTCAGTCGATATTTACTTGGTGTTAATGTAACGAATGAACAGCGCAATTCTTCATCAACTGCTAACACAGCACCACTGTTGTTGAATTTGCCACAGTAATTTGGAGCGGAAAAGACAGTAATCATATGGCGACCAGCAAAAAATTCATAACCGTCCTAAGAAAAAAATTTTTTTTTTTAACAGTGAATAAAGAAAAAGAATTATCAAAAAAAAAAAGAAAGAAAATCGTGTTCTGATGGCTAGCAAAAAAATTATTTCATTATTGTTACAAAAAAACAAAACGATTAGTAAAGAAGGTTATAAGTTTTTTTGAAAAAAATATTTTTTTTTTAAACTTAATTCAAATTTTTAATTATATTGCAATTGTTGCTGATGTATTTAATGATCATTTGTAATGATTAGTAAATTAACAAAGTTGTTTAATATATTTTAATCTTTTTTAACAAAAAAAAAAAAAAAGTAAAAATGTTTTTATAATTAAAAAGATGACCAAAATTTATTTAATAAATTATTTTACTAAAAAATTATTACTACATAAAATTTTTTTATATAAAAGTGGGTTCCTACATTGCAGTAACAAATACTACGTGTTGCGACAACAACGCATTATGTTTGAGTATTTGCACAAATATTGAATTATCAATTGTATTTCTAAAACGTAACGTAATTATATTTCAATTTATAAATTAATTTATTGTAACACTTACTTGCACAACTTGATGAGCACGTACAATAAAGTCTAATTTACACTGTTGACATACTGCTAATACTGCGCTTTGATTGAAATGATGCGAAATGCCTCTTAATGATGGCCCAAAATTTGGATCATTTGGCCCGTTTGACATTTTAGCATCTGGATCAGACCTATAATACTATTAACGATAAAGTAATAATTATAATTATCAATAATCTTTTAAAAATTTTTAAATGAATCATTGTATAACATACCATAATAAGTCAACTTCTATGCTATCATCAATCGGATCCACTGGCCTTTTTAAATGTCGCAATGCATCAAGATTTGTCATTTTTGGTGACAAACCACCATGCATGCAAAGTATACGTTTACCAACGCGTGCTGCAAATGGTAACCAATTGAATAAATCCTGAAATTTTCCAATTTATTGGGTTAATAAATGACGGCAATAACAATTATTGATTTTTGTTGAATTTATAAATTTAAAGTATTATTAAAATAAAAAAGTTAATTTTATTTTTACAAAAATTTTTAATACCTGAAATTTGATCCATAATAAATCACCATTTTGGAATCGTTCTTCCAATTCATCCCGAAAACCGTAAGCTTGATTTATGAGTGAGCATTCATGATTGCCTCGTAACAGGAAAATTTTTGCCGGAAAAAGAATTTTCAAAAGCAGTAGCAAGCATATTACTTCTAAACTATTTGGGCCACGATCAATATAATCACCCATAAAAAGATATCTCTGTAATTACATTAGGAAATAAATTAAATGATATGCAAAATATATTGCTCAGTGTTCTTCTAAAATAAACATAAATAACTTTATGAATGCTATCTCTAACTGATCCAATTAACAGAAGTAAAATTGAAGCCTTCCATTCTACACATATCTCAATCAAAATTACTTTTCAGTTAAACGAAAACACTTTCTTTCTACTGACCTCATAAGGTGGACGGCCACATTGTTCAAAAATTCGTAAAAGATCCACAAATTGTCCATGGATATCACCACATATATTAACAGGTACCGCAATTTCCAACAGGGTACATTCTTTTTGCAATATTTCTCTGTAAAAAATGAAAAAGAAAATGAGTAAGGAAGGAAAAATAATTCAATTTTTTTTTGAAGTCATTTTTTCGTTTTTTAGGTTTAAGACGTAAAGTTTTCAAAATTGACGCTGTTTAATAGAAATACTAAAAAAAAAAAAATATCCACTTGCTATTTCCATCAATTTTATATGTTATCTACATTAGCTTTTTTCACTTAAAATATTTTCTATACCTAAAGTCTAAATTTTTAATTAATATACGAATTAAATTAAATAAAAAAAATTCGATTATTCGAAAATTAAATCAGCAATTATACATTTAGTTAGTTAAATAATTGAAAATTTATAAGTTTGATAGGCTCAATAAATAGTAGTTATAGCTACAACGTTTAATTAAAAATAAATCAATTTGATAAGCTTGAAAAAAGAAATAAGTTTTAAAATGTTTCTTTTTTCTCCTCCTGAAATATTTAAAGTCAAATGAAATATTAACAAACTTAGAACGTGCAATCATCCGTTCAATAACATTAATATCTTGGAGTACATCATTTACTACTTTACGATTTCTCGAATCTATCGTAATACAATTCAATAATTTAATCATCAAATTATTAGCTTCTTTGTCTGATAAAATTTGCGAACTAATTTCACGCGCTGATTCTATAACCTTTGTACAATAATAATGATGATTGAAATGATGAGATTGAAATAACACAAAAAGAAGTACTACTTTTTCCTCTTCTTCTCCTTCTTTCTCTCTCTCTCTCCGAATTTGTTAATTATTACGACTTGATAGTTGAATAGTCTATGAAATTTTAAGTGTTAAAGAAGGAGATGCCAAAATAATTCTTTATTAATTCTAAATATTTTCAACTTTTTTTGAAAGTACCACAAATTGTTTAAATTAAAGAAATTTTTACAAAAACAGTGATTATAAATTTTTTGTTTATTTTTCTAATCTTTTGTTTTTATTCTTTTTTTTAAAACCTATTGGTGATCCATTTGTAATTGAAGGAATTTTTGTTTTAGAGCCAATATTTTCAACTGATGAAGACGATTGCATCAGAAAAACCATCTACGATTACAATATTTGATTAAGATTTGTTTTCAAAAAATCTCGTTTTCAGCTGAATATTTTAAACAGTGAAATTTATTGTTTCATCTAAAAAGTACTAATTGAACAAATCATTCATTTCATTTCTTTTTATATATACATTTATCCTTTTCACTTTTTTTTGGTATGCTAATTTTTATTATTTTATTCATTTTTTTTTTATAATTTAAATACTGTATATAAAATAAAAATTTTTTATCCGTTTTATTCTTAAGTTTGCATATAATTGTCATTAATTTTCACAAAATTTAAATTTTCTCATATTTTCGCTCTTATCGATTGCGTAATTCAAAGACGATGCATTTCTGATACTGTAATAGGATGATGGGATGAGAAATTTGAGTGGTCAAATTTTGAAAAAGGCATAAATACTGCATTTTGAAAAGCAAGAAAATTTTAACAGTAAGTTTAAGTTTCATTTTAATAATTTAGTGACTTAACATTTATTGATTTTTAGTTTCGATTTAATAATTCTAAAAGTGCAAAAATCCCTCTTTATTTGAAATATTAAATTAACAATTAATTAGTGCGGGACAAAAAACATGTAGCATTTAATATTTGCATCTAACCTCTCATTACCATTTTTATTTCATATTTCATAGCCATTCCCTATTTTATATCATATCATCATTTCTTTTAGACATTTGCGCTTTTTAGTTAGTCAGCTTAGCGCAGATTTGACTTATTTTCTAGTGGTTGAAAAAATAAAAATAATTTCAGTGCTAAATAAAAAAACAATTCAGTGAAATCTGCTTAGAGTTAGTTATAGGTTATATATTCCATTTTCCAATCTCATACTTTGCTTCAGATCAAAATAAGCAATGCAGCAGCAAGTAAAGTGAGGGAATGTGTAAGTGATGGTCAAAGAGGAGGCGGGCAAAGGTGAAAAAACAATTTAAAGCTCTGCCCCCTTCCTGGCTAAATGTGCAGTCATTGAGCTGACCACTACATCAGTTAATCAACCTCATAGTCCACTCTCCTGGGCTTTTCTTCCTATGATTTTTGTGAATTTTCAGAATAAAAGTTAAACTTTAAAGTTTTTTTTGTGTCTTTGATCTCTCTACTACAGTATTCTATTCATTAGAGTGTAAAAGAAAAGAAAAACATTGTTGACGCCATGTGTCCTTGTGATGTTTACTTATTCGTTTCAATTAATGATTGATGTTCACACCTTTTCACTCATTTATTTCTACTTGATACTGTAGGATTTACTTAATTCAGTAACAATAAATAATTACTAGGTACATTTTCCTGTTTGCAAAAAATTTTCTTAAGCTATCCTTAACTGCATATTAGGAATGTGTCACACAGTTCCTCTCGATCTCTTCTCTTGTCGTTTACAAAAAAGACGACCATCGATATCAATGATGTCAATTGTAGTGGGAGGCTTTATGCCCAACTCGTCATTGACCACTGTCCACTATTAATCTTCATTGGAGCTGACCCCAAAGATTCCCTTGTTCTTCTGACCTCCCAACATCTCTTTTTTGCTTTGATGAACGTTTTTATTGCAATCAATTTCGTTTTTGCATTTCTGCATTTGTTTTTCTTCTTTTTTTCTTAGTTTTGCTTTTCCTCAAGTTTGATAAAATTGTCGAATGAAATATTTTACTTCTTGAACAAGTAGACGGACAGTGAGACAGCAAGAGAAAAAGCGCTCAAGTGATGATGAAAGACATGCAGAGAGATGGAGGTGGGGTCGGAAAAAAAAAAAAACAGCGCAATGTGTTGCTCTCTGCTGTTGCTGCAGTAATAAATGTTCTATGTTGTTGAGATGACCACTCTATCAGCTGATTGACCCGCGAGCCGTCGTCCATTTTTGTGGACGCTTCCTAGTCGCTCTTTCTGCATTTTCTGTTACTATTGCATTGTTCGTTGGGATTACATTTGTTTCATTTATTCAAGAGCAGAACGAATGGAAAGAAAGAAAATCTCAAAAAAGGGCGGAGGTAGAGAAGATGGTCATTTTCGAAAACTAAAAACTTTATGGAATCCATTTTCATGCACTGTACAGATTTGAATTCTGTTGCTTTATGACCTTATAATTATGAAAAAATTGTTTACGAAGTTTCCGTAGATTCGATTTGATAGTGGAAGCGTCTTTTTTCAGTTTTGATTTTGAAAACCCGCCTAACAAACAGATCAGTTACTTAGAATCAAATGATAACAAAGATAGCCCTCCACTAAATAGCAAAGCTGTTGCTTTTGAACTTGTAAAGGCTAGCATGAAGTTAGTAAAAATGAAATGTTTTTAACTTTTTCCCTCTGACAGTCAGGTGGGAGTCCTTAGCCAAGTACAGCGAACTATTTAAGAAATTTCAAAGCTTTTTGATTCCATTGGTATTTCCCAAATGATATTTTCCCTATCCAGAAGGATTGTTTTTGGTATTATTAAGAGAAGGTGCTGAAAATATTAGAGAAAGGGGCAGAAGGCAGAAGGAAGGTCGCTGTTACAATCTCTGTCCACTCTCTTCTATTTCCTTTTTGATTACAAAAAAGCGACTATCGCTGTCAGGGATGTCAACGAGCAGTCGCTGACCACCCTCACTACTACACCCATAGCAGCAAGCTGACCCCCGGCGACGCCTCCTTCTGACCTCAACCTCTGGCCTTCCATTATTACTCGTTTTTTTGCTTTATAGCATCAAATCTTATAAAACTTTCTCTTTAAATCTCTCCTTAATTGCATGGTGTAAATTTAGCTTTCTCTAAAATCAAAATTTTGGTTAAAAAATGTCAAATTCGACGACATTTTAAAATTACATCCAAGTGTAGAAATCATTCAAACAACTTCTTTGCTTAGTTGCGATCATTCTCTTAAATTCTGATAAGTTATCACCAAAAGTAATTAAAGCAATTTTATATCTAAATGACTTAAACCGCAAAAAACGAGATTTTAAATTGCTCTTTCATAAATCAACTATCACTACTCTTATCAATGATAGACTGATTATTTGAGCTTTTCTCATAAATAACTAAACTGTGGTTGATAGTGACAATAGCAAATTGCGTTAAATTCATTCAGAAATAAATTTTTCTGAATGTCAAAGTGTAATTTCATTGTTAGAAATTATTCATTTTATCCATTTTTCAATTTCAAATTGACTAATTAATTAATTAATCGTTTGTTTATTAAATTAAATTTTAAGTTTCTGAATAATCCCTTAATAATAATAATAATAGAAATAACAATTTATACGATAATGAAACAGATAATGAGATTTTGGACGGGGTTTTCTCGAGAAAGGAATAAGATAAATCGATTATTGTTTTTATACTACTCCAGTAATATGCGGAACAAATTTGAAATGCTCATATCGAATACGTATCAATAAGTCTACCCTAAGAATAGGGCAATGTTTGCAAGTACGTTATTGCAGAATATAGTGGTTATGCTGCAGCAACAGGAGAACGTAATCAGTGAATTGAACTTGTCGATGCAAGTTGAATCATCAATTGCAGCTGCAGAATTGCAAGGATTAAACGAAATGAGAAATATAACGAACAGAAATGAAAGTGCAATAGAAGCTGCTGTAAAAAAAGTGTGGTCGAAGATGAAAAAAGTCGAAGATACACAATTTCCAAACAGACATAATGATTTTCAATCGCCATCGGAATGTTGTGGAAACAATAAGAAGACGACAGGTAATTACGATGATAAAAATAATTAATTGATCGGATATACTCAGTTTAACAAGAAAATTCGATGAAGTAATGGAAGAAATTCTGCAATGTCGTCAAATAACAATTAAATTTAAATGATTCACAAAAAAACTTTCAGCGAATGAAGAATTTGGTGTTCAGGAAACTAGAAACGGATCAGGCCGAAACAAACGGAAGCCAAATTTCGTTAGGCATATCATTCGTAAGCAATCAATGCTTTTTTAGAAACGTTTTTTTTTTTTTCATATTTTTAGAAAAAAAGCATATTCTTTACAAAAGCGAGTACTTTTAGAAGACAACACTGAGGAGCAAAGTGGAAGTAAAACGGAAAATGTGCCACAACTCTTTTCTGATGATACCGAGGAGGGGCCTGCTGATTTGAACAATAGGAATTGCCAAGATCAAGTATTGGACAAACAGTTTAATATGGTGATATCAGCTGAAAAATCCCATAAAAAACGGTTGGATAAGCGAAATGGTGAAAAAATCGACAATTCAGGAAATGGTAACGATTTGACAATCTGTACGGTAATTGAAAAGTGTATTTTTAGATATTTCCATCTTTCCCATCTTTACTCCCATCAAAATATCATATTACTTCAGCTTCATCAAATGCTAAACGAAAGCGCTCTGAATCGAAATTATTAAATCTTAATCAACAATATAGTAACAGAACATTCTCGTCATTTACACTAGCAGAGCAAGAAGAACTTCGACGTAAGGCTTTACGTATTCACGACGGAGCCACATTTCAGAGGTTTTGTTTATTGTAGTTTGTTGTAGTAAACATGTAATTCTATTTCTTACAACAGTGCCAGAAAACTTTCTTATTTTCAGTTTTGACGAATTTCACGAATGTTTCGATGCCTACAAGATCGTATGGAGTTACCCGTATAGGGTAGCCAGTTCCGAGATTCTTCGAGATGGCGAAGGGCAAGTGATCAGTCGCTTTAAATATAAATATATAGTGTTCCACTGCGTTCATTATGGGGCTCCACGTAAAAGGGGTAACATTTTATTTTTTTCTTCATTATCTGCGAATGATCAAAAGTAATTTTTATGCAGTTTACAGTTTTGGAAATGAATTCAGTCTTTGCTTAATTCCGTTTACTGCAGATTTGATATCTGACACTGAAACGACTAATAGGCTCAAAAAACTCTAGCTAATGGACTGACATTAACTAATCTAAGGCATTTTTCTACCTACATATTGTTTTAACAAAAAACGAAACCATATAATGTAATATTATTATGAAAGCATTAATTTTTGCACTTACTCATCAATGCATATACCATCAATGGTCGGCCAAGTGTTATGAAAATTTTCAGTGAGGGCATGGAAATAAATCTTCGTGCTGTTCTGATTTTATTCGCTAAATAGCAAAAAAAAGTGTCAACTTTTTGAGGGCATCGTCATTCAAATGATTTTATTCTGCTTGTCCTTGTGTTTTCTCAATCCAAATTTTATGTGGCTCATATTTGGCTTCGTTTTGCACTTTTATTTCAATATATCAAAATCCTTTCAGAATAGTAACGCCCACTGTCCACAAAACCAAATTTTTTGATACCAAAAGATCGAGAGAACTTGAGAGATGTTTTATTGCACTTCACGCGTGTTAGCTTTTATTTAGATTTGATGAAGTCCTTAATCTTCAAATGTCATTTATTTATTCAATTAAGAAGTAGAGAGTGGGAGAGAATTGGATGATATAAATCCAACAAAAGCTGTTGCGGTTGATGGATGATTTGTTTACGTGTTAGCCATTAATCCCTCCACCAGCCAGCTTGCCAATTCCGCCTGTCTCTTTTCCGCTCCAGCTGCTGAGTCAATGGTCATAGTGCTATGCTATAACCACTGTGTTGAATGGCTTTGAGAAAGGATCATTATCACGTTTATGCTAATTAATGTCAGCTTTGGGAATGCGAAACAATCACTTCTAGACAGCAGGATGGATGCTAAATAAATTCCATTTGGAAGAGTTATTACCGATGATGTTACTTACTGTGTTAAATTTTAATATAAATTATAGTTGAAAAACAGGAGTCAGTTTTTTTTTTTATTTAGTATCAAACACTTTAGAATATGAAACAATGAATAATTTAATGTTTTATTGGGAGTTCGTTCCAATTTTAAACCGCTGTGAGGTGAAAACCAAAATTTACGACGAAAGTTTTTAGGGATTTTTACATTTTTTACAGATTTAGGCAAAGGAAACAGTAAATAATGAAGTCGATAATTATTGCTTCCTTCTTTTTTTTACATTGCGGTTGTCCATTTTGACCATTTTAAAGCATTAAATCATGGGCATTACAAGCAGCGCTCTCCCAAATAATAGAAATTATGTTCGCCAGCTGCTGTCTTAATATTATGAAGACTGGCGATATTGGGATGGTAATTTCAGGGGATCCAACCAGTCAGTCTTTTGAAGTACAAAATAATGAATAAATGACAATCAGATCGATAACACACATCTTTTATTGAAAAAAAAAAAAAATAAATCTAACATAACAAATGCTGGAAGTAAGCCACTAATGTCAATCAGGTCCAAGCCAAGCTGTCACCCACTGTCACAGCATTTTCAGAGAAATCAGCGGTTGGCAGTCATAAAATTAAACATCTTATTTGGTATACAATTAATTAGTTTCATAAATAGAATCATATCCTTCTCCATCACTCACAAAATTCAAACGTGTCGATGCATACTTAGGCATATCAAAATGAACTATTTATATGAACTGCGAAAGACAGACTTATTTTTAATAGTGGCATCAAATCAGTAAAAAACTATTTATTCACAAGAAAATGTTAAATGCCTTTAAATTAAATATCACAGAAAGAAAAATGACTTCATCAAGAGAGACCAAAAAACTCAGTGTCTGCTATTATTTCAGGGTGACTTCCACAAGCTTTTGTCAATGAATTAATTAAACTACGATGCAAATTTCTCTCTTTCACATTTGCCATTTTAAATCAGAAGCCTCATGCTACACTCACCACAAATATTCTGCTATAGCTATTGGGCACTTTTAAAACTTGTCTTAATGAACCAAGCATAAAATTTCACTGTTTCATTCCTTCAGGAAGAGGTGAACGTATAAATCAGAATTACCTTTCATTGGGTTGCACCGCCAGATTTCGTTTAAATGCTGACACGACCAACGGTTGTCTTCGAATTTCATCTTTCCACGAGGAGCACATTAATCACGAATGCACTGAGGACGGTTACTTGCGTATTATAAACAAGAAGAGACGAAATCTAACTGGTCAGTTAATAGATTCCCAACTGCGTCTATCCTTTACTTTATTTTCAATATAGAAATGATTATTAGTTATAGAAATTTCAGGTGGTATTGCATCGAAGAAAATGAAGGAAAAAAAAGTGAGAGAAACAGGTAACTTCTATTACTTTTCTCTGTTATATGTCAACAAACGATACGGTAATAGGAGGAACAAAGCTATTTTAGGAGAAACAAAGTCGAAAAGCAAATCACCACAACTAACTGAGCGTGCAAATGTTTCCGATGTTGCGGAAGATAATTCTGCATCCGTTATTTCACCCGCAGAAAATCCCAGTTCCACCATTTTATTAGAAAGAAACTATGGCGCCATTATTTCATCCCAAGAAAACTCTGCTTTTGTTCCGGTTACTCGTTCCGCAGAAGTAAGCAATAACAACAAGTTTATATCAAAAAAAGTTTATGAAGGATAGAAGAACATAAAAGTAAAATTGACATTTTCAGATAACAGAACACGTTGATGGAATACAACAAATGTCATTGCAGAATTTGCTTCCAACAGATTCCGTCCGGAAGCAAATATTCACAAATCGGTTAATAGATCGACTGCAGCGTATAGAGTATTTGATTATGAACGGTTCGTCTTCCAAACCATTAGCATACATCTCTTGTGATATATTTTAGTTGAGTTTACTGGTTTGGAAGATTTGGTAGTATTGAATTTTGGTAAGAGTCAATTGATTCGCTTTTGGAGAGTTTTCCTGGTATCGGAAGGATTCGTTGAATGTAGATGTTGATAGTATGAAATATTACAAGAATATATTAATTCGTTCATTAACAAAGACAACAGTATAATAAATTTTATAAAAAATCGAAGTATGAATAATAGAAATTCTCATAAGCTGAACTTCATGATGTGTTTGCATATACATAATATTAAGATGTGTGAGTGGTCTTTGTTACTTCAAAGCTCGTCACAGTGATAATATTTATTTTAAACAAAAAGGAAAGAGATAATTTAAAGTATGAACACCGGATTGAAAACAAAGGATTTAAGGAATAAACATTTGCACATAATTCCACATATACACATATGTATATAATATTTTAGAGTTTCGCGACAATACTTGAGCTAATTGAAGTCATGTCATTAGCCTGTGCTGGCAGGCAATCTTCAAGCAGTGCAAAAAGATTTATGATTAGAGTAGCATATTTTTTTGAGTACCCCATGTTCTGTTAAAGAATCTGATCTACTAATTTTCATTAAGTAATAAATTCTTTGAACTATTTTTAATAAGAATCCGATTTAGCTTACATCATCAAATGTGGAGGATGTCTACCGCAGGAAGTATACTTACCGTTCATCTGTGGAGTATATGGCGCTGATTTTTATCTCTCGGAATGGTCGAATGTGCAACTAAGAGACGTTATGATAGTGCTTCTGCAGCCACCAGAAATACTGCTTCAAAGCAATTTACCCACCGATATTTCAATTGATGAAGTGAAACAGGTTCGACCACCTGGTATTCATCGTGCGATCACAGCTATTAGAGAGGAAAAACTAAAGGTATGGGTAAAAATTAATATTTAACCCAATTTGTGACAGTACGAATCTATCGTCGTGTTCTGAGCATTGGTAACATGTTTCCCACCTTCTTCATCTTTCATATATTCACACATTTATTTAGCAATCCTTTGCAGAGATGCGACAGTATTTTTGCTCGATTTGTCCAGCATATTTTCAATGCCATCTCTCGACCTGAATTCGTTGTGGCTGTTCGTGAATTCAAAAAATTTGCTGATGACGTAAGAAATATGAATGTTGACAGTATCAAGTCACATGACATCAATATGTTACGATGCTGAGGTAGAACGAATACCGTATCACTGATACTGCTTATACAGATGAGCCAGTTCCTACCCTTTATATCCTTATACCTCTCTTATACCTTTGTGTGAGCTGAAAATTTATTTTTTTTGTTAGGGAACATGAAAATTATGTATATTTTTTTCGAAAAGATTTCTGTTACCAATCGCATTTATTTGTATAGAAATTTTGAATGGATCTTTCTCACTTTGAAAGGGATTTTTGTTATTTTGATGTTTTCTCACAGAATTAAATTTTTTCACAGGATAACACATGAAAACTATTGTAATAACTAAATAATATAGATAAGTTTGCGGCAGTTTCTATGACAGTTTGAGAATAGGTGTGCATGTAATGAATAGAGTATCACGCAGGAATGACTAAACAAGTACTGAAGTGTTAATTATTTTACATTATCAGTTGTACCTCATTACAATATTTATTTGGATGCAATAGGAATAGCATTTGAATGTATGTCTAAAATATGTCTAGCCTGATTTTGGGAATAATTCTTTTATAATTTTTTCAAGAAATTATATTTACCTAATAAGTTGCAGCAAATTTTTTATTAAATTTTTAACACGAATCAATTGCTTTTTGCTTGAAGATAACTCGAAATGCTTAAAATATCTTGGCCCGTTAACAGACCAATGCTAAGGCTTTAAAAAATTGAAAATGTGCTTTACTATTTAATGGATCTTTCCAAAAGATGATTTGAATTGTTGGAAATGTCGAAACCGAAATTCTTTCATTGCCAACCCAATTCTATTAGAAATGTTAAATTCTACTGGAATTCTCATCTACTAAGATTGAATGAGGTTTGTTCACTTAAGGCAACATTTCCTTAATTCTCGTGTAATTGCTAAATTTCTGACTTTATATCACAAAATAGTAGTTTTGCGCATTCAATATTGCCAAATCATTTGTAAGTCTTTGCAAGTTATGAACAGATTTTCTTTTTTTATGTGGATCCTACCACTAATAATTTGATTGATTGTAAAATAATCATGTGGATAATTTTTTTGTTTTTTAATAATCATAATGTAACGAAAATTGCGATCTTAAATCTTGATTTGAAATTTTTGAATCAGTCAATTTTTTGAAAGTCATGCAAAATTTTGAGGCTTGCCTATAAATTGTTTAGATGTGAAAAGAAACGAAATAGATCATCACCCCCTGTGGAGTTTCTTCGGGTAAAAAGGAATGAATGTGTACTGTATTCTTGCTTTAATCTGTATTCTTGTGTTTAATATTTTTATGTTGCTCATTGTTCGCTACTATCTTAGTGCAGTTGTAGAAATATTCTGAGGTGACTGTTTTTCGAACTGCTATCAAATCAATGATCGAAATCTAAAAATTGCATACACCTGCACTAAATATGTTTAATACCAGAAAAAAATTGTTTACAGATATACGAAAGTACCTCCTTCACATGACTATTCAAAGAAAATCGATACTCATTGCTGCTTTTTTCTCTTGTAAATAATGTTATATCTCCTCCTGATAAAGCAATTCAAAACTTTTGGTAGCTAAAGTGTATAAAATTTAAATTAAAAAATAATTTTATGAGTGTTTATAAAACTGCAACTTCAGGAACCAATTTGAACTGAATTAATCAGATATAAAATATTTGTCATAAAACCCTAAACACAAATCTGGCTTTTTCAATCTTTTCCAATAAGTTTCCAGTTGATCGCTGGAGGCTTTTTTTTTTTTCTTTCTATATTAAAGAAATTCTTCATGCATTTTAAATTTAATTCTGAAATGTCTGTCCTGAATTGAAGTATTGAGATCAATAGGTATAAAAAAACACCTGTTAGATCTTAACTACTGCGACAATAATTGATATCTTTCCAACAATTATAAGCATTGAGTAAAGAGAAATGATCAATACCTAGTATCCTTTTCAAAGTACATTTCTCTTACGTGAAATGAAGAAGTATGGGCATCTTCTCTTCCCATATGACCAAGTCTTTAGCACTTTATTTATCTTTCGTTCGTTATACAGCAGTATATGCTCTTAGGCATGAAGTTGCACAGCTGTCGTCTTTTGTGTGGCCATAAATTTAGGTTATAATCCTTCAAACACAATACACGTTTACATTTTTGACATCATTAGAATTATAAATTATCGATGTTGTTACTCTCCTACGAATAAGATGAAGAAAATGGATGACTTGATGAGGAATTTAATGGAATAAGAGAGCAACCGAACTGTAGCTTACTGGTAAGGAAAAAATTGATAAAACTGATTGAGACAAAGGATTTAAATAATGAGCACTGACTTGCAATAAGAGCATGATTATTGAGTAAGGAATCTTTATATGGTCTTTATTCTTTATATAGTCAGAGATGGGTTTTAATTTTGTAGCTTCTCAAGGAATGACTACTAGCTTAGAAAACTTTACAATATTTCGGCACTGGAAGCAAATTTAATTTGGAACAAAGGAGTAGTTTTTAACATATTAAACAATGCACATGCTCGTCGTTAACAGTTGAAAATTTCTCGACAAGCAGATAAGCTTAGTTACAATGGGATGATGAGTGTTGGAATAATGACTGCTTACATGACTTATAATCTGAATAAGTTTTACATTTTTAATATTCAATTAAGAGTGATTTTAGTATTATGGATTAATACAATTTAATTTGATATATTTTGTAAATTATTTGGAGTCTCTCGAGATTATTTCGAGTTTTGCGACACTCCCAACTGAAGAAGCTGGATGTCTTAAGGTTGGTTGAGTACTTTTGTTCAAATGTGTTGGTTTATAGCATTTCTAGTACGTCGAACGATAGGCCCTTGCTCATCGACACTTTGAATTGATTTGTCGAATATTATTGGTTGAGAATCCGAATTTTTCTCGTCGTTGATTTCCAGTAGCTACAGCACATTCATCGGTCTGAGAATTTTTCCTTGTGGTAATTCTGTTGAGACACTTCTTACTTCTTCATCCCTTTCTCTTTTAATTTCCTTCATTCTGGCTAGTTTCCACATGCCACGAAGAATTTCTGATAGATCATCTCTTGGAGAAGAATGTGCTTTTTATGTCTTTTCTTAAAGACTATTCAAATATTGTCTTTCCGTATTCCCCAGAAGGTTTCGAGAGTATTCGACACATACTGAATGACTTTTTCTTAAAAGTTTCAATTTATGAGGGATAAACTTTTCCAATTCATCCTCCTTATTACTAGGCATAGTTAGAGATGCATTCGGCATTTAGAAAATCAGTTGGGCAATATGACACAATGGTCAAAATTTACGTTAGAGGTCGAGTATTCAAAATACTTTCTACTTCCACTATTAGCGTAATCAATTCTCGTTCTCATAATAACTTCCTGCTAATTTTTTCTATTTTTTTTTTTCTTTTTTTGTTACTCTTATTGCCTTTTTTTGTTAAAGCAATGAGTCGCTATATACTGTGCATTGTCGCTGAAGATTAATTCTAGATAGCCTCATCTTGCTGTAAATCTTCTCTGCCATTTCTAGGTGTACAGCTCTTGTTGTAAAAATATGTGAACAGTGCTATCCATCTTGTTGTTAATTCTTGATCACTTCTAATAGTGAGAGGACCTAAATAATGTAGTTCTACTCGTGTGGTCCGAAATGCTGGAAGATCGGCCATGGTAGTATAATGGTTTAGTTGTCAGCATCTGCACTTTATGCACTTATTCAAGATTCGTTTAAATCTCGTTCTACCTTTCGTCGATCCTAGATTTGAGAGCGTATGTGCAATTCCACCATGATACAATTGCTCATGTCATCGCTGAATAAGCAGTTCAATTATGGAAATATGATTTGAGAGATATATTGGATGTAAGTTACTCTCTTTGATGCTTCGTTGAATATAATTTTAATTTCCTTATATTTGGAAAGAGCTTCATTGGTTCTTTTGGTTAGTATTATAATATTGTCGACATGGAGATTTTTCCTTATCTCGAGCACAATTTTGCTTTTATAAGTTTCCAAATGATAATTTGAGAGTAGTCAAATTTGCTTATAAAAAATCAAATTTGTTTATGACGTCAAAATATTGTAAAGGTTTTCTAAGCTATAGTCATTTGAGAAGATATTTCTTTGAGAAGCTACAATATTAAAACCCATCTCTTACCATTTAAAGAGTAAAGATTATATAAGAGCTTCTTACTCAACAATCGTGCCCTTGTTACAAATCAGTGTCCACTATACAAAGATTGAAATTCTTTATCTTCATCAGTTCGTCTATACCAATTCACAATAACTCTTCAGCACGCAAAAGTCCAATTCGACTCTAAGCCATAAGCTACATTCACACTAAACTCCAAATTTCACAACACGGATCCCATAGACTATTTTTGCCATTAATAGCCAACATTTAGGTATAAATAATAAGAAAGAGAGGGAAAAAAGGATAACGAATGCTTCCGATCTTTCGATTGTTGTACGATGTTTAATAATAATTTTAAGTAAATGAAAATATGTTTATTACATAAATTATTGGCTTACAGCCATAATTAAAAAGCCAGTAAAATTTAAATTTGTAAAATCCAAAAATATCAATGTATAAGTTAGGGAACACCGATATGTACATGACATCAAAATCCCCACCAAAAGCTCTCTCATTCAATAATACTGCCTATGAGTGATTTCACGATAAGTAGAACAAAGGAATTTTCTAGATTTGAGTGATCGTCAATGATCATTCCTTTACTTTTGTGTTTTTCATTAATACATAATTATCACTAATAAGTTCTATGCATTGCTTAATAGCATTATGATAATAAAAACTGAAATGACTTCTCGCCAAACTTTTCTGAGCAAAATATAGTGGCGATGAAATTAATCGGATGCATACAATTGAAACAAAAAAATTACTCAAAGATATAACAATAATTCCAGTTGAAATTTAAAAATCTTATTATTGTCTTCTTTGCTCTAAATTTAACTATTATTCACGTATTATAATTTTATTGCTATAAGGAGGATTAAGAAAGCCTTACAAAATGAAACTGCACTTTTAGGGCAAATTATAAGTAAACAAGGAGTAACGATGCGATTGAAAATTCCTGAAACTTTTCCTAAGTCTCTGCTAATGACATTGTATTTTGTCTCTGCGGGACGTTTCAGCATTGATACTTTAATGAAAGAAAATTATGGATTTAAATGTAATCGCTGAAGTCAAAGGTTGATAAACTTCAAAGTTACAAATGAATTGAATTAAAAATTTTAATTTTCAGCATTTACTATAGAGGATCTGAATAAAATAAAAATGTAGAGTGTGCAGCATAAAGCATAAAGGGTTTCTGATCAGTTTCGTTTCCCTTTCAGATTAAATAATTTTTGCTCAATGGAAATGATCCCAACTCTAAAAAAATATCTTTGGCTAAAAAAAGCAAAGCTTATTAAACCTTCAGTCAGAATCGACTCCAAACTGGTGCTATCAAGCACATTGAAATCATTAGAGAACTCATTGCTAAAGTCGTCTCATGCAGTGGTCGAGTTTAGTAGAGAGATAGTTAAATTCTAAGGTGAAGTACTGAATTTTTGAAATGACAGAAATATTCAAATGGAAGCTTTTATTTCACATTCATCAGCTGTCAATTTAATAATAGGGAAATTAGAATGAAACGGAAAAAGTATGAGTAATGATGCAAATGAGACAGATTAAAAACTGTTTGAACCTTGGTCGTTTAATTCCAGCCAATTTCAAATAAAAACTTTCATTCGAGTATTTTTGTCATTTGGAAAATTCATTATTTCACCTCGCTCTTCATTTCAATGATACAAATCATTTGGTTCAGCTTTTTGCTTTGCATCGTTTTGGCTAAGAATGGAAGTATCTCTCCGCTAAATCTCGACATCGATGACATCACATGGGATGACTGTAGCAATGGGTACTTCTCAACTAGTTCCAATATCCTTGATAATAGCAATTTGGAATCGATTCTGGGTTCAGGCATGGATATTCATAACAACGAACTAGAAATTTCTGCTGAGAATTTGCAAAATAGCATTTCATTTCATTCTTCGCACTTCGATTTTACTGATTTGTGGAAAAATGAACACAGAAGCAATGAGGATTCGAAAATCGAAACCGTTCCAATCACAACAGGAAATTACCAGTTGCAAGAATTATCGAGAACAGATGGCGAGAATATGCATGCTAGTATTTCGTCCGATCCTCTGCACTTCTTAGATTTCACTCATTTCCACAAAATTGAAGATGCAAGCACTGAACAACTCGAAAGAAAAACTGATCTCGTTAATGCAAAAAACTTGGAGTTATTTGTTCTACAAAATCCCACCATTACAGGTAACACTAAACTATTGTTTGCAGTATATGCTTGCAATTTAATCTCAATTTTCCAAATTACATCAATTAATTACCAAATGATATGTGAATGCAAAAAAAAAACAAATGTTATAAGACGGTTTTTCAGATGAGAAAAATTACGTGTGTCCCCATGTCGGGTGTACTATGAAAACTAAGAACTACAACGAATACATAGCTCACAGGAAAACGCACCCCAAACCTTTTATTTATGAATGCAAAGTGCCCGGTTGTGGGTTAATATTTAATTATCGTTCATCGTTGTTCAGTCATCGGCAGACACACGAACTTAAGCCTGAATGTGAAAACTGTGGCAGAATTTTCAGCTGTAAGAATAGTCTGAGTAATCACAGAAAGCACTGCACGAAAACCACACGTTAGTTTCCCAAATTTAACAAGATTTAAATATGTTTATCTACTGGATGAAATGCACGTGAAAATGTGCTGAGAAACATCCGCTGTATAGGAATACAAAATTCAGTAAGTACTAGGACATTTATTTAATCACGACAAAGAGATACATCTTTCTTGTTTATGTTTAACATAAAAACTATAAATAGTATCTGTTCTTCTAAGAATCCGATAAATTTACAAACTATTTTCTTAAGAGGTTTTTTGCTTTTACGTGAAATTGTGGATATGAATAGTAAAGAATAAGAACTTGACCTGATCTTGTCGTAGCAGAAAATCTACTGTTACATTTTTTTGTTTAAATGCAGGAAAAACAAGTAAAGAACTGTGCCTAAGCTATATTATCACAAAATTTTTGTAATCAGGTTTCAAACTACGTAAGTTAATTAACAACTAGAATTATAAAGGCATATTGTAAGAGAATTTTTCAGATAAGAAAAATTACGAGTGTCCCCATGTCGGATGTACTATGAAAACGGAGAATTATAGTGAATACATAGCTCACAGAAGAACGCATCCCAAACCTTTTACTTATGAATGCAGAGCGCCCGGTTGTGGAAGAACATTCAGTAATCCATCAACATTAGTCAATCACCAGGAAATACACGGGCCTAGATCTCATTGCGGAAACTGTGGCAAAATTTTCATCCATAAGAAAAATATGAACTATCATAGACAGTGCTGCACTAAAGTTCCACATTAGTTTCACAAATTTGGTGCACAACTGAGAAAGATCCGTTGCATAGCAAACAATACAAATTCAATAGGTAATGCAATATTTAACTAAACTCAATAAAAAGATAGATCCTTCTCGTTTATATTTAACATAAAAGAAAAATAAGCAGTACCTGCTGTTCTAAGAATCCGATAAATTTAAAAATGATTTTTAAAAGAAGTTTTTTGCTTTTACGTGAAATTGTGGATGTAAACAGTAAAGAATCCTGATCTTATCACGCGGAAAATCCATAATTTTTTCGGTTTAAATACGTTAAAAAATAAATACATATTTCTGAAACATTTCGAGTGACCGCCAATGATCAGTGCTTTACTTTTGTGATTGTTTCGAGTGATCACCGATGGTCACTCCTTTACCTTTCTAATTAAAGTAATAATCGCATCATCTTTTTGATAATTTCATTACTTTTGTATAATTCTAATAACACACTGCATTTGCAGACAATGTGAATATAACAAATCATTTGTAAAACTATGACCTTTAGATGATCTGTACTCTTTATATGATGCATAGCAATCCGTAAATCCTGAAAATTCAAAATTCCAATTCGATTCATTTGCAACGTTGAAACTTATCAATCTTTGACTTCACCGATTCAATTCATTTGCAACTTTGAATCTTATCAGTCTTTAACTTGCATGAAAAATTAAACTCATACAGCCATCAATTGTTACTTGTTGTGCAATTCCTGATAATTAATATATTTTTCATTAATTTATCATTTTTTCATAAACTCATGTGTATGGCTAGTACATATGAAAGAACTATCACATAGTGTAATTAATTTTTCATAACCAATAAAAATTTAAGTTTTTTCTAATGCTTCTTCAGCTGCATAACCGCTTTGACATACATCACTCAAAGCAATGAATCTTCAATCTTCATTGGTGTTCACCAAGTTACGAATTGCTCCCATCAAAGATATGGTTATTCTAAGATTAGAATTGCTTGCTATACTTATTGGAGTACGCTACTTAATTTGTTATTAAACAAATGGAAACAGAACGTTATCTTGTGGTTTGCCTCTATATGTGCATTATTACATTGGAGACAAAATTGTTCTCGTCTACTACCGAAATTCATTCAAATCTTGTCGAAGAAATAGCAGTAGCCAAATTCTCATATTGATATATTTTAGACGAAAATAATAACCCTGTCATTGAAAACTTAAAAAATTGTTAATTTTGGGAGAGATTTAACTCAGTAGGATGCAGATGTTAATGTGGTAACACAGGAATATAATATTCCTTTATCAATAAAAGCAATAAATTTGATAGAGACGTAGGTACAAGTAGTGGAAATCCCCTTTTGTGGTCGAATTACTCTCTAATTGAATTTTCCTGGCTCTTGGTAAAAACATACACTTCAACTGAATATGAGTGATCTTCTTAACTAGCAAGCAGCATGCATAATAAACAAAGTACATGAATTACTAGAAGTTGGCCTGCCGAAAGAGTAATTAGTCTAACAAAGAGCTGTTAGGAGGTCAACTATGTAAAAGTTGACCTCGTAGATTCAAACATAATTTACAATTATGTTTGAATGACACAGGAATGAGGTTAACTAAGTGAGTCGACCTTATTGTTGATACCATGCAAACTCCGTGTAATATTGTGTAAAGCCTAAATATAAGATTGGGAATAAGGAGTTTAAAGTATAAAGATTATTTCGAGAAAAGTTCATAGAACGTATTTCTTACTCATATTCCCTACTCTCAAATAATATTTTAGAGTTTCGCGATATTAAAAAAACTGGACAAACCTGCCGAAATATCCAGAAGAGGACTTTCTCCTCTTCAACTTGCAAAATTTGAACCATGGTAGAAAGGACTGAGATAGTTAACCGAAAATGAAAGTGGCCACTCTGGGAATTTAATGAAGATCATGGTGAATATGTTCTCCGATACAATCTCAGTTAAATTTCTTCCAATATAATCACAGTTGCGTATTATTTTGCAGCAAAGGTTAATTTTGCATAAGTTTTCAGTTAATAGTGGATTTGAACGGAAGCTTTGTTAAGTTTGAGGAAAAAAAAAAACAAATTTTTTTGAAATTGTGAGAGCGAAAAAATGGATAAATTACGGTAAGCGTTTTAAGAGGGAAATAAGTTCTCTACATTGATAATGGTCAATAATTAGAATTAAAATTAGAATACTTTTATATTTCTCCAACAGGCATTCAAATAAGACAGTTTTTAATCTATGAATTTCTATCTCACAGATTTAATGCAAAATTATTTCGATTATTTTAACGTATTACTAAACTGCGAAAAAAACTACGCAAATTCATCAGTTCATACGAAATGCTTCACAAAAACTGTTCGTAGAAAAGCACCGCTTGCAGGAAACACTTTAATTGGTTATACTAATTTCTATCACATTCCATATATGATAATAGTATTACAGCAAAAATTTCAACTTATATTTCAAACTCAGTCGCATCCAAAATTTATGATTTCTCATATTGTTTTAGGTGGATCTCACACCACAGTAGTTGTCGTAAAAAAAACGGAAGAAAATTGTTAATTGACAAAAACCCTTTGTTAGCAAAAACCCTTCGTTAGCAAAAATCCTTTGTTAGCAATCTTTGTTTCACATCATTTAAATGTCCTCGGCCGGATATGTGGTTAGTTCAGTTCTGTATATAAACCAACCGTCCTCCATTACAGTTATGCATTCGACATTTTGGGGTGATTTTTGATATTATTTTAGTGTTTTATAATTATATTATATCTTTCGTTACGCGTTGTTATAATGTTGATTTGTCGGTTTAATTACCCAACTTTGAGGCAAAATAAAATATCTGGCAGTCAATACATTCGAGGACAGTAGTACTAGTAAAAGAAAATCTTCTGCATAAGATTCCTCGATCAATTAGTCGATGTCAACTTTTGTCATACTTTTTCTAATTTGATTCTGAAAACATCATATGTCATCATACAATAAGATTTCCGAATTTCATAGCTACTATTTAATTATACTTTATTCCAACCTCAAATTTAATTATAAATAATTCATTATTATAATGAAAATAAAAACTGAGTTGGAAAGTATTCCAAAAATTGTTATTTTGATTAACCAATCAACCGAAGGAGCAAAGAGTTCCACAGGAAACTGAGGTACATGTAAATGGAATTCTACATTGCAATGTTGGTAGTCACGTACGTACATTGAACTGTTCCATTAGTGCTTTTTCCGCATCATTTTAAAGATCCATTACACTGAGCACGTGACTATATAATCGTTCTTAACAAATGGGAATTGAGGCTATGGTAAGGTCACGTCTTCAGATGGAAGACCATCGTCTCGTTCAGATCTTGCTGTACGGTGGACTCGTCACAACAATAGATAGACGTGTCCTGAAAAAGAGGTACAAGTGCTGCTGCTTGAACAATCAACCTGAAAGATGTCAACTAATGTCAGTAATTCACTCTTGTCTTTAATCGAGCAATTTTTTTAATCATAGTGCAGCCACCATCGTTGAAAACGCATTAAGTGAACTGTCTCATGAAGAAAAGACAGCTTATTAAGGATTGAATCTCATTATCATGTGACCTTCTCTTTTTGCTGTAAGTTTATTGCTTGGTAAGAACGAAATATAATGTGCTTACCTATAAGATAAGATGGACAATAGTATAATCAATTAAATGTTTCCTGCAACTTTTTCCTATAAATGATGTTCGTTGAAGTGAATATTTTGTATGAATTGTGAATTTGAGTATTTTTTTTGTATGAATTGTGAATTTGAGTATTTCGTAGTTTCGTAAGAATTGTTTGAATACTTAGTGAAGCATAGTAACCACTGCCACATTTCAATAAGATGAATTACTCTATGCTTGCTTAGTGAAGGATGAAAGGAGATTGTAGGAAACTGATCAGTAGGAAAAGAAATTATGGGAATGACACCGGGAAGCCCTAAAATGTCAGAAACATCAGTGATTAAAAATTTTGCATAGTGAGCCGATTGAGAGCTCGTGCTATTTTTAACAACTCTGGAGAAATATTAAACAGTTAAATTAGTTCGAAAATACTTGAAATTCCGCTAAAATAATAAATTTGTGCTTAATTTACTATATTTTAATCAGAAATGTACGATTAAATTCTGTTCCGTGCTATAGCTCCGGAGTTAGCGCTAATGTTGCAAGCTTTCCGGAACAAGTCGACTTGGTATCACCATAGATAAAAGGTTGGTATCGGCATATACAGATGCATACATGGCGTTTCGGAAAAAAGATGATTGTCATCATCAGTAGATTTAAAATTAAAAAAAAAAAAAAACTTTTGAAATGATATTATACGACCACTTCAAAAATTTATTTTTTAAACGTGTTTTTTTTTAATCGGTCAAGTAAAGGTGCGCAATTAAATTGCCAAAATTTCATTTCGGTATGAGTTTAAAATGTTATAAAAAGTCATACGACAGTGACTAAATTTAACTGTAACCATATTAAAAAATAAATATAACATTCATTTTTTTTTTTTTAAAAAAAACAATAGGTGTGAATTTTCAGTACGTGAGGATCTAGAGCAAATAATTCAGGACGACCAATCTGCTTTTCAAAAAAATATAAAGTAGGATAGTATGTTTTTCGCAAATATATTGTATTAGAGTTCTCAATTGGTACTTGATGAGGGTGAGCAATCGCGACAAGTGAAATACGACTGGACCGACACAGGACTGGGTAAGAAGGTTAAAAGACTCTTCGTTTCAGATAAGAGCGAAGTAGCTAATGAATGAAAGGATACAAATTTAAAACTATCTCATCGAATATTTGTTAGAGAAATATAAAACTGGTTTAGTTTTAAATGAAAAACCATTTATCCAACATTCATCTTCCAATTACAACAAGTATATGTGTATGTATGGTGCCTAATCTTAACAAAGAATATATGAAATGCTTAATTTGTTATATATTGCTTTCAGTTTATTATCACTATTTTCCAATCTGACAGATTCAATGGTTAAAAG